TTGCGGGATAATGTCATTATCTGCTTTTAATCTTTTACAATGTTATGGTATTCCTGGATGTTTTGAAAGACAGAGATGGGAGGGGGGGGAGGGGAAGAGGGTGATCAGAGGACAGAGGGAGGTGACAGGAGCTACAGTTAGTGTAAGTGAAAACCTACCGTAATACAAACAATAATTAGCCCGGTTAATGAACTAAAACCTGCTTTACGACCTGTAACTATAAATAATATATGACGGTTTTAAACAGATTAGCTAGCATACATCATGTTTTTTGGTAATAACATTCTAATAGTTAATACCGTAGTTAGGTCAACTATAATTTTAGTATTAAATTATAACTTTTTTGTCCGTTTTAAACTACAACACAATTTACTACAGTAAGGTAAAGGTGAAAAAATAGAGTTTTTTGCTTCCAAAACGTTTTTTACTTTACGATTTGCTTTTTAGAATTGACTGCTCTACAGTATTTAAAAACATTGCAAATCTTTACAGTATGCCGAGCCGAATAAATGAAATGAAAAAACCCCAGTCTTCAACCCAAGTAGATTTGACCTTTAATTTTTGTGAATTTTAATTACATTTTAACACCTTGTTTCGTGTCGACCCTCTTAAATACCACGCCGCTGGTAGGGTAGGGTTACAACGCGCGCCGTTTATTACTAATTTTTTAATTTTGACTTTGAAATGAGCTGAAAGTTGTAAAAAATGATGTGATTACACACACATTTACACTCGCAATTGGGGACTTTTACTCGTATTAAGGGTTACGGTATTGTTACACATGTCATGATGGCTGTCATGAAATGTGCAATAGGTGTAAAAACTTGTTTAATTAGGTTTGGCTTTGAGTTGAAGGCACGAAGGTTGGAAGACTGTTCTTTACAGTATTGTTTTTATCGATAAGGTTTGTGATGGCAGGAGGGGATAATAGGGTCATGTTTGACATACACTAGCACTCAGATCCATCTGTTCAATGTTTGGAGGAGGACAACCTAAGGTTTATTTCCTAAAAACAGCCCTTAAAATCTTTTGTTAACCTCGACAACTCCTACAATCTTGCCTAATAACCGTTCATTTTCTCATTGCAAACTATAACCAGATATGTAAATACCAAAGCCATTATCCACGCTGCCGCTAAGCATATATTAAACATTGCCACTAAATACTGCGCTTAGGTTGGGTGGAAAAAACAACAGATAATCACTACTCGCGCTCTAATTGGACATTACTATTTGTTTTCGGCGAATTTTTGGCTATTATCCACCGCTAACCGGTTTTTGTGTATTTTGAGGGTGTAAATGAGAGTACTGTAAAAGTACCATGAGTTTTAGCGTAACATAATGTAGCATTACTTTAGTATTATAAGTTTCAAAATTAAATACTGCTGCAGTGAACACAATTTTACTATTGGGTGTAGTATTAATAACTTTTTATGGTACTGAACTCAGACAACGAAGATTAAGATAAATTCAACGAATCATCTGTTGAACTAAAACTTGCACTACATGACAAGATGCATTTATAGAACCTTGGCAAATTAAGCCAAGGAATTTGGATAGTATTTAATCCAAGAGGTTTTAATTTAAAAAGTACACGTCGAAACAGTGCTTCAATAGATCAGGTTAGATGTAAAATGTTCTGATGTTACTATTTGACTAAAAATGTGCACTTGCGCTGTTAATCTGATGTAATGCTTAACGCCAAGTCAAATGTGAAAAAAATTCTTAAGCTATAAACATCAGATTAAAAAAATAAGATACATGTAGTAACAATAAAACTTACCTCCTAACATATGCATTAAAATGCTTAAACTAACAAAAAAAATGTTAGTCTTTTAGGTATTCTGAACATTAGTATTGCCGTTAATTCTAGAAGGCATAAGTATCAATTGCTAATACCCTCCACCCTCGTTAGTAAACAATCAAAATGGCAAAGACTTTACCGTAACGATTATCCATTGTTAAGAATATAGAAAATGTAATTACCGCGAATAATCCATTAATTTGTGGCCGTTAAACTTACTTAAAAATCATCAAAGTAATCATTTAATTGTAGTTGGGGGTGCTTGTGGTACGGTAAAATCCTAGAAGCGTGTAGAACTTAGCATGAGTTTGTATGCGCAAGTTATTGGATTCAAAAATCTAAAGGCGAAATGAAAGTGCGGCTTCACTAGTTTTAACGTGGTTGGTAAATAGAGCAAACATCTTTTAAAATTTAGCATTTTGTCATCTTCCCGCTTTGGCAGACTTTCTTTCTATTCTTTTGGAACAATATCCCTTCCTTCAGCATTCATTCGACCTTGCATTCTTCGTCAAGGCCACATCCATATCTTGTAGCTTAGTCCAGGTTACTTATCCGTTTCTGTCTTTATTCATCTATGTTATTCACGACATTGTCCACGTACCCAACACGAACAATGTTGGGACTTCTTCTTTGGCATATCTTTAGCTTCCCACAAACTAGCTTTTCCAAACTTTATAATTCCGCACCGTCTGCTACATCGGATGGTATAATCTTAAGTCTTGGCACAGTCCTACGTATCACGCTCAAGAAACCATCGTCTACCACCCTCGGCTTACGTAGCCACAACTAATTACCTGTTCCACCCATTACGTAGCCATAATTTTACGATAAAAAACTGTTTGAAACAGTTTCTTCACATTATTGTAAACACTAATTTCCTACGCGAAAAAAGTCGTTCCTCGTGGATTGTTATTAACAGTTATAGCTTGTAATTATAGTGTTTAGAAACGCAATAACAACTGTGGGGTTTTTACAGTAATACAATTTTTTTGGAAAAATATTTAAAAATGTTTTTAAGTTGAGATATGTAGTAATTAATATATTTGGGTTGTTTATAGGAAATGCTGTTGTGTTAGGTATTTGTAGCATTAGCTGGTGTATTTTGTCACTTTAAGGCAATAGCTTAAGTATTAGGGTATTGAAACAATAAAAAAATAATCTTATTCAAACATAAATGTTACACTGACTTGTGTTGTAGTTTAAGTTATACACTTTAGTTGAATTTTAGCTTTAGAATAGTTTAAGACAAATTTTATTGTAGTATTTTTCAACTACAAAAAAATGAAAATTTAAGTTATAGAAAACTAAAACCGGAAGCGTATCCTTTAAAAGCCCAATGTTTGAACTCTTTTGGAACTTTTACATTAAAAAACATTTGACTGTATTGTATGGTATTTTGATCAAAATTTTGGAGTATTGACATTATATTTCTTTAAGTTTAAAGCATATTTAATTTTTATACTTAATGTCATACTTACGAATCAAATAGGAGCCTGTCTACTAATCTACGTTGAAATGACAAGCTTGTTTTTAAGCACAAACTTAAATTATTAACTAATTGTACTATAAGAAGTTGAAAACAAAACGGTTTTACGTATGTTTGTAATAGAACGTGCGTAAAACTTACAGTAGAATGCCTAAATATCTCATTTACTTTTATTTTGTTATGTTTTATTAATTTTGAATTGGGTAAGAATAATTTTATTACAGGGAGGTTGGCATTTAGGTGAGCTTATTAACAGAAGGGAAGTAGTATAAATGGCTAGTGTACATTCTTCATGCGACTAAATTTAAAGACTCGGGAGATATAGATTAGATTAGTTGGTGATTTTGATGTCGTAGATTGTAACGTACTATGCTGATGTGCAAAGATGTTCAAGGTTTAGATAAAGGCCAATGGAACCATTTTTGTTTTGACGTTTTCTATCATTGGGGTGTTCCACTGTTTCTCGCAGCACTGCGTCGTAGATGAATTGCTCCATAAGACGTATTTCAAACAGCACTAGCCATGCTGTATTGTAATCATCGTCTAACTAGTACTTAAACATATCGTAGTATAGATGTGGCGTGAATGTACGAAAGGCTACTTCACCATTCCATTCAGGAACTCCAAGTATTTTAATGTTAAATGTAACACAAAAAACTGCACTGTCTTATAATTATCGTACTGCTGAAAAACCATGCCCTGCTATTATACACCCCCAAGCTTTCTCCAGCCATAGCTGCTCATTATATAAAATGTTATATCAATTTAATGTGTTACAAAAACTACAATAGTAATCATTAAGTTGTAACTGAACATTAATAAGATAGTTTTAACCAAGCAATTATCAATTTGTGGTTAGGTAATATGTAGTTATAACCGCGCATTATCGTATGTATAAATGTTATTTTATTGGTTATACTAACAAGGTTAACCACCCTCTAATTACTGTTTGTGTTATTGAAAGGCCGTTGTGGTACGGTATGCAGGGTCTAAGAGCTTGAAGGGGAAGGAGGGGAGGGGAGGGGAGAGATCTTTATAAATGTTTTTTTGTGATTTAGCAGAAACGGCAACGTTCCGTGAAACTCCTGTATAACGAACTCCTGTATAAAGAGCTCCTGTATAACGAACTCCTGTATAAAGAGCTCCTGTATAACGAACTCCTGTATAAAGAGCTCCTGTATAACGAACTCCTGTATAATGAACTCCTGTAAAACAAACCTTGTGTATAACGAGCAACTTTTAAATCCCCGTCTACCTCTACACAGTGCATTTAAAACTCCTCTATACCGAATCTCCCTTATAACAAACAAGTTTTTATTTCTTAAGGAATTCGTTATACAAGAATTCTACTCTGTTAAGATGTAGTCAAGCTGTTTGTCGCTTATAGAAAACGTATTTTATGTAATCGTTTTTTATTTTCTTAAATATTTCTTTGCATAAATTAAATTATGCTTCTTTATCATTGATATTAACCACACAAACTCCAAATTTCCACCCCTCTAATATTCAAATTATAAGCTCTTCATGCTTAACATTCAAATTACACATTTCCCATTCGAATGTTACACTTTTCCCTTGTTCGAAATACGCTTGGCTCCTCCTACCCGCCCGCGACAAAAAAAACACACACACACACAAACTTGTTGGGGTTGCAGATTAACGTCGAGAACATAAACGCAAGCGTGGTTCATCATTCCGCCGATAGCTGAGCATGCACAGTGCCTGGATGGCGGTAACGACGATAGTGTTCTTCTATAGTCGGCCCTCCGCCGACGCGTTGACGTTGACTGCGCCGGTGAAGACGACGCACGGCCGCGCTCAAGGCAAAGTCTACGATTTTGGCGCCAAAGGCAAGGTGGGCGCGTTCATGGGAATACCGTATGGAAGAGCACCGGACGGAGAGTTTCGGTTTCAGGTAAGGATGGGTGGGAGGGTTTTAGTGCTTACTGTATAAATATGCTATGTTCACTATATTTATTGAGATGAGGAACTTTAAGGCGTTGTAAAATTAATTTTTATGATGAAAAAGATAAGATTTAGCTTTTAATCAGACAAATTGTGCATAGATTGACATTGTTTACCAACAATAATGAGCTTAAGCTTGTGTTTTGAAGTTTTTAAAAATCTTTTTTGAAATCTAAAATTTTTAAATTCCAAATTAAAAAAATGATTATAATTACCTCAAAAGAAATGTCATTCTAGCCAAAAAAAATATTTCAGCAACGTAAAAGGTCGTTTGAAACCTTTTTTTCAAAAAAAATGTCAAGTTTTATGTAAAGAAAGTCCTCGCAACTGACACGGCAGCCATAGATAATTTAAAAATGTTTTTGAAAAACGGCATAATTCGAATTGTTTAACGAGAAAATGTAAAGGTTAATATGTTTACTGTCGAATTTTCGTAAATGTTACTGTTAATTAGACTAATACTGTTACTGTAAAAGTTTTTGGCACGTCAAGGCTTTATTATGACGCTTTTATGTGATAGCAAACTTGAGGTTTTTTGAACATTTTAAAATTTTTTTTCAAATTGTGTACCTATATTTCGAAATTTCAGAAGCCTCGACCAGCACGAACGTGGCGAGGTCAACGCAGATTCACACAGTATGGTCCAGCTTGTTATTACTTGGCACAGAACAGAAAGGAACACATGCCTCCAATCAGATTTGATGAGGATTGTCTATCAGTCAATGTTTTCACTCCTTTAAATGATGATTCGGTAAGTTTTTTGAACAGACGGGGGGGGGGAGGGTAATTTTCTAAAAAAGGGTTTTCAAGAGGGGTGGGGGGGGGGAGGGAGAGGTGAAGGAGTGATGATTACGCTACATTTTACTTTATTCTTTCTTATCATACACCTTACTCTATCCTACCTTACCTTACTCTACCATACTTACTCCACCTTACTCTTCAGTGCCCTACCTTACTGTATTTCACCCTAGTCTACTGCACCCCACATTAATTCTCTCAGACTCTCACTTTAACTACAGTACTTTCCAGTAATCATCACTTTATCTTTTGATTACTTTGACTTTCTTACCAAACTAAAAATGCTTTACCAAAATATTAATCACAAACTTCAAACCACTTGTCCAAAACCGTCCCCTTCCACCGTGTGTACCGTTTATTTTTAGAACGTAAAGTCCAAGCTGCCAATTATGGTCTACATACACGGCGGCGCCTACGTAATGGGCTCCTCGGCCACGGTCGGCGACGAGGGTATTGCGCGGATATTGGCGACACAGAACGTGATCGTGGTCACGTTGAACTATCGTACGGGTATTTTTGGCTTTTTCACGACGGGCGACTCGAACGCCCCTGGCAATCAGGCTTTATGGGATATGAGGTTGGCGCTGCAGTGGGTTAATGAGAATGCTGAGGTGTTTGGTGGTGACAAAAAGAATATCATGTTGTTTGGACAGAGTGCGGGTGGCTCGGCTACTCATGCGCTGCTTATGTCACCTACTACTAAAGGTAAGTGGTTAGAGGGACAGTTTTGAGGCTTTGGGGGGGGTAAGTCAAAGACGACAAAGGAGACAAGATTTCAGCCTGAAGCTGGTTAAGGGGGTAGATTTAGAGGTGGGTAAGGGGGTACATGTGGGGGTGGGTTAAGAGGGTTGAAATAGAGTTGGAGCAAGGTGGTTCTTTATATCCTTCGGATCACACTACTCCTCCTTGTCTTCTCTCTCCCTCCCTTACCTGCTTTTTTCCAATACCCTCCCCCCCCTTATCTTCCCGCCAAATATGGTACCTTGATCACACATACTACTGTAATAACACTATTATAAAATCAAATTTTAGGACTGTTCCACAAAGCCGCGCCAATGTCAGGATCGACCGGAGAAAACGGAATTACCCAGCCATCTGTAATCCGTTCACAAATGCTAAACCTAGCCAAATACCTTGGCTTCAAGCCTACGAATGAGTCCTCAACCAAAGATACGAACATTGAGTTGGTATCTTTCATGCGTCAAGTAGAACCCTCAAAACTGGCACTAAATGGAGCACTCAGTGTTAACTACAACTACTCTGGCAACGGACAATTCAAGTTAATACCTGTATATGACAACGAGTTCTTGCCTGGAACGTTAGAAAAGCTGAAAGCAGGTATTCACGATGTGCCGTTACTGACCGGTAATACCGAATACGAAGCATTGGCTTTCTTTGGCAAGGAGAATGTCTACGAAGCGGCAATTGGAATGGCAACGTATTATACGAAAGGTGATAGTATGTTGGCCAAGACCGCTATGGACTACTTTGTTGACAAGAGTTTGCCAAAAGATAGTGTGGAGTTTATGAAACAGTGTATATTGGTGGTCTCGGACATCATCTTCAACAAGGACATCTACTCTTTGGCATTACAGTCAGCTCAGAAGAAGAATCCGGTTTACTTGTATACGTTCAAATACTTTAAACCTACGCCCGCTACACAACGGTACCCTTTTCAAGGTAAGGTGAAGGTTACTGTAAAGTATTGAAAGGTATGGTTAGGGAGTGTAGATAAGGTATGGGTAAGGTAAGAGAAGGGCATGAGTAGAGGATTAATAGAGTTTGGGTAAAGTACGGTATGGTATGGCAATGTAAGGTAGGGTACAGTTGGGCGGGTACAGAAAGGTAGCGTAGGGTAGGGCACAGTAGGGTGATTTAAGGTAGGGTGCGGTAGAGTAGGTTAAGCTAGGGATAAAATATAGAGTAAACTACTCCGTTTCTCTTTAAAATTACTTTCTCCCCCTCCTTGTGGACCTGACAGTAAGAGAAAGTAACAGAGGGTAATGTCAACCTTCTACCTCCCCCCCCTCAGCACCCCTAAGTGTCACCATGTTTAAAAATAACTCTTAACTTTTCATGATTTTTCCTAACAACTCTAAAAATAAAAATGTAATCTACTATTAGTCATCTCAACTAATCATTAACCCACTTTTTTCTAGGTGCTATGCACTGCTCAGACCTACAGTATCTGTTCGGATTAAACGAAAACGAAGTGTACGAGCCGGACCTTGATGATGTTATCGTATCTGATCAGTTGAGCACGTATTTCGTCAACTTTGCCAAATTTAGGTAAGATTTTGAATTTTTGTAAATTTTTAAATTTTTGAAAAAAATTTTTTTTTAATTTTAAATTTTCATTTTTTTTTAAATTTTGCAAAATTTTTAAAAATACGAAAAAAGTAGATGTTTGAGCTAAACTAGGCCTACATTAACCTTTTCGAATCATTTTAATCCAAGAAACCCAATAATATTAATCATAAGACCCTGTACCTTAATATACGTAGTTATCAGTAGATATCACAGTACAAGATACGACATTTACATAAGACATTAACGTTTTTCTTAAACGTTTTCAACGACAAAGTCTTCGAAAATAAGGCTACTTTAATCCATTTTAATCCAATTTTTGTGTAAATTCGTCAAGAAATTTGATGTCACTGTGGGGATTAGTTTATGTACCGTGATATTACCACCAAAGTATAACATTATCGTTCATGGACTGAAAAACTACAGAGTACAAGGCTTTAATATACTGTAGTTAATAGGAGTTTACTGTATTTTTTGTTTTACTACAGTAAAGTCATTAAAATTTTTTTAAAAATTTAAACTTTGAAAAAAAATCCACAGGAGTCCCTGTTGATTCTTTTTTCAAAAAAAATTTTTTTTTTCACTTTTTCAAAAACACCACAAAAGACAGAGAAATGTTATTTCTAATCGCAAGCTTACGCATTTCCTGAATGTTCAAGTTTTAGGATTAGTCACACCAAACATAATAGATTGACGAAATCTTGGCGTAAACCGCCGGATCACAACAATTTACTACCATAGACAATTGTACAAAATACGTTTACATGAGCAGTTTTTAATTAACGTGAAATTTTGGCGTAATTAAGATTTTAAAAGTGCATAGATGTGATGTTTTTTTTCTGGATTTAAAGTTTTTGAAAGAAAAATAAAAAAATTTGAGAAAAATTCAGCTTGGTCCCCCTTGTGGATATTTTTCCAAAAAAAAATTTTTTTTTATTTTTTGAAAATTTTGTAAAAATAATGAAAAGGCATTCATATTAGGGAAATATTAATAAAAATTCAAAATTTCACTTTTTAAAATAAAAAAAAATTTTTGAAATTTAAAAAAATTGAACTTGGTCCCCCTGTGGATTTTTTCAAAAAAAAATTAAAAATTTTTCAAAAATTGAAAAAAAAGATCAAATTACAAATAAAAATCATCTATTGTTTCATAAAATTCAATTTAAAGATCCAAAATTTGCATAAAACTCTCAAACTTAAAAACTACCTAAAACAATATAATATTGACCTTTCTCATTTTAGTAATCCAAACGGCCAGAACAGTGAACAGAAATGGGAGCCAGTTTCGGATGAAGCGACAAAACCCCAATATATGTCAATTGATGTGAATGCGACACAATTACATCCAGTATTCATGGACGGTCGAATGGAGAAGTGGAACGAGATCAACCAACAGGTCAATTCGGCGAGGACGTTTACCCGAGTATCAACGCTATTACTTTCTATGTACTCGTTTAGTGGTGCTACGACGCAGAGAATGTTTGTGTAAAATGTTGATGGTACTGTTGTAGAATAGATGGTACTATTTATTAATACTGCTTAGTACTGAACTTTGGTACTATTTAGTATTAATGTTTTTAATACTGTTTAATACTAAAGTTTATAGTACTTAATAGTATCAAAATTCACATTATTATTTAATACCAAAAACCGTAGTGTCATTTAGTACAAATTTTTTAGTACTACATAGTACCAAACTTTATAGTACTATTTAGTACTGAACTTTAGCACTGAATCGTTCTTTCTCTTTGTATTTGTTTATAATAAGTTGTATCTAGTTGAAAAAATACCGTACTGTCATACATCAAGCCGTTAAAAAAGTCTTGTCGTAAAATTGCTATGCTTTGCACGTCAAAAAACGACAAGACTTTTCCAACACCCTAATATTGAGTTTACCGATATCATCCTTTCAAATACTAATATGGTACATTCCACATAGTGATACACCCTGATAGAAAACATATTTCGTGTCTAGTCAATATCGTATCATACCTTCAACTCTCGGTATTAGAAACAATGTTATATACTACACTTGAGTGCCTCTGTTTCGTTTGTTATTGCCATTATGTTGTTGCCTTATCTATTTTTAATCTATTTTCAACACTTAGACCTTAGTATTGTACAGGTCGGTCAATTAATCCTTTCGTTTTTCTGAAAATTCATCAAAAAAGGCGAAAAAATTAATGGACCTACCTTAATATCTTCAAATCTTTTGTAATACAGTAGCTCTTTAAAGTATTCTACAGTAATATAGTGTGTTACTTTACAATAACTTATCTCTCTTTGTATTTGCAATATTATTTTTGTATCTAGTCCGTAATCACATGTTACAATGCCCTAATGTTACTATTGTTACTCACCCAATTGTATGGTAGTTGTTATTTACACGTCTCCGATGAAAATGGGTAATTATTGTTATTGTATATATTGCATCACGCACCATATCGATTAATAAATATTTATGAATAAGCGTATTTTCGGCTACTGTAACTACAAAGTTTTACTGTGTATGCTATAACTACAAGGCTTTACTGTATATACACAAGTTTCTAAGGTAAAGATAAGCAAAATTCCTTTAAATGCCGGTTAATATGATTTAAATGACTTGTATTTTCATTAGAAAGCCCCAGAAGACCATTACACAAGTAAAAGTATCCGTGCAACACAATACCAATTTGGCGCAAAATTTAAACATAAATTTTTAAAAGTGCAAATTAAAAACTAAAAGTTTGCACAATTAATAGAGATAACGTTAGTGTTATGAAAAAATAAATTTCAGCAAAATTGGACAAGAATTGACTGAGTTATTGAAAAAACAGTCTATAATACCACGGAAAATCTAAAATATACATTTTATGTCTTAAAATATTAAAAATAATTTTTTTAAATTTCTTTTACTAAAATTTAATTTCATAAAACATAAAAACCACCAAAAACCCCCCTAAAACCATTATCTTTACCGTTAGCAAACAAAAAACTGTTCTATCCTTTTCCCGTATAAAAAGCCGTCGCAGGCTGCACAAACGTTTTTATGAAGAAACATTCCTTTTCGCAAGTTCGCGCCCACTTTTTTAGTTTTATTTTGCGAAAATTTCCAAAATCGCGTTTTCATGACATTGTTTGATCTTTTCAATTCGTTTTTATAATTTTTAGGTAACAAATGCCTTTATTCAACAATTTTCACTCTGCTCGAAACCAAGGACAACAAGGATTCAGTGTGGAAGCTGTGGCTTATGAGGCCGAGTTCAAGGAACTCTTGCACAGATTCCAGGACAGACATCATGAGACTGATTTTGATCCGGTTGCTCCTTTTAGGAGGTGAGTTTTTGGTTTGCTTTTGTTGTTTTGAGTTTATGAAGCGAATCAGTAAGGAAAATATGGAAAGTTTTAAGATTTACTGGGATGAATAATATAATTTTGATTGAAAAGTTAGGTAAATCAACGAGATTTTACTTAATTTTGTCGAATATTGTTTTAGAAAGAATGTTTTACGATTTTAAAACGATAATAAGTGCTTCAGCATTGATAAAGACATTTAATAATTTATAAACGTTAACTTAGGTATACCTACAAACAAAATATTTTTGTTTTTGTCAGAATCGAGGTTAATTTGCTTTGTTTTTGAGTAAAATTGTACTTTTTATATGAATATTCAGCTATATTAAACTTTTTTTAACCAATACACATTGAACTTTCAAATAAATATTAAGTTAGGTATACCTATAGACCATATGGCCTATTTTTACCCATTTTAAATCTTTTATAAAAGTTTTATGTTTTAGAATAGTAGAGATATTAGAATGGGCTATGGACGACTTTTACGCAAACAATCCAGACCCATTGGACCAACGACATCCTCACAAAATCATACCTACATGTTTATATGGCCATCTTCTACGTTTTATGCTCAAGTTTTCAGATTTTCTGGATAAAGTAAGTGTTTTTACTGTTATTCTTGTTGTTTTTAGGTTTTTCGAGCTGTTGATATTGGATTTGGACTTACTACACTAACATTTTAACGGTTTTTTAGCCGTATTTCTATGTTAACATAGGCCAAATTTCAAGAAAAACATATTATAAGTTTAACTCAGCTAATGTTTAAAATTTTAGTGTTTGGTATCTTACATAATGCCTCATCACAACAATCTGGAGCTTAACATCTTGGCGGCCAGAGTGTTAGTTATGGCATTACCAGTGATAGACAGTAGTGTCTTCTCTGTTGATGCTGATGTTCATCAACAATTGTTTCGTTACGCTTTGGATTCGGAATCAAGAGAGCTGAGAGCGTATGCTACAGCAATATTGAACCCTGCTATCACTCCAGAAACTGCCCATGTTTTTCGAACAGAAATTGTCGATTTGATTACCAAGTCGTTGAACAGCTTGAAGGTGCTTTATGTAAGTGGTTTTTGTGGTTTTTTGATGTTTAAGTGTTGACAATTAAAGGAGCGTGAAAAATCGTGGAATTTAGAGAAGATATTAATATAGAACTTGATTTTAAGGCTATTTTATGGGTTGTTTTACCTAAAATAATATAAAATTTAGCTATGAATTTGAAACAATATGTCTAAAATATTATATCCTAGTAAAAAACAGATATTTGGCAATAATTTTAGTATTAAATGTTGATTTATTCAGGCTCAAATGGTAGAAAACAGTACAGAAAACAGTCTAAATGAAGGCGGGACAGATCGTGCAGCTCCAACAGACTTTAGCCAGTTAGCTGAAAATCTGAATAAAGAGCAGGAAAATGGCAAAACAGAAAAGAAGACAGATTCAGATGATAAAGCGATAAAAAAGGATTTAGATGGAAAAGAAACAAAGACAGATGCAGATGGGAAAGTTCCAGATACGTCGAGTTCAAACTCTGAAACTGAGAAATCAAAGGAAAATGGACAAACTGGTGGGAATGTTGAGACGGTAGGTTAAGGGTTGGATGTTTTATAAATGAAAAATGTGATATGGTTTAGTAGAATTTTAATATTAACACTTAAAACTTATTTTACATTATTATTTACAGGGCAAACTACGATCAGGACAAAAGCGAACATCAGACGACGCGAAATTGTCAGTTTGTGAAGCCGCTCTAAAGAAGATAAAGGCATCAGGAAGGCGAAAGTCAACTCCAAAGAATCCGGGCGCTTCAACACCTTTGGCTGACTTTGGAGAAGAAAGCCGAAGTTCAACTGTGGACGAAATGAAGCGTGTGTTTGTAGGTAACAACAAGGTATACCCACTGACAATCGAAATGGAACAACGAATGATCTTGGGCTTTTTACAGTGTGCTTTTGAGTTTACCGATGTAAGTTTGGGTTTTTTGAAAAAAAAATTTTTTTTTAGGGGTGGGGGGGGAGAGGGGCGGGGTGGGTGATTTTTAAAGAGCTATAAAGTGGCATTGCCTGAGGCGGTTTTAACTTTAAAAAATTAAAAACGCATTTTTAGAACGTCAGTGTTCTAACAGAACACTCAGCCCTGGATGTGATACTAAAGTACCTAAATGTAAACGAATATCATGACATACGACTATTGTTTGAAGCTCTATTCGCATTGAGTTCAATGTTGATTCACTTGAGGTTGGCGTGGGATTTTGTGAACAGAGGCGGGATCTTAAGGCTAATCACCGTGAATCGAAACTCAGTAGCCGCTGCCGCTGTATGTGTTTGTTTTCATCACATATCACAGTTTGATGAGATCATGGAGCATATATGTCAAGGGTCTTCGAAGGGCGTGGATGATGTCGTGAGGTAAGGAGTAAGGAGGGGTGGACTTTTGGTAGGGTAAGGGAAGGAGTAGGGTACTTATTTGACGTTCGTAAGGTAATGGAAGACGGTAGCTCACGAGAGGATAAGTATGGTAGGGTATAGTAGGGTACGGTAGGGTAGGATAGAATAGGGTGTGGTAGAGTAGGGTAGGGTAACATAGAGTAATACGGGGTAGTGTCTGAAAGTTGCAAGCTAAAGTTTTTTTAGTTACGCGATTTGGCAATTAGCTCACGGATACGAGAGTGTTGGTGGCAGAATTTGCGTCTTCTTCCAATACGCTCTGCGGTACAAGAACGTCCTGGAACGATTTGATCACCGAGATGGTTTGAGGGTCTTGTACAACTATGCCAATTCGAAAGTAAGGTTTAACTTGATTTATTTCTTGTATTTGTTTATGACGTATTTTACTATAACACTGTGACATGAATTCGAAATTCCTCGAATTTTTTCTGATGATTGTATTTGAGCTGAATGACTTTTTGTACGGCGACTTTGAAGACAACGAAGTCATCGAAAAGATTCAGGAGAAAATGGGCGAATATTGCCAGGTTTTGAGGAATACCAACGTTTGTTTGACTCAGTAAGTCTATTTTACTTTGATATTGTTTCGATTGGGCATGGGCGTTGTTTAATCAAGGGAGTGGGGCGGGGACGTAAAAAAAGTTTTTAGGGAGGAAGGAAAATAATTTTTTTTTGTAACAAAGCAGGAGAACAAAGCTTGATTTTTATCTAATTTTTTACCGGGCGTGGTAAAAATACAATTGGGGTTAAATTGCAAAAAATGGACTTAAATTGATGATTTCAATGATTTTAGGTACATTTTATCTCATATATTGCTCAAATATGAACATATCAAGCGTATGCATGCTGATCGATTCCCAAGTTATCTCAAAAAGGCTGTACTGGCTGGAAAAATACCTCATAAAGACTTGTGCAAAAAGGTAAGGTTTATATTCATTTTGGCATTTGTATTTAATTTTACATTGTTATTGAACTTTGGCTCTAAAATTTAAAATTTCTTTTTTTTGCTATCACTATACTCGTATCTCTACTCTTGCTGCCACTGCTACCCGGTTTTTTAGACCCATACTTGCCATTCTTTTGTCAAAAATTTGTATTTCTTACCTTTCAGCCTCTAATAATGGACGCAGAAACAGAATCCAAAGCCCTTGAAGTACTACGCTACTTTATACCAGCAACAAATCTGACCTTTCACCCACTGACCAATATAAGATCGTTTGGTTTCATCACTCTATACATTAGAGCAATGGCCTTGAGGACAGAGTTTTACCATCATATGTCACTACTAAAGTCGGATGTAATTCAAGGCATTTTGAAGATCTTTCAATACGCCACAGTAAGCCCAGCAGTCGTACAGGATTTGGCAACAGCTATATCATTTCCACATGGCGATAGGTGTGGGATTCGGTGAGTTATTTGAATACGGAAAAAGTATTGAAATATTGCATTTTTAAGGCAAAAAATGAAAAAAAAAATTGAAATTTTTAAAAATTGAGTAAAATTTCATAAATAAGAGGCAAGTTTTCAAGTTTTTCAAAATTTATTTTACGAAAAATTAAATTTATTGCTCGAAATTTTAAAAATTATGGCAAAATTGAGATGATACGTTGAATAAATTAGTAAAAATAGAAAAAATTTGAAATAAATAAAAATACTAACAAAGAGATCCAATACCCACATAAATATACAACTATGTACACAGTTTAAATTATTTTAACAAAAAAAAGTTTGTTTTAGAAAAGCGAAAAAAAAATAAAAGAACAATACTTTGATGAGAAAGATATGACACAATATTAAAGAGATAACTATTAAAAACATTTATAACATTTTCAAAGATACGTATGCAGTAAAAAAGCGGATACAATTAAAAAGTTTAAAAACAATGACAATCAAATTGTAAAAAAAGACAAAACACGTATGACAAATTAATTAAAATCAATAAAGAAAGCCTATTTCTATCACACCTGCCACGAGTTGGCCCGAGTTGCGGCGATATGACATCGCTTCGAAATCGATGGCCGTTTGTCAAAATTTGGCGTCGGCGGAGTCGACGAAACAATGGTCAATAAACCAGCGGAAGTTCGACCGCTAGTCGAAGCCGAAACCCGGCCCATATACTCGTTGTGTGGCTCGGTGGACGGCGAACGGGGTGAGGTATTCGTAGAGTACATACTTGTATTGAGTTCGAGCTCTTCCGATCGGAAAGTCTCGGTGGAATAAGAAGCCGGCATTATTGGAGCGTTCAGGAGAGGTTGGTTGACGTTGAGATGGTTTAATTTCTTCAAGCCACGAGGGTCATGACTGTAGCGACGTTTCAGATCGGCGTGCTTTTGTTTGTCACGTGCTGAGCTTTCGGGAATGCCGGTTCGGGTCTGGAAACAATTTTTTATTATTCTAATTGAGGTGTAATGTGTTATTTTGACCTTGAGTTAGACATTTTATTGAATTATGTCAATTTTTAATACCGTTCATAAGCTTAATGCTTAAAAAACCAACCTGTGGTCTGCTGAATTCAGGATGAACTCTGAGATATGTTGTGGAATGCTTTGGTGTTGTTTGACGGGGCTTTGGCCGGACATTTCGTTTATAAACAATGGCTGTTAAGTAAGCAGCGTTGAAGCAAAATTGAGCAAAATACAGTAATCGGACTACTAGAGCAATCAGGTGGCTGCTTGGGGAGTTTGGCGAGGATGGTCTGAAATTGTTTTTTTTTGTGTGTAATATGGCAAAAAAGCAGTTAGTTATTTTAAAGTTTATTTATGAAAAAAGTTTGCTAGGCATGATAAGAAAAATAAAAAATAAACTTACGAGCTTTCAATCACACTAGCCAATCGATACATGCTATCTGGCGCATTCAACAATAAATGCACTGTCGTTATGGCCAACCATCGCCGCACAGTCTTTCGGCCGCGTTTCGTAGAGCCGGCCGAATGTGAGCACGTCGATTGCCATGAGTTTTGAGCGTAAGCGACGATACGCGGAAGCCCACTAGGTGAAACACTAACCGATGACGCGGCGGTCGCGTTGGATTGTGCACTCCAGGTAGAATTCGTCAACGTGCGTGCTCGGCCCACGTTTCCCAACAAATTGTTTAATTTGTTTTGGAACTCGGGATTGTCCTGAAAGGGTGGTTTAACTTTGTCATGTAGGTTCTTTGTTTTGTTGCACTTTAAAGGCAGTTTTTGAAGCTTTATAAGATGGATATCCTACTTTCAAAACAAGTAAAAGCAAGATAGTCATCCTTGTTTAGAAAGGATATATACCTTGCTAAACACCTTTAAAAATGACGAATGATTACATGAAGGCAGATTTTTAAATTTTCAAAAATCTGATCTTTAAAATTACACCGAAATCTAACTGTGCACTTACTATTTCTTTTCGTTCTTCGTCCTCATTTACAATGCTAATTCGGGGTGTTTTTGTGAGTTTGTGCCTCAACCATTGTGTACACAGAAAACCTACAATTAAGTTATGAAAGGATGTTGTCCAGATAATTTGATAAATATGCAAATTTGGGTGTAAACCGACAGACGGATTATTTTTGTTTTTACGTATGTTATGATAAATTTTCTGGAAATATCTGGCAGCTTTATCTGCGTACGGATAGCATAGAAGTCTAGAATTAAGCAGAAGCATTTTAAAGGGATTTCGAGGTTACAAAAGAACATATATGTTACAGTGAAAGGAATGATAAAAGAAATAGCCATTTTTCAATGTGAAAAGATAAAAGATAATATTACCTCGAAATTTTTCTTCCGCCTGAGACCACCCATCGCTCAGCGTTTGACGTAGCGACAACGGTGTTTTCCTCGAAGCGAACTGCTTTCGCTTCTTCTGTGCCATTTTGGTAAAGCTTGGCGGCCTAACAAAAATCACTCGCACATCCAACGCCAATGTCAATACGGCAGGCAGTATATAAGACCAACACAGCTCAATACCATGCAAAAACCGGTTCCAATCAGCACCCAAACCTAGTGGTTGTTCTTCACAAGTCCTTGACTCTTCTGAAGAAACAACCACAATAGGTAGCCACGCGTTAATCAACAAAGCAAACAACAACATGATCAAAACGGTTCGCACACCCAACGTGCTGCCTTTGATATGCCATAAAGGATGATAAACGGCAATGTACCGCAGAGCCGAAATGAATAACCAGCACCACGTGCTGAACCCGGTTAAAGTGTGGATAAGGTAGATGGTGATTTTGCAATGAGCGGAGTGAGCCGCAGGTGATAAAGCTGATGGTGGTAGAAAGCCGCTGAGTACGACAGCACCTATTATTGACACTAACGACCATAGGTCGGACATTGACATTGCGGCTAGTGGTAGGCCACAGCCGTGTTTGAAGCGTTCCTGGAAAGAAATAGGGTTAATTTTGGCTAGTTTTTTCTTGCGTTTTGTTAGGTCTAGGTTGGCCTTTTATGTTGTTATAGGTTAAACTTGGCTGTCTTTGATCTTCTAGGAAAAGTAACATCTATTTTTTGAAAATTATCTTGAAACAAATGTACTTTTACGAGATTAAAATAGGTGTTAGTGTAGTTCTCTGAATTGTTTTGCTTTTTACCAAATAATCATGTCATCTTTTGTTGCTTTCTTTATGAAAAAGCTATTATTAACAAAGTTGTTTTGATTTTCAACTAACACTAATACATAAATTATTTCTTGCACTCATTATCTAAAAGTATATTCAAACAAATTCGGAAAAAAAGTAGTTTATAATGGTAGCTTGCACTTTACTAAAAACGGTCATACGCAAAACACTACAACTATTGTTTTGCGGACTTACATAGTCGTTTATGGCCAATTGTATTAGTCGACAGATTACATAGGCATTCAGGATTATACCAGTCACCGCCAGTAACATGTACACATAGCCGGCGAGGAAACTGGCCTAAAAGTGAAGGTTTAAGTATGGTGGAGTATTCGTTAATGAAAATACTAAAGATGTTTATAGTAACCGTCAGGGACGTCGTTTGGGGGGGGTGGCTCGGGGTGACTCCCCCCCCAGAGCCGATCCGAAAAAAAATCCACAGTTATTAAATTTTTCGAAAAATCGGTCCACAGGTAGCCTGTGGACCAAAAAAATTTTTTTGGGCCTCCCCCAGAGAAAAAACCGTAGCGACGTCCCTGGGAATCGTATATCAAGATATTAAAGATGCCTATGGTCCTTGGTTGATAAATTTAGTCCTTGGTTAATAAATTATGGTGGTCAATAGATAGATAAATACATAGAAAAACACAAAAAAGAAGGCTTTGTTGATAAGGTACTTACTTTGATTAACATCTCCTCAAACTCTGTCATATCATTGGCTTCGTCCATTGGCGTAGGATATGATTCAGCTGCTATGTAGTAATTGTCTTGTACATTCATCTGAAACTATCTTTATTATAAAGGCTTGTCAGTAAAATCTAGTTATCCGACACATTTTTGTACTGGTAAACAGTAAATAAGACAAGATTTCTTTTACCTACACAAAAAATCAGTCGTAAAACCTGAGTTTGAATCAAAAACGCGTTTCTGATTCACAAATGAATATTCTAAATTAATACTGCTACAGACGCTTGTCCAACTCAATTGGTACAGCTAAATGCCAACGACAATTCAAGAAAAATTGAAAACATAGGTTTCGAACTTTAAAGTTCTATAGGAAATCCGAAATAACTTCTTACTTGCTTCCGGCAAGAAAAAACACTCCGTTTAAAAACGCTACCACAACCGACATAACAAAAAAGATTATAACATGAAATGGCAAATGAAAAAGCCATAGTTATCCAAAGACAGGCCAACTAGCGGATATTCGAAAATTGAGGTGTGCATGACGTAAATAAAGATTAACAATAACTTTTGAAGGGCTAAAATGGCAGGTTAGGGTTTTTAGTGAAAAGGAAGGTTGTGAACTTGGGGGTATTTCCTACTAAAAATGTTTTTTAAAAAAAGTGAAAGTTGGCCTTTTTGTTGATTATACAGCACATACCACAATTAACTGTATAGTATGATTGCACGCTGTAATATAATTTTAGTTTACATGTATCGTATTTCTAGGCTCTAAGGATAGACATTACAACAAGATACGTAACAGTACCATTTCTGGGCCTTAGCGATAACCATTACCATAAGATAACAATACAAAATAATATGTAATTGATGGAAATGCAAAACAAAGTAGTATATGATTAACTTTTTGTTATATATACTGTCAAGTATTGTCACCACAAAATTCCACAAAAAACAAAAGAATAACAAAAAATAAAATTAGTAAAAAATACAGGCACGAACGTATTAATGTGAGAAATATCGTAGCATTGTGTGATATCCTTGCTAGAAGATGTTGTGTTAAAGTTTAGTTACAAGTTGTAATTACTTTTTTGTAAAGCTTAGTAGGGTAAGAAACGAGGAAAAAACAATTTTAAGTATGATAGTAAAACAGACGAGATAAACACATGCGTAATAGTATCACCGTGTTTCTTTGATAACATCAAGTACAAACGCAGGTATAAGATTGAATTTTTTTGTGAAACAGTCCGTCCTATAAGCCGAAAGAAAAAAATTTATTTTTAAAAACAGAACCTTCTAGGTGGACAAAAAAAATTTTTTATTTCTTTTATCTACCACGGAAGTCGCTAAATAAAGTGAATCGGGAAAGGAGGCGGATCTAACTAAAAAATTTAAATCGACATTTTTGGTATGGGTAAAATTTACACCTATAGCTACCAATAACAGCCTAAAACTCTAACAAGACAAAGATAAAATGTGTAAAAACGATACCAAATATATCAAAAACGTCTATTGTTTCCAATGTTTTATATAATTTTATGAATTATTCAGTGTCGGACCAAGGGTGGATTTCTTAGTATTAAGACGGTAATTATAGGTGCAAAAAGATTCAATAATTTGTCATTCGAAAGACTAACAATTAGTGCAAAACTAAAAAAAAGGTTTTTGGAAGTAACTTTTATAAAGATTATATGCTCTTTATTTTTTTTAAAGGACATATAATCATTTAAAAAATATTTTAAAATTTTAAGCTACTTGAAGTTTTTGAGGGCTAGCGAAACACCCTTTTTGGACTAAGTTTTTTAGTCCAAAAATTCCGGCTTTTTTTACTGTTTTTTATATAAGAATACATTAAGAATATACTACTTTACTAAACAGTACCAATATCCACCAAAAACCTACCTCACTCTGACTAGTGTCATCATATTGAGCCGGCTGCTCCAACTCATGACCAGTCGGAGCATAATTGCCATTGCTCGGCTCATAGAACGGAGCCATCCAAGCCCCACCAAACTCGTTTGTATTCCGCCAGATTTAAGAAGAAGATAGGCGGTTAAGGGTGCCAAGCTCTAGGATTTTGTTTACCTTCAATTTTAATCTGAAATTGAGGATGATTAACACGGTATTGGCGGGTTTCAAGAATTGAAATGTAACACGATAATGAACTATGATAAATTTGTACGATAAAATTTATGATTTACAATCTATCAGTTATACAGGAGTTCTACTGTATCAAAATTTTGAAAAATGTTGTACCTAATAATCATTTTTAAAACTTTTAAATAAAAATTTTGATAGAATCTCTTCAATATTAACCCAGTTCTTTTTAGCGTCCTCCTAGAGCTTATCGACGCCGACCCGATGGAAGAAGCTCAGCACGTCAAGCTTTCGCTTCAGGTCCTCGCCAACTGTTTTTGCGGAGTCGATGTGTCGACGGCGAAACGCGCCACCGAACCGGCGAATTCAAATGAGATAACGTCGAAAAAGCACCTGAAGCCACTGCCCAGTTTCCACGAAATAGAACACAAAATCGAGAACGTCATGAAGTCGGCGTGGGATGCGGCGCAGGAGAATAACGCCTTAATGGTACGTTTTGGAGGGTTTTTTGGCGATTTTAAGGGATGATGAAGGAGAGATTTTTGGTTTTTTAAATTTTTATTAGAGCTTTGAAAATTGAAATATATTAGGTTGTTCAAATATTTCTGTGCTCCTCCTCGAAGCAAATTTTTCGGGTTGGGGCACTGAATTATTTGAAATACCTAATGTAAAATTGTTTGATAACAACTGTTTGCTATTTTGTAAGAGGTTGAAATTCACACTACTGTGACTGTAATTAGGGCGGGGCGCTGGGGTGGGGAGGGGGGTGGACGGTTCCCCTAGAAAAAAAAATTTCGAAAAAAGTTGAAGGTAGTCCCCCTGTGGATTTTTCCGACCCCCGCCTCTGACTGTAATTATAAAGAACGCATAAGCTATAAAGAATAAATAAGCTCCTAATAGTAAAAAATATTAAAACTATCAAAAAATAATTTTGCTTTATTTACTAGACTAGCCAGTTATTAAAAATTTAATAAAATCACCTAAAATACAATAAAAACAGAACATACATAGCTATAAAATGGGTAAAAAGGCCTAACAACAATTGTAAAGCTGTAAAAGATAAAAACTGATAACTTCTAAAATAAAACTTATTGAAAAAATCATTAAATACTACTAAAAACCACAAGAAAACAATTAAAAATGAAGCCACCATTACTAAAACTGTAATAATTTTAAACGAAAATCTCCCAAAAACATGAAACTCAAGATAATGGTAACATACACCTTCAAAACTCCCCATCCCAGTTAATCGCACACTTTAATTTTCGTTTTTTCTCCATTAAATGTTTGGCTATCTTAATCTCTACGGTTATTATAGCGGCGCGTTTGATATCATGGCAAAGTTGGTTTTTTGGGCCGCTTATAAAAAGCGTTTACTAATTAATGAAAAAAGCCGAGAAACAAGTCAAGCGCTATGAAATTAGAGTTGAGGTTAAAAATGGAAAAAAAAATTTTTTTGAGTATGATGTGAGTTTAAGTTTGGCATGATGGTTTGAATGAAAGTAACATTTTTGAGTGTTAATAAAGGCTGAAAGTAGTGTTATTATACGTTTTTATCGTTGTGAGATTGTCCAAGAAGCAAGAATCTTGGGCAATCTCACAATGATAAACTCGGAGCTGATGCCTGTCTTACCCAGAGATAAAACACTACCCGCCACGAGAAGCGTCCAAACCGAACCACGCCAGTAAGCCAATAATGTCTTCATAATTTACTTTTTGATAACTTTCCAGAACAAAAACGATGTCACTCCTACGCGAATCGTAATCTTATTTACGTTCCGAATTTATCTAATCGCAGGACAAAATAGAATTAATTTTTATACCAAATAATATTTAAGGGGTATTAAATTCTCAACGGAAGCGCTAGTTGCTTAAGGTACGTGCCCTTTGTCTCGAAAGGGCAGGGTGATACGTGGAAGATTGGGACATTAGACTTTGATGAACATAAGGAATGTTGATTTATTGAGAAAATAACAGGGCACGGTAGGTGGTTTAAGGTAAAGATTGCGAAAAATTTGGTTTTCTGTTGCAAATGATTTTTTAAAGCATTGAGTGCAGGGCAGTGCATTTTCAACCCCCGTATCCCAAAAGTCCTTTACAACAAACGAATTTTAAATCCCCACGCTATTTGTTATACAGGAGTTCCACTGTAATAACAAAGAAAACACTAAAAAATTACGAATCGTTTTTAAAATACGTCAGTAACTTATTTTCCAACCAAAATGAAATCTTTAAGTACTGACATTGTTCTCAAACAGTAGACGGATAAATAGGATTACCTTGATATTTTCGTCTTTTTTGATTAAAACATCTGGTAATTATATTGCATTCTCAAAACACGAAACGTTTTAAAGTTGGTACAAAAACACTCAAGAGTTTTAAGTGTTTTTGTAGCAGCTTTTTGAATATTAAAGTAATATTCAAGTTTCCACAGGAATACTCAAGAACTCAGGTTACAAATAACATTCAAAGAACGGTAAAGCACATTGATATAACTCAAGATATAAAGCACATTGATATAACCAGAGTTTTCACTGGCACCGGAGCTAGGTACGGCTATGGCTTCAACTACGGCTCAGGAGTTAGAGACGGGTCTTGATGTTTGCAAATGTCTAGAGCCGTAGCTGGAGTCGAAGCTTTTCTAGTTTGTTCACAAAATTCTGTGCTCCATTTTTGTGGTGAGAGGCACAAAATTATTTGAACAGAACAACCTAAGAACTCAACATAAAAAGCACTTTGATATAACTCAACATATAAAGCACATTTATATAATCCAATAAATAAAGCACATTGATATAACTCAATATAAATCTTGGCATACTTTAAAGTTTTCAAAACCACTGTAAAATAAAAAATTTGATTAGGAAAGCTGAGCTATTAAAATAATTTAGTTATGAAAGTTCAGCTCCTAAAAATGTTATAATTAGATAACGGACACTTAAATGTAATGTACGTGCTAAAATCAAATTATGCTTTTTTTGCTACCAAACACATTTACAAACTAAACGGGTGGTTACTTAAATTAAGGAGGTAACTATAAATAGTTGCAAGCGCTCAATCAACTTGCAAAATATTGTAGTAGATAATATATATATAATTATGCCACACGCTGCATTGGCTACAATTTGTTTGAGGGGGTTATGGAAACGTAGTAAAGAATACAATATTTTTTTAAATTTTGTAAATTGAAAAGATGTTCCGTGACAAAGTGATGAAAAATAAGCTACAAACGGTTATGATGAATACCAGGGACGGCGCTACAGATTTTTGCAGGGGGGGGGGAGGGTGAAATTCTGAAGCCAAAAAAAATTTTTTTAATTTATGGGTACCCCATTACTTCATCCACATTGAAAATTACTGTAAAAAAGTCCAAAACGACTTGTATAAAACCGTAAGTTTTTTTTTACTGTGGCTATGTCCTAACAGTAAAAAGTAAAGAAAAAGTAATGTTGTTTAATGGAGGCCAGTTCCGGGATAGGCACCAAAAAACAGTTTTATATTCACTTTTAAGGTGAATACGAACCTTTCATAAAGTTTTTCGCGAACAGTATTAATATTCAGGGCAAATGTGACGCAAAAATAATTTTTTATTAAAGCAGTAGTGTTTTTAAAAAAACATGATACATTTTTACAATAAAAAATTTATGTTATTACTTAGGACATTGACTTTGGCCTTAATTGGCAAAGGAATAGGATGTTGACTTTGACCTTAATTGGCAAAGGAATTTGTTCGAAATTTTAGTTGTCTATGAGAAATGTAAGATACCTGTAGCCAGGGACGTCGCTTAGGGAGAAATGAATGGGGATGGATCCACCGTCTTCCTAGAACCAATCTAAAAAACTTTGGTTTCCACCCCCTCCTCTAGACAAAATCTGTAGCGAGGGGTTTGGCTGTAGCTATTCTCACTGATATATATCAAAAAATCTCAGTTAAAATTAACACCTAATCGGAAATAGGTATCAAAAACTTTAATTTACACTTATATTAATTCAAACGCTACTAAACAATAATATAAACAAGCGCTATAATAATGAACATGTGATAGTGCGTTAATCCGCCAATTTACATCAAAAAAGATGTTTATCTGAAATCAAGGCACGTACATTTGTTAGTCGATAATTGAAATAATTAAGGATTTTAATGAGGATTAAAACGTAAAAATAATCAAAATCTTGTTAGGTGTGGATGGGTTGTAATAAATACTTTTTGAACATGAGGCATGTTATATTATAGTATATTTTTGATGAAAATCTTAATGAAATACGATAAAAATACGATATTGATTTTGTACAGATACGTTAAGACGTGGGGGAGGTTAAACAAAGGCTCTATAGATGTAGTAATATTTTTTTTGCTTGACGCAATTACAAAAAGTACAATACATATAAGGTTTCAAGCCTTGAAAAGGAAGAATACTACGAAATAATCCCGTGCACTTGGATATTGCACATACACAAATAAAAATACAAAATTTGAATTTGGTAGTAGCGTAAGCACAGTTTGGAATCACAAGTCTGAACTTTTCATCTGCAGTTTGTCTACCAAAATGTAGATGAAACATTCAGACACATAGGTGAATTATTTATCAAGTTGACAAACTTTCAGAAAGCGGGAACTTGATATTATGAACACATGAATGATATTGGGAGTATTGTTTGGGTAAACTTGAATTTATTAGGATTGGTGTTTTTTATACTAACGCTTTGGTCAGAAGACTGGAAGGCTAATATTAGGTTGGTCAAATTATTCTGTGCTCTTAATCTTGAAAAAAATGTTTTGATAGAGGGCAAAGAATTATCTGAACAACCTAATATTAGCCTTCTGATTAGTGTCGTGAAACAAGCATTAGCTTAAAAGCCGGTTGTACAGTAAAGGGCCCACTACGCCCGACCAATAAAGATTTGAAAAGTGGCACATTTGGGCCCCAGGGCAGATACCCAAATCAAGGTCTTTTCCATGGGCCGGGTTGAGTGGGAGTCGACCAGGCTTTCTTACAAGGGTACAGCCAACAGTAAAACAAAGACTTAAAGAACAGCACGCCAAACAACATTCTAAATTTCAAGCCAACTAACGAGCAAACGCATGATAATTGAGGAAAGATGTAAAACTATGATGACGACCTAAAAATAAAAAGATTTAGCGGATTAGCGACCTCAACCGAGGATGTTCTTGACAAACAGAAAATTCTGGTTCAGGTTCCAAGAAGTTGATAAATAAAATAGAGATTAAAGAGTACCGTGATAAGTTGTTTTGCAGAAAGGAAACAACTTTAGATACTATATTAATTTTGTGTGGTTCGACATTATTAAATTGGTTTTAATTTGCAAAATTTGAAGTCACTATGTCAACAAGGGTTCAGGTTGAATTAGGATTTGGTTAGAGGTATGTTTCGGGATTAAAATACCAATTTTGATCTTGGTTTGAAATGAGTAAGGTATATAAGTAACGTTATCAGTTAGTGTTTGATTACTACAAGTTGTATTGTTTAACGCTCGGATGCTACAAATGCTTGACAATGTATTAAAGTTTATATTAGATTAGGTCTTTTGAGATTAATGTGTAGTCAAGAATGCAAAGAACGTTTCGAAAAATTTAAAGTACGACCAAAACAGTAATATTGGGTTGTTCAAATAATTCTGTGCTCTCTCTAAAAACAAATTTTTGGGGTTAGAGGGCACAGAATTATTAATATTTGAAAAACCTAATATAATTTTAACTACAAGTTCTTAGTTGAGACTACTGTGGAGCTTCTGTATAACAAATTGCTTGGGGGTTTTAAAGTTCTTTGCTATACATGAGTCTGCTCAGCAGTCGATTCAGCAGAGTCAGCTGAACCTACTAAACTTTGAAATACGGCCAAAATTTTAAAAAAATTAAATCAAGTCACATAGTACAGAGCCTTTCAAAAGTCCAAAATTAAGCTAGATTAAAACTGCAAAAAATAGCTGACAAAAATGAAACAAATGATGATGTATGTAACAGAAAACATGCAATTTAAGAAGTCAAAGTTTGTCAATAGCACGTAAAATTCTGATAAGTGCGGTTTTTGAGGTTCTATTTTAAAAATTATTTTTCTGGTTCTCTTTTGATGTTATTAAATCTTTTTCGCAATAACAAAGCTGACTTTGAAGTTTTTTACATAAAAATAAAGTTAAAAGTACATGGTTTGAAAGTAACAAAAACGGGTTTAAATGGTTGGTGGTACTATAGTAGTACTAATTTAAATTTATGTATGTTAGGGTAGAGTAGGGTCAATAAGGGTAAAGGTGTTTTAAGGTATAGTAGTGTAGGATAGGGTAGGATAGCGTGGGGTAGGGTAGAGTAGAATAGCGTAGGGTAAGGTGTTGTATCGTAGATTTATATATAACAAGTTTTGTTTCAGACCTTGATCCACTACATTCAAATCGATGAACCCTTCACAGACGCCGATGCTATTCACGTTGTGGCATGTCGAGCTCTGAATGGACTAGCCAAATCAGAACAAATTCGGCAAATTTTGAGCAAATTGCCGTTGATTGCTGATAACGAACTGGCTGGTAATAAATGATCTTTTATTGCATTTTACTCTTCTTTTTTACCTTTTTTAATTTTTTTAAATAATATTGTTTATAGTCTTTCTTTTTATTTGGGAAACTTTAGTACTAACCCGAGGCCCAGTACTCCAAGACAAAGCCGCCGATCATGCGGAATTTGTAAAAGAAGCTCGAAAATTGATTGGAACAGTACATCAAACTGAAGTTGATGCGACGACGGAAGACCTAACATACGACAAGATGGTCAAAGCCAAAGTGATCAAACAGACCAAAATAGATTTTGATCAAGTTGGATTACAAAGGCTGATTCATGACTATCTGATACAAGCTGGTCTGGACAAAACTGCTCAAACTTTACAAGTTGAAGCGGGATTGGAGGCTGGGTACAGTGGAGGCACGGCTGTTACTCCAAGGACTGTGGCTACGGTGGGTGTTGGATTTTTGTTTTTAGGTCGGAATACGTTTGTTTTTTAACTTTTGGAGGTTTTTTTGGAAGTTGAGGGTGTGGTAAATAGTGGCAAGCTTAAGGAAAAATTTTTTTTTTACAATGGGGGGGGCGGGTACGGTTAGTTGACCTTTTTTTGAAAAAAAAATTTTTGTGGGTCTTTCTTTCGCCGCCGTTACTCCTTGCTTTACTTTTTCTTTTCGTGGAAACTTTTGTCGTTTTTCCACGCATAAATACATGTAAACAAACGACGAGACTTTTTTTTCAATTTCAAATTGAACTATAATAAATTTCTATTTTTTAGCCAAGACGCCTTGGCGAGTTGAAGAAGTCAGCAGAATCCGAATCCACAAGTGCAGACAGAACTATAAATTCAGTTACATCACTTAGAACTGACACAGCATCTACCCTCAATTCAAAAGAATCTTTTTCAAAGCCAACAGTTTCAGCTAGGAAATCACTCGGATCAATGGGAAAACCCAATGGCAAATTGATGAGTAACAGTAGGTTTTTAATTTTTTAAATTTTATTATTGTATGGTTAATATGGGGAGTCAAGAATTGTATTATTTATGAGTATTTATTGATATATTATTGAGAAATCTAAGTTAATATCCTGTATGGATCTAAAAAGGTCTTCCACGACCTCTGAAAGGACCTTCTTTGCCACCACGGCCCGTAGGGTAGACGTACTTGACGATAGTACGTACTGGTCCTTGTCCACGTCCAAACTGTGTTGGCTTTCCTCGGCCGTTGAAGCCTCCTCTTGGCCGCTGGGCCAAATGTCTTGGTGGTCGGTTGGTGGTGCTGATTCCCGGCTGGTTGGTCCTCTTTTCCGACACCTTGATCTGTCGACCGAGGAACAGACTTTCGTCTAACTCCATGGCTTTGATCTTGCCGGTCAAGTCGGCAAACTTAACATAGGCAAACCCCTTGGGGTTGCCTCTAAATTTGTCGAGTAGGATGGTGACACGGTCAACCGTGCCACACTCGGCGAAGTGTTGTTGCAGCGACTCTGGAGTCGCACTATAGTCGACATTGCCGACGAAAATAGACAGCAGGTCTTGGGCCTGCTTCTCCTCCATTGTTTTGGCCGCTTGAGGGCTGGTTCGGCCGGAGGTGGGGAGGGGTGGCTGGTTGGCCTGGAGGCTTTTAATTTTTTTAGCTTCTTCTTCAATTTCTTTCAATTTGGCCGCAAAATCGAACTAAAAAAATAGCAAGTGAGATTTTACAGTAGGTAGGATAAGGTATAGTAGGATAGGGTAAGGTAGAGTAGAGCAGAGTATGTTAAAGATTGATTAAGGCTAGAGTAACCCTAGTATAACGGTAGGATTGGATTGTTTGAAGTGTATTAGAGTAGAGTACGGTATGGCAAAGTAAGATAGATGTAGTGGACGTAAGGGTACGGTAAGATAGTGTTCAAAATGGTACAGTACGATGGATCAGCATTGAGTAGAATATGATCGAGTATGATAGATTAAAGTAAGATATTCCCGAGCGATAGAACAGGTGTGGCAGTAGAACAGGTTAACGATTGATTTGTGATACAATATAGTAATGATAAGGATAGGAATACATAGAGTAAGTAATCGTAGAAGAGGGTAGGTTAGAGTAGACTGGGGTACAATAACTAAGATCTGGGTATGGAAAATATGATAGAGTATAGTATAATGTTATAAGAGTACAAGAGAGAACGGTAAGGTTTAAAACGAAGAATCAACTTGTAAAGAACATTTTCGATCTCTCACAGACTTCAATGTTAGTAATATTAGTACTATACTTACCTCGGCAACCTCCATCTGGACATCTTGGTTGATCTTGGCAGCTTCCATTTTATTTTTATTTTCACAAGTTGAACAAGGAGAAGAAGTCGACTGGTCTGGACACTGAACTCGATAAGAGTATGAGGATTGGGTTTGGCAGCCTCCTTTTATAGTGACAATCGGCAGACAACTCACATCGGTAGAAATTACTTTTGCCATAGTTAATTTCAACGATATAGTTACGTAATATTGATGTAGACTTATAGTGAACTTTGAACTTCTTTATCGACCTTATTCAAAAGGGGTTTTTATGTCTTTACGGGGGTCTAAGAGACCTAAAGTAATGTAAGGATTGTATATTAGATTTGAATGTTTAAAGAGTTACAGTATACATTAATATTGAACAGTTAAAGAGTTACATTATGTAGATTTTGCTTTGGAATTCAAGATTTTTGTAAAATGAAGTGTACTGTAGAGGTACTATAACATCAAAAATAAAAAACAAATTTTTTAGAATATCTTAACATCATATTTCACTTAAAAATGTTATTCCAGGACGTCTTTCAACATTCAGCACGACCTCAACATCAAGTCCATCGAACCGTCGCACGATGAAGTCATCTCTCCTGGCACAGTCGTCATTACCGTTCTCAAATCGCCATTTGGAAAATGCTATATCAATGACTGAAAAACAAGTACCATTAAAACCATACAACCCATTGACGGATATTGTCACTGACTACTTCAGAAATCAACACGCTCACTGCGAACACCCGGTTGTCACTTGTCCACCGTTCTCGTTTTATTAGTAAGTTTTTCACATTTCTTGGCATAACTTTTTTGAAATGATAGATAGTGGCTTAAAAGTTTGAGGGATTGTTGGTTATATACAGACTTATGTTGAGTTAAAAACGTTTTACGAAATGTTTAGTACTTTTAAAGTTACAGTAATTTTACCATAAGCTTAATTTTTAAAAAATTTTTGAAATTTTGTTTTTTTTTTGAAAATTTGACAGTGTGTTTTATTAAGCGTGGCAAGATGTGTTTATGTTCAAAATTTTGTGTTGATATATTAAGTTTTGGCAAAGTTATGATAATTTGAAAAAGTCGAAAAATCAAAAAAAGTTCGAATCCGCTTGGAGACAGTTGGATAAACTGCCATTTTCTAACACTATTAACTTTAGACGCATATAATCTTGAAGGAAAGTTAATTGTGAATAACTACGTATCAGAAAAAAGTTATTGCTTTGTCATATAACATTAAAAATGGCATTTTCAGCCCTCACCGATGCCCAAAACCCCGTGATCTGTTCCGAGCCCCAGTCAACCTGGTCGACCGTTTCTTCCACTCTCAAGCCATGCCCTATCGAAACACTCACACAATGTTCAATCGTGCCAACCGCAACCTCGCCTTCTCTCACTACTGCCCAGTAGACCTGTTTGACATGGAGGAAGAGACTCTAACAGCCTGCGCCTTCTCCTACGATGACAGTTTCATCCACCTGGGCACCTACTCTGGCGACGTCCATTGGATGAGTGTAGCGACCGGTCGGTCCGAATCCAGTGCAAACTGTCACAACACGTTCATCACTTCGGTACAACACAGTACGGATGGTACTATGCTTCTGACTTCTTCTGTTTATGTACCACCATTGTCAGCCTTGTGGAGGACTGGTGAAACACAAGAGGAGATTCACACCTTTGCCGATGACATGGACATGAGCTTTAGTCATGTCAACAACGACAGGATTATTGGAACGCAGATGCATGCTGCTAATGTAAGTGTTTTTTGATTTTATTGGGAAGGATTGGGTTATCAGGGGAAAATAAGGGGGTTTGATGGGGAAACGGATTCTTGGAAATTTTAGGTAACAAAAAGTTGTAAGTAGCGAAAAAGAGATTTTTTATAGTTAGAAATACACTTTTTTGTAAATATCTTACCTAAAAACGTATTTTTATACGTTTTGTTATCTAAAATTATTTTTTTGTAGATTTTGAAACTCAAAAATGAAATTTTTTAATTCGTTACTTAAATGTGCCCAAAGTATAAAAACTAGCTTAATCTTTCTTGTTCTAACCTACAACAATATTTTTTCTTTTAGATATACGACACAGAAATCGGAGAACTCCTACACACCTTATCAGACACGGAAGTCGCCAACAGATACCAAGGTCTACTACGGAACAAAGCCGTCTTCAACTACACTGACAACCTCGCCTTAAACGATGGAATCCTATGGGACGTGAGAGCCGCGAATCGCGCCCAAATCGTCCGAAAATACGACAAATTTTCAAATGAATACTGTGGTAAATTCCACCCAAATGGCCATGAAGTCATCATATCTGGCTCTGTCTGGGACATAAGAACCCACCAACTACTACGGCATGTGGCAGCACTCGACAACTGCGACTACTTCTTTAACAACTCTGGCGATGTTATTTTCAGTGTGTTGGCCAAAGAGCAACCGGTCCGAGACGACCAGTTCTTCTCGGCCTACGAGTCTAACTTCAGAGTCATCGACAGCTTCGACTACCACGTCATCACCACGGTCGACACGAAGCGAGATATCGCTGGTTTTGCCATCGATCATGCTGACAAATTCATATGCACGATAGAACGGTCAAGGACCAGCGATGAGCCCTCGATGTGCCGAATCTACGAAATTGGAAAACCGGCTGAATTCGCCGGTGAAGACGAGAACGACGATGAAGATGATGACAACAATGACGACGACGATGATGACGATGAAATCTTCTCGGATTCGAGTGTATCAAGCAGCGAAGATGGGCTACGAGACGAAGACGACTACAGTGAAGACTCGGACGAATTGGTGGAAGATATGCTGGCCGAATTGGCTGGAGCACCAGGCTTCGAAGACTACGAGGAGAATGACGATGAAGTCTATTTTGATGATGAAGATGGCGACCCGGATCCAGACGAGATGAGTGATTATTATGAGGATTATAATGAGAATTCGGATGACGATGACGAGGATGCTGAGGGTGGAGAAGATGAAGCGTAATGGGGATTAAGGAGAGGAAGGTTGTTAGGATTCTGATGGAGATGCTATGTGTTAGAATTTTGAAGAATATGAAGTATGTTAGGATTCTAGAGAAGTGCTACACAAGTCCCTACGATCTTTTTAACAATCAGAAGCTTATCATCATCATTACAGTTGTTATATCACTTTACTATGACATATTTGGTATTATTTGTGTGTTTTTGTTAAACTTTCTCTATTTATTTGTGTCAAATGTGAAGTTGTGAAAATATTGTTGAATTTGGAACTAACATTATAAATCAATATTCAGCTTGTTTTTCAGTTTGTCGTTGTCAAGTGTTTGAGAAATACCACGTTTTATCTTGTGGAACTTGATTTTGATGACATTTTTTGATTTGTTATTGTTTTTGGTGACATTCTTTGGGTTGGTATGGTATTTGATGTCATTTTTTATGTCCATATGGTACTTGAGGTCATTATTTCTTTCGATATAGTCTTTGATGACATTTTTTTCATCTTGATGAGCAGCGATGTCGCTACGAATTTTCTCTGGGGGAGGGGGGAGGTCGGGAAAAAAAATTTTTTTCGCGTACAGGTACCTCCTCTCTCCCAAACGACGTCCGTGTTGATGGGGTATTTGAGTTCATTTTTTGTTGTATTATTCTTTACCCTTTATGCCATTATTTAATATAGCTTTCTCGAAAATCAACAACGGGAGGATTTTTTGGATTTTTTTACTAGATTTGGCTTTGAAATGCTAAATAAACAAAATGCCATTCTTAAATATGGCTGTTTTGAAAATCAACAGGGGTGGGACCTGTTCAGTTTTTTCCCGTTAGCCTTCGGCTTGGGAGGGGTAAATTGACGACAAAAGGTGTCTTTTTTCATATGTTTTGAGCTCGCACTAACCAAACGATTGTTGGCATACATTGTTATGATTCTGTTACTTTTCTTGTTATACGTTTGTTACGAAAATTAAATAAACTCAAAGTTTTTGCCCTTAGTTTTTACCCTTAGGTACTGTAGGTAGAAAAACAGTTTTAAAATTGTTACTTTTGTCAATTTTTGCTTTTTTTTGAAAAATTGGGTTTTTAATGGATATGGCACTAGGTTTTGAATTTTTGACTTTTTTAATTACATTACAATTTCAATTTTTTTTGAGAAAATTATAACTTTTGTAAAATGAATATCCATATCGACATTATTTATGATATATAATTTATTGATCTATTAAAAACAAACTATTATACTGTACAATATTAAAAAGGTCTTCCACGACCTCTGAAACATCCTCCCTTGCCACCACGGCCCATGGGGTACACGTACTTGACAATAGTACGCACCGGTCCTCTATGTGGTTGACCAAACTGTGCTGTTCTTCCTCCTGGTCGACCATTAAAGCCTCCTCTTGGACGTTGAGCTAAATGCTTTGGCGCTCGGTTGGTTGTGCTGATGCCAGGCAGGTTCGTCCGCTTCTTTGACACTTTGATCTGACGCCCAAGGAACAGGCTTTCGTCCAGCTTCAAGGCCTTAGTTTTGCCTGCCAAGTCGGCAAACTTGACGTAGGCAAAGCCCTTGGGCTTGCCTCGAAACTTGTCGTGCAGAATTGTGACACGCTCTACCGTGCCACATTCCGCGAAGTGTCGTTGAAGCGTCTCGGATGTCGCGCTATAGTCGACGTTCCCGACGAAAATCGACAGCAAGTCTTGAGCTTGCTTCTCTTCTGAGGTCATGGTAGCTTCAGGGCTGATTCGGCCGGAGAAAGGGAGGGGTGGCTGGCTGGCGTGAAGGCTTCTGATTTTTTGAGCTTCTTCTTCAAGTTGCTTCAATTTTGTGGCAAAGGCAATCTGAAAACAGTTAAAAATTAGACAATGTAGTAGTTAGGGTACTGTATGAGAGTAGGATAGAGGAAGACGGTTGAACTGCTTGAGCACTGAACTCGATGAATAGTATGAGGATTGGGTTTTTCAGACTCTTTTTATAGTGAGTATCGGTACACAACTTATATCGGCAGAAACTACTTTTGCCATAGTGAATTTCATCGATAAAATTACGTAATATAGCTTTAGGTCGTATGGTGAACTTTGAACTTCTTTAAAAAAAGGTTTTTTATGTCTTTATGGGGGTATCAGGAGTCTTGAGGTAATATAAGGATGGTGGATTAGTTTTGAATGTTTAAAAAGTTACAGTATACATTAATATTGAACATTCGAAAAGTTACATTATAGAGATTTTCCTTTGGAACAGAATACTTCTGAAAAATTAAGCCTACTGTGGAGGTACTATAACATCAAAATTAAAAAAACAAATTTTTAAGCATATCTTAACATCACATTCTAATAATAATGCCGTTCCAGGACATCTATCAACATTCAGCACGACCTTAACATCAAGTCCATCGAATTGTCGCACGATGAAGTCATCTCTCCTCGCACAGTCATCATTACCGTTCTCGAATCGCCATTTGGAAAATGCCATATCAATGACTGAAAAACAATTACCATTAAAACCGTACAACTCATCGGATATTGTTACAGACTACTTCAGGAATTACACACTTACTGCGAACACTCGGTTGTCAATTGCCCACCGTTCTCCTTTTATTAGTAAGTGCTATCGTTTTGGCAAAACTTTTTTGAACTTATAGTTGGAGGTTCTGTAGAGCATTTAGAGTCGCATGTTGAAGAAAAATTTTTTGGAAATGTTCATTAGTTTTAAAGTTAGAGTGTCGGGTTGGTTATGGTACGATAGGGTAGGGTAAGGTAGAGAGGATGTTTTAGGGTTGGCCATGGTAAAGTAGGGCAAGATAGGATACGGTAGGGTAGAATTGAGAGAGCGGGTTAGAATAAGGTGGGTTGAAGTAGGGTTTGGTATATCAGAGTAGGTTAGGGTAGGATACGGTGGTTTAGGCAAAACGAGGTGGGTAGAGTTGGGCGGTGTAGAGTAGGACAGGGTAGGGTATGATAAGCTATTGTAGGGTAGAGTAAAATGAGGTAGTGTTTATTTTTAATAAAGTAGGGTAAGAGAATCATAGAGTAATATGAGGTAGCGTATTTCAAGCATATGAAGTTCAAAAACTACTCATACTGTTACGGAAAGCCTTTTTTGATATTAATAATTTATAGTTTAGACATTTATATTAACAAAAACTTTTATTTTACACTTTAATTTACTAGTTCAAATCGATTCACTAAATTTATATTTTTCAGCCAAGACGCCTTGGTGAGTTGAACAAGTCAGCCGAATCTGAATGAACAATTGCAGACAGAACTATGAAGCCAGTTACATAACATAGAACTAATACAGCATTTATTCTCAATGTCAAAATAACCTCTTGGATCAATAGGAACACCCAATGACAAACTAATGAGTAGCGGTAGGGTTTAAATTTTTTAATATTGTTATTGTATGGTCAGAATGAGCATTAAGGACGATATTATTTATGATGATTTATTGGTATATTGCTATAAATGTGCATAACTATTGTATACTAATTCTAAAAAGGTCTTCCACGACCTCTGAACGGACCATCCTTGCCGCCACGGCTCGTAGGGTAGACGTACTTTACTATAGTACGTACAGGTCCTCTCGCTGCACCACCAAATTGTGCTGGTCTTCCTCGGCCGTTGAATCCCCCTCTGGGTCGCTGGGCCAGATGTCGTGGTGGTCGGTTGGTGGTGCTAATTCCGGGCTGGTTGGTTCTCTTCTCGGACACCTTGATCTGCCGGCCGAGGAACAGACTCTCGTCCAACTCCATGGCCTTGATCTTGCCTGTCAAGTCGGCAAACTTGACGTAGGCGAACCCTTTGGGGTTGCCTCTAAATTTGTCGAGTAGGATGGTGACACGGTCTACCGTGCCACACTCGGCAAAGTGCTGTTGAAGCGACTCTGGAGTCGCACTATAGTCGACATTGCCGACAAAAATTGAGAGCAGGTCTTGGGCCTGCTTTTCTTTCATTGTCTTGGCCGCTTGAGGGCTGGTGCGGCCGGTGGTGGGGAGGGGAGGCTGGTTGGCTTGGAGGCTCTTGATCTTCTTAGCCTCTTCTTCTATTTCTTTCAATTTTGCTTCAAAGTCAATCTAAAATGGTAAGGAAATAAGCTATTGTAGTTGTTAAGGTAGGGTAGGATAAGGTATAGAATGATAGAGTAGAGTAGGGTAAAGTAGATGAGGGTAGGGTAAAATAGAGGAGGCCGGGTATGTTAAGGGCGATGATGTCAGCTTAGTGTAAAGTTAGGGTTGCACAGAGTAGGATATGTTAAAATATGCTGTGCCAAAGTGAATTAGGATAGTGGAGATAAGGGTATTGTAGGGCAAAGTAAAAAATGGTTGAGTACGGTGGATCATTGTAGATTAGGGTATGCTAATGTATTTCTAGAGCTACGGTATAGCTATTGTAAGAGCAGAGTTGAAGTTTAAAGCGCATTTATATATATAATAGTAAAAAAGTGTAGGTATAGTAGTGTATGGTAGGGTGTTATTTTCGGTACAGTAGTGTAAGGTAGGGTATTTTAGAGTACGACGAAGTACCGTAGAGTAGAGGAGTGTAAAGCAGAATACAGGTAGGGTAGGGTCAGTAGTAAGATGATAAGAGTAAGGTTTGATATATTAGTAAAGTATACCGAAGTAAGTAAGTGGAAAGTAAAGTAAGATAAGTCAATGTAAATTAGGGTATAATAACTAAAAAAGACAGGGAGGGTAGGGTAGGTCGAAGTAGGATAGAATAGGGTAGAATAACTAAGAACAGGGTATGGAGGATGTGGTAGATTACACTAGGATATGATGAAGAGATAGGGTAACGGTAATTTACATTGCAAAATACTTGTTTTTAAGACCAGTACTAGTACTATATATCAAATATATTACTTACCTCAGCAACTTCCATCTGCATTTCTTGGTTGTTGTTGGCCATTTTTTAAAAACTTTAACACGATTAAAGTTGAAGAAGGAGACGAAGAAAGGGTAGCTAGTCGTCGACACTGAACTCGATGAAGAGTATGGCAATCGGGTTTGACAGCCTCCTTTTATAGTGACAATCGGCAGACAACTCCCATCGGTAGACATTACTTTTGCCATAGTTAATTTTATCGATGTAGTGACGCAATATTGATGTAGGGGTATAGTGGAATTTGAACTTCTTTAGAAAGAGGGTCTTTTTATGCCTTTATGAGGGTCTTAAGAGACCTAAAGTAATGTAAGGATTGTAGATTAGATTTGAATGTTTAAAAAGCTACAGTATAGATTAATATTGAAGATTTAAAAAGTTACAGTATATAGATTTTGCTTTGGACATTAAGATTTTTGAAAAATGAATCTTGCTGTATAAATACAGTAACTTTCAAGTTAGATTTGCGTGTTTAAAAGGCTAAAACATACTGAACGGTCTATGTGTGCTTAGTCTACTTAGTTTTTTAAAATACAGTTGCCATTTTATAGGTGGAAGAAACGGCAAGAACTTTGTTTACAAAACTTAAAACAGCAAAAACTTTCTTTACAACACAAAAATTTGACATTTGAATAAATGTGCCATTTTAGGTATTATTCGTATCCCGTGACCACAGCGAAGCTAACATGAAAGCGTTTCTGAAAGATCACGGCCCCTGGCTGTACACGACTTATGGCTGCAAAACAGTGAACAGTCTCTTCAACAAATACACCCTCAAGCAGATTCCTCAACTCATGATTGTTCAGAAGGATGGCACTCACGGTTGTCGATGATGCTATTGACGCTTTTAATGTGAGGTTTTATGATTTTTTAAGAATTTTTTTTTGAAAATGAAAATGGCAAGAACTTTGTTTACAAAAAGGAAATGACGAAAACTTCCTTTACAAAACAATAAATGACAAGAACTTTCTTTACAAAACATAAAATGGGAAAAACTTTCTTTACAAAACAAAAAATGGCAAAAACTTTGTTTACAATTTTAGATTTGGGATTTTGAAGTTGCTTTTTATGCGGAACTGTTGTTATAGGTGAGGTCGTTATAACGGAAGTTCTACGATACTTGATATTTAACTTGTTTTTTGGTTTCATTTCAGATGCACTTCTAAAATGTCAAAGAACTGTTGAAATTAAGTTTAATTTTGTAAGATAATTGTATTAAGAAAGAGCTGTTTACACCGTGGGACTGGGAGTGTGAGGTTTCATCCACTAAAGTAGAATAATAATGTATGGCTTCGTAACATGGAATGAAATGCTCTTAGACGTTACTTTATTTGTTGTCAATTCGGCCGTTTTTTCTATTTTGAAGCTTTTGAAAAAGGCGATTTTATTAACATTCAAAATTTTTTCGAAAAATTTTAAAATTTTAATAAAATTTTAAAAAATTGAAAAAATGCCAAATTCTACCCTGCCCGACTACAAATACGATGATTTTTTGTTTTACTCAAAGATGCTGAGATTCTTTTTAACTCCAGCACTATTCTTCGTTGCTACAGTATCGCCTACAATGATTTACATTGTAGTAAATGCCAAGCATATCGAAAGACATTTAAGATTTGGCTATGCAGTGAACATGTTTAACACTATTTGTTACATAGTTACTTTTACTATGCTTCAACCCAGTTTCTTACTACCCTCACCTTTTGTCTTGTTCAGAGGCTCACTTCAGAATCGGTTTAGTGCGGTAAGGTGGTATGGTTACTGTGTGGTTGATACAAAAAATGGGATTTTAAATTTAATTTTTGTTTCATAATGGCTCATTCTTTTAAGATTTTTTGATTTTTTAGGCTTATTCTAGGGTTTTAGGAAGTGTTGTCGCTTTTTAACCTTTTTTTGCCCATTTAAAAGCGACAAGACTTTTTTAAACATATTAATAGATATCTAAAATTTAAAAAATATGCTTTTAGAAGATTTAAAATGAGATTTTTTAATTTTTTAAGCCGCAGGGTAAGTTTTTATAAGGCGGGGTAGAATAGAGTAAGGCATGAAAGGATAGGGCGGGATAAGGTAGAGCAGGGCAAAGTAGGGTGAAGCAGAACCGCATAATGCAGGGTTAGGTAAGTTAGGGTAGGATAAGGTAGGGTCGGGTAGGGTAGGATAGGATAGGATAGGATAGGATAGGCTAGGGTAGGGTAGGATAGGGTAGGGTAGGATAGGGTAGGGTAGGATAAGGTAGGGTAGGGTAAAAATTTTTTTATTTTAAGTTTAAACATTTAGTTTCAGGTAAGCCTAACAATAGCCTGGGCAAACCTCTGTTCCGGAATCGTGGCTACAGTATTAATGCGACTGTTGAGCAATTTCAAATTCAGCAAGCTGGCCAGAATTATTATTGGAACTTTGCCGTACGCGTTCCTACATCTGAGTGCTATATTACCTGCTTTGATGTATGTGTTTATGACAACCGATCGGATCGAAAACAAACTCACTCCAGCTGATTTGGAAATGTTCAGAGAACAACAATGGCTTCTACATTCTGGCGGACTTTACTGTATGTTTTTGAGGGTTATCCTACCTTACCTTACTTTATTCTACCCTACCCTACCCTATTCTACCCTACCCTACCCTCTACCTTACCTACTTTTCTCTACTCTACCCCGGTTTTACCTTACCTCAACTGTAATATACACCTGTTTCAATCTATTCCAGCTTCACCCACCTCGCCCTTACCTTACTCTATCTTATCTCAGCTAGACAATGCTTGAACCTTACCCTGCTTCAGCCTTACTTTACCCAGTCTAATCGTACCCTACTCTAATTTACTTCTTACTACTTTACTCTACCCTGCTTTGCCTCATCTTACTATACTTTACTATACACTAAGCTGCGTTTATGTGTTGTAAGCAAAGATATGGCAAGTGACTAGCCTTTGTGACATTAAATCCATTTTCAGACTTCCCAGAGACCGAATACACCAAGATCTTCTGGATGCTGCAAACCTTTTCCTGTGTCATAGTCATCTTCCTCTTCACCATCCTCACCATCTTTGAGTACTGTAGACGTCACAAGTACTCCGGCTTCTACATCTTAAACGTCATTTTATTCTTTATCTCTCCATGGTCTGTGATATCATGTGCAATGTACTTTCGACTACAGTCCGGCATGGCAATGGTTCAAGTGGCATGGATGGTGACATTCCTGTATCCAATAATGGAAGCTGCGGCTATAGCACAGCTGATACGGTGGAGATATGCGACTAGACATTTCATGCCGAAAATCGATTTCAGTGGAAGGCTGGGACGATGGAGAGTGGGCGAGGTGGATCGACCGACCAGTCGGGACACTGTTTGAAAAGGTACGTTGAATGGAAAATAGGGTACGGTTTAGAAAAGTGAGGTGTGTTAAGGTAGAGTATGGTGGGGTAAGGTAGGGTAGGGAAAAGTAGGGTGTCGTAGGATAGGGCATAGTATACTAGGGTATCACTACGGTAATGAGAGACTAAGGAGGCTAAGACTGGGTCGGTTTTGGTCATAGGGTAGTGTACAGTTAGTGTAAAGTTAGGCTATGTGTACGTGGAATTACCAAAGCTGTAGCCGAAAAAAACACCACTATTAGTTTTTTACTTTACGTCAGGAACGTAAGAAGTCAAGATTAAAAACAACAGTTTAAAGTTTGACTTATTTGCCTTTGAACTTTTGACATCAGTAAGGCTGTAAAACTATAAAAAGTTAATTTTATGCCTGTCGGGCAGAGACGTCGCTACGTTTTTTCTCTGGGGTGGGGGGTGGATGCCCAAAAAAAATTTTTTTTTCGTTTTTTCATGTACAGGTACTACCTGCCTGTGGATTTTTTTCGGATCGGCTCTGGGGGGGGGGACTCACCCCGAACCACTCCCCCCCAAACGACGTCCCTGCTGTCAGGTAAAATAAAAGTGAATGTCTGTTAATATATGCTAGATCAGAATAAATAAAATGGTAGGGCAGCGTGGGCTAAATGTAGTATGGTAAAGTACTGTAGCCTAGAGTGGAGTAGAGCGTGATAGGGCAGTCAAGTTTAGGATAAGATAAGGCAAAGTAAATTAGAGTAAGGTATGGTAAGGTAGGATATGGTAGTATAATGTATAATAGAGTAATTCCCTATTTTACCCGTCCCTACTCTATCCTAATTTACCTTTTTTTTACCATACTTTACCCTGTCTTACTACCAAATATATTTTACTTTTTTTTCTGTTTTTCCCTAGTTTAACTGTATCTACCCTACCCAACATAGTCTATGTTAAGGTATGGTAGGGTACGTTGGTATAGGAGGTTAGGGCAAGGTATGGTAGTGTAGTCTAGAGTTGGTTAAGGTAGGAGAAAGTACTGTAAAGTAAGGTATTGTAGAGTAAATTAGGGTAGAGTAGGAGTAAAGTAAGTTAGGTTAAGCTAAGGTACGGTAGAGTAAGGTAAGGTGTAAAAAAGATAAAGTTTAAGTTTAACTTTGAAGCGTTATCTGTAATATTAGTTATTTTTATCTTTGCTGAACGTCTCACGTTGTGTCTTATCAAAAGGACACTCCTTACGCAATGGAGTGTTCATCTGATTTTTTTTGTAATTACTTTTTGCAGACCTTCACCTACTTTTATTACATAAACGGTACGGTAATTACAAATGTAGTTGGGTTTTAAAATTTTGGGGGTGAGGAGGGGGGTATTTTTACTTAAAAAATTTAAAAAATTGTTGTAAATTAGGTAGCTCTGCACTTCTAGGCTGATTTTATATCAATAAAGTGGATTAGGCTTATCAATGATAAGTTATCATACTGGCTTATCAGCCTTTTTCTGTAGCCCGTTCAACCTCATTGTAAACTTACCCTGCCCTAACTTTATCTTAATTTTAAAATGACATCATTTTTTACCCCACCCTATTTTTATCATACCGGGAACTGCGTATACAACACATGCGAAGACAATTATTTAAATGTTAACAAATGCAAATGCCTCTTTATCAATTGACACCATAATATCATTCACGCTCCTTTTCAGGTGAAACAAAATCATTTTTGAGCGATCAAAATTTGAGCTCTCAAAAACCGAACCCTACCTATTGAAACGGAACGGTATTACTAAGGTTTACATACGAAAGTATTGTAAATAGAACATCGCTTCCTTTTATATTTGCCTTTCTCTTCGATTACGGGGAATTCTGTATAATATTGCTTGGGGCTTTGAAGTTTGTTCGTCATATAAAGGTTTTATAAAAGCGTTATACAGGAGTTACATTTTATAGTGTAACTCTGTACATAGATTTCCTTAGGAGTTTGAAATTTTTTTCGTTATAAGGAGGTTCTGTTATACAGAGGTTTTCAATGTACTGTATAGGGTTAGTTGAGTAGGAGTGAGAAACCGGCTAAGTAGGCATAGCTCGGCTTGATTCTCGAGCCGGGACAGTCATGAGCAAAAATTAAAACGTGGTCGGCCTAAAAGTTGTGTATGGGCCGGATCTAAAAAGCTGGTCCTTTTTTTCTCTTATAGCCGGCGGTTCTAAAAGTTGTTTGTTATACCGAGTTTTTGTTGTACAGGGGTTTGTTATAGAGGAATTTGTTATAGAAAAGTTGCGAAAAATTCGAAAAAGACGTTGTTTTAAATTAGTCTGGAGGTTCCAGTTTATCTGTGGACCAAAAAAAATCTTTTCGGCCTCCCCCCCCTCCCCACAGAAAAAATCCGTAGCGGACCCTAGGAGACTCCGTTATAGAGGAGTTTGTTAAATAACAGGCAGCTATAGAAATGTTTTTTTACACACGGGTTCTACTGTAGTTATATTATGTATAAAGGATAAGTAAGTTCAGGGTTACTGCTAGGGATAGAACTACATTATCCGTGGCTTAATTTTAAAGGGGCGTATTTTTGAATTATGTTTTAGTTGTTATCTAATGGTACCATACTATACCAACCTACATGCAGCTTTTATAATTTATACATTTCCTAATCGTTCGGGGGTTTGAAATTGGTCCGTTATGAAAGGGTTACTGTAAACAGGGGATTAAAACGCACGGTGTAGTGTTGACCGGGGATTTAAAAGACACTCGTTATACAGGAGGTCCACTGTAAAATTTAGTTTTTGTATAACGAACAACTTTCAATTATCTAGCCAATACTACACATTTACTGCGCCTGTATACCGAAATTTCTTTATAATGAAGCTTTTTGTGGTCCGACCCAGCATTACTTCTGAGGTCTGGCCTAGGCTTACTTTTGAGGTCCAGTCCAAATTCTGAGGTCCGGCCCAGGTTTAATGTTGCGGTCCAGCTCAGGCCTGCTTTTAAGGTTTCGTCTAGGCTCGGGGCTTAATGTTTAGACACGCAACGTTTATATTTTTCTTCAGATTGGCTTGGTCCGTTCAAAAATAATTCTAGACCTGGACTGGCCTGAAAAAATTTTAAAATTTTAAACACGAAAAATAACTACCCGTTTCTTACCCCTAGGGTAAAGTTGAAAGTAGAAGTATAGGTACGGGTAAAGGGGGTTCATTATAGTAGAAGTATAGGTACGGTAAGGAGTTTCGTTATACAGTGTTTTACTGTATTATTCCTTCTTCTATTCCTTTACACGCTTTTTTTTCGTTTTTTCACGTGTTTCTCTTGAGTTTTGAGGTTTTTCCTCTCGAAAAGCGTTATTTCGAGAGTTAAAAATTGGCGGCGTCTTTGGAAGAACATTTGCAAAAAAGTCGAAACAAAATTTGTCAATTTTTCGAGAGGCAAAAAAGTGAAGACGATTCGTAGTTGGACCGATTTCAAGACAATTTTTTATAAATTACGGCTGTTTTTACGCTGTTAAAACATACGAAAGGCTAATTCTACGTTGTTAAACATAGTAAAAGCCAATTTTACGTTGTTTAACATACGAATACGTCATTGCTCAGTTAAAAATAAGAAATACATTAACTTTACGCTACTTTAATTACTATATCAAGCTATAAGTTTCGTTTTTAGGTATCAATCATTACTACGATTGATTATACGTTGATTGCGAAACTACTTGTACAGTCTTGAATTACTGTTACTATCAAGCTACTTGGGCCTGTATTATTGTTTCGTTCTTATATATCATTGACACAGTTGGTTTTACAATTAATACAAGACTACTTGCATCATCATACTTTACTATATATACCATCTACGAGTACCAGTTACTACACATAGTACTACTGCACATAACTTTCTACTAAGCTTTTATTTACCGCTACAGTAACTGATCATTAAACTTCTATATGACAACTAATACCATCTTGATGTCTGACGTAGTAAGAGCGTAGAAGAACAGGGTCATAGCACAGTAAAAGCCTAGAGACGAAGAGCGTCATTACATTGTAAAAACCTAGCCAAACATCATATCAGACCATAGTAGAAACGAATACAAAACAGTGATAACCCTCATATCACCGTGAAAGATGAAGCTTTCATTGGACGGAACGGTAGATCCGTGGTGGCGATTCGCCGCGTTCGTCGCAAAAGTGAGTCGCTTTTTGTTTTTTTTTTGTTTCTATTGTTTCAAATTAAAGGGGCGAGAAATTTTTGATACATTTTAAAGGCATCTATAGAAACATTTTAAAATTTTACAGTGAAATTATGGCAAGAACTTTGCTTACAAAACAAAAAACGACAAGAACTTTCTTTACAATACATAAAATTGCAAAAACTTTCTTTACAAAACAAAAATGGCAACAACTTTATTAAAAAATTTAAATTTGCAAGAACTTTCTTTACAGTCAAGAAAAGAACGGGAACGTTCTTTACAAAACAAAAAATGGCAAGAACTTTGTTTACAAAGCACAAAATGGCCAGAAATTTGTTTACAAAACTTAAAACGGCAAGAATTTTCTTTACAAAACAGATAATTTCAAGAACTTTCTTTACGAAATAAAAATGGCAATGACTTTTATTATAAAACAAAAAATGACAAGAACTTTCTTTACAACGCACAATAAAGCAAGAACTTTCTTTACAAACTCAAAAATTGCAAGAAATTTCTTTACAAGTCATAATATGACAAAGAAAACTTTTAAAAAATTGTAAAGATTTTAATTACAGGTCAAAAGACTGTGTACGCTACTAAAAAATGTAAAACGAACCTTTTCAGTCCCCAAAGCCAATTTTCGGTCCAGATTTCTCAAAACTGCAAGTTGAGCTAATACTTCAAATAATCGAAAATCTGGATGTGTCAGATTTGAGCAGACTATGTTGTACTTGCCGGAAACTGAACCAAATTATTCACGTTTATCGACCGTTATTTGATCGAATCGATGTAAACTCGATTAATATACAGTATGGGAAATGGTATGACGTGCTCACAAAGGCTAGGGCTGGTAGGTTTGTTTGGAAATTGGGTAGGATTGGGATTTTTAATATGGCTGGGGTGGGGTAAGCCCAATGTGGAGCAATGATTTACCGACTCTGCTTTAATCTTGTCCTAGTTTAGTGATACGGTGAGATTTGGGTAGGGTAAGAATAGGGTATGTCTAATGATAAGGTAGACAAGGTCAGGGTAGTGCAGAAGGGGACTAGTGATAAGGTGGGACGAGGCTGTGTACGGTAGGCTAGGGTGTTACCAGTGATAAGGTAGGCCTGAACGCGGTAGGAAGGGATAGGGTAGACCAGGTATGACTAGTGATAAGACGAAGCGAGGCCAGGGTAGAGTAAGGTAAAGTAAAAGTAGAGAAAGCAGCGGTAATTAGGGGGTAGGGTTAAAGTAGGGTAGGGTAGGGTAGGGTAGGGTAGGGTAGGGTAGGGTAGGGTAGGGTAGGGTAGGGTAGGGTAAGATAAATTAGACTAATGTATCAATAGTGATAAGGTAAAGTGAAGCGAGTTCAGTCTCATAGGGTAGTGTGCAGCTTTTGATTAGGGCAGATCAGGCTACGGCTGCCCGGAATTACCAAATTTGTAGCCGACAAAATCATGAATCCCATTATTTTTAAGCCTTACGTCACGGAATTAAGAGGTCAATATCAAAAACAAAAATTTAAAGTTTGACTTTTTAGTCTGTGAACTTTTGTTTCTATTAAGACTAAAAACATTATTTTTGATCTTAGACTCAAAATCACACTAAAAAAGTACGAGTTTCTAAAACATTTTTAAAATTTTTGGAAATTTTTTTAACAACATGGTACATTTGTTATAGATATACCGTATTTTACAATGCAAATAAAAAATTTTTAACTTTATAAGCTTAAATTTACCTCTTTCAGATAAAGTAAAAGTGAATTACTACATGCCAGACCATAAAACATTGCCTAAAATACGAAAAAGCCGGTTTTTAAAAGCTCATCGAGTAGTGCCTTTGAAGGGTGTACTACTTCATACCCATATCAAAGTAAGCTTCAAACCTATTGTTATCAGTACTTTACCCTACCCTACCCTACTCTACCCTACCCTACCCTACCCTACCCTACCCTACCCTACCCTACCCTACCCTACCCTACCCTACCCTACCCTACCCTACCCTACCCTACTCCCTACCCTACCCTACCCTACCCTACCCTACCCTACCCTACCCTACCCTACCCTACCCTACCCTACCTTACCTTACCCTACCCTTCCCTACCTTACCCTACCCTTCCCTACCCTACCCTACCCTACCCTACCTTACCCTACCCTACCCTACCCTACCCGACTCTACCCTACTCACCTCTAGAATCATTCTGTTCTACCGTGCTCTACTCTACCTCCCTTTACCAAATTGTGTTTTACCTTATCTTGCGCTTTGCTACCGTACTCTACCCTACCTCTTTCTATGGTATCTTACCCTACCTTACCCAACCGCACAAGACTTTACACTAGCCTACATTACCTCACCTTATTCTGCTTTAGCCTTACCCTACTTTATCCTTTCTTATCTTATGCTATATTCGTTTTGTCTTACTGTACCGTACTTTGCTTTACTTTTCTATAGCTTGGTTCTGTCTTAATACCCTCAAGCCTACTGTATCTTGTGGACCTTAAGAGTTGTATAGCAAACTTGTGCAGTATTAGTCGGATCTAACGCTACTCCTTTGACCTTATATCCTACTTTAACTTATTATACCCTACCCTACTGTACCCTATTACAAAGTTTTACTTGCAAACGTTACCAATTCCAGAACACCTTCATTCATTTTGAGTTGATCCACCCCGAAATGGCTTATGATCTCCACCTATCAAACCTATCAACCAACAATTTATTCCTCAACTTCTCCCACCATTCCATCCAACAGTCCTTACTGAAACGGTATTGGCCAAGTGTAGCCGATGCTATAAATGGCAACTTGAGTATAGACAGTGTCAATGTTATTCTGAGTCCGAAAACTTTTGAATTTTACGAAGAAATTGTCAAAAGTCTGCCTGATTGCTCGGTCGAAGCTGTGGTTTCGTATGGCTTTGAGCATTGTAAAATACGATTTTAGATCTATTAAAAAGTGACAGTCTTTCTATGTTGATATCGGCGGATATCATGCAAATTTTAAAAATTTAAAGCTTTGTTTGTCATGCGGTCTTAAAACTTTTTTAATTATGTTATATTATTAGGTTTCAACATAAAGAACCCGCCATACTTTGCCTGTAATTGCCTGTAGAAAATGGCGGGTTCTTTATGTCGGCACCTAATATACTATAGATATCCATATATAATTTTACAATTAATAAACGGGTTATTATTAAATTTGTCATTCATTTTTAAAAATGACTTTGAAAAAACTAAAAATAAATTTTAAAATTTTATTTTTATGATTTTCAGTGAGAATGAACAGCGATTTTTTTATAACTTGTATAAAAATAAATTTTCAAAAATAATATGTAACAAAATATTTTTTTTTCACTTTGGGGACGTTTGGACAACCGGTTGGTCAGAGTTAGGATTATGTTTAGGAATGTTAAACTTTACGGAATATTGTAAGCTTATTAATTTTTAGCTTTTTAACTTTTTTTAACTATTAAAGTTAGGGGTGAGAAAAGGGCCGGGCCGGGCCCACTTTTTAGGCTCGGCCCAGGCCCGGGGCCGAACGTTTAGGCCCGGCCCGTTTTCAATCTTCTCTCAGGCCGGCCCGGCCCGGTCAGAAAATTTCTAGGCCCGGCCCGGCCCGTTTTAAAAAATTTTAAAACTTAAAAAATAAACAGAAATATGGCTTTGCATTGTTCTTTTAGATCATTTATGTATTATGGTACCCAATAAAATCAAAAAACATCAACGGGGATTAAAATAAAAAATTTTAAAAAATTAAAAAAATTTTTTTTTGGGTTTGGGCCCAATTTTCAAGCCTTGCCCGTTTCAATTTTAGCTCAAGGCCGGCCCGGCTCGATCGTAGGGACGGGCCGGTCTTAGACGGCCCGTTTCTCACCCCTAATTAAAGTAAATTGTTTTTCTTTCCGGTAAAGCGTAAGTCTAGTTTATATATAATAGGATGAGGTAAAGCCAAAGCAAGACAAAGATTTTGTTGGGGCAATATTCTGTGTAGATTAGGACTCCTTAAGGAAGGCAGTTGGCTATCAAATCCTTAGGACTAGAATTTAGTGCTCTGGTAGGGTAAGATACGAAGGTAGGGCAAGGGTAAGGTGCGGCTAGGGGGAAGATAGGGCAAGAGAAGTGAAATGTTAGGGCAACGGTAGGGCACGGGTATGGCAAAGGTAAGGACAAGGATAGGGCAAGAGAAGGACGAGCATAGGGCAAGGGTAGGACAAGGGTAGGGCGAAGGTACGACGAGGGTAGGACGAGCTACAGTTTAATGTCGAGTACTATATGATTACAAGTCCCACAGTGTATCATTAAGTATCTTTTAAGTTTTATTACTAAAATTTATTTTTTTAGCCCACCTAAACCCTTAAGCAAGTTCCCTTCACTGATTATAGAGCCAAGAAGATGGCGTGCTACATCTTGTCAACCCTGGATGTTATTGATGGAGAAAGCTGGTGCCAAAGCAATGATTATACCGTACAGAGAAACACATTCTAATAAGTAAGTTTTGATAAAATTTTATTTTTTAAAACATTTTTAAATTAAAAATCAACCTAAGTTTATAGTAAAAGCTCAAAAAGAGTCTTATCGTCAATATGCATACATTTGCACACTCAAAAACGACAAAACTTATTTGATTTTAAAAAAAAATTATTTTGAAAAATGCATTTTCATGTCATATTTCTTAAAAATTTGCATTTTCTCGATTTTAAAAATGTCAAAAAAATTCTTGTCGTTTTTTTACATTGTCTTGCACGTTCAAAAACGACAAGACTTATTTTTCTTGCTAAAAGGCTATTTTGAAGTAAAAAAAAAATTTTTAAATAATCTGGCTTTGCTCCAAACAAAAAAAATTTTAAAATTACGTACATTGGTAACAAAAAAAAATTTTTGCAATTTTTTGTTACTTTTAATGCGACAAAAGTGAAAATGTCGACCTCAGAAGTTCAAGGGTGAGCACAGAATTCGTATTCAATTTGGAACTTACTTAACTCTAATTAGAACCTGCATTAACGACATTATTCAACAAAAGGAAAATCTTTGACACAATCAGTTGATGGGAAGGGTTAATCAGTAGCTAGACGGTTATTATTGCAACACTGTAGACTTTTTTTGCAGTAGGGCAGGGTTACAATAAACGACTTTTTAAGGTTTTGGGGATTATTAGCTAGGCAAGGAGAAATGAGGGGCCAAGGGGGGGGGGAGTATGTTTTCGCCAAAAGAAATACGGTGGTAGGGGGTGGGGGAGGGGTAAGATTTTTTTAAAAATAAAAAAAAGTTTTTGGCTATGTTTTACTAATTTTGAAAGAATTTTTTTTGGGCGGGTTAAATTTTTTGTGGGAGGGGGGGGATGGTGGGTAAATTTTTTTTTCAAATTTGAAAAAAAAACAGTTTTATTATTTTCACAAAAAAAAATTTTTTTGGAAGGGGTAGTTTGAAAAAAAGTCGGCTGGGGGTAGATACTTTTTTATTTTTTTTATTTTGTGTAGGTATACTTTGGTGGCACAGTAAAAGTTCACTATGCTTGAAGTGTAAGATGATTTTTTGATTCAGGATGATCATCAGTGCCGAGCACAATATAGAGATCCCAAATGTGTCGATTCATCAACGAATGTTGGAGAACTTCCAATCCATCGCCAAGAAATCGCCGAAACGGAAGGTTTTTGTGAGTTTTTTTGGACTTTTAGTGCCATTTTTGGGTAGACTATAACAAGATGTTACTATAACTGATTCTTCATGGTGTTGCCTATAGACAGAAGTTACTATACTATTTATCTTTGACTATTTAACCACATTAAACTACTTTTAAAATTCTAAAAACAAGCCTAAAACTCTTCAGATCAACGCCAAAACTGGCGAAAGTGTGACGTATGGTGAACTTCACCGTGCCTCCTACTGTGTCTCCGCTTACTTGAAGAATCTGGGCTTTAGACAACATGACGTCTGTGCTGTTGTGCTGCGTAACACATGGGAGTTCTTCGCGATATGGTATGGCATCTGCCTACGAGGTGGTGCTATGACTCCAGCTAGTCCTTTGTTTACTGAAGGTAGGTTATGGGACTTTTGTTTAAAAATGTGGATTTCAAAATGATTTGTTAAGGCTTTAATATAGATTTTTGAAATTTTTAGGTACCTGAGAGGAGGTATACCACGTTAAATTTATTAATTTTAAAAAAAAATTTTTTTTAATTTTTTTAAAAATTTTTTTTAAAACTTAAAAATTCGTATAGTACACTTTGTAAAGCATAAAAAGTTGTGTCTAGTTTCAATTTTTCAAGTTTATATCATGTAATGTCACAGAATTAAATTCATTGGAAAAAGTCGAAAAACCTGAAAAGTTCGATTCCGGTCCGAAACTTTCTCTTCTTTACCTGTTTAGAGAGATTTTCAGGCTGTAAAACTTTTATTATACATTGTAGCTATATCAAACTTGGATAAAATGTACTTTATTTTATGTTTTGTAAAATACGTTTGTTGATGCTTTTTTCTGTAGTTTTGAAAATGGCAAAAATATTTTTTAAAAGTTTGATTTTCCTCGGAAAATTATGTCTTTTTGAAACTTGACTTTGTTGTACTTTTTTACTTTGTAACATATATTAATGAAACTTATGGTAAATATTCATTATGTATTGCTTTACAATATGTACATGTTGATTTTTCGTTAGGCAGTTTCGAAAATGGCATAAAAAATTAAAAAGTTTGATATTGCCGGATAAATTTTGACTATATAAGACTTTTCACAGCTGTAACTTTTTTACTGGGCAAAATATTTTACTGTTACTTATAGTTAGTATACACTATGTAATGCTTTACAATATGTATTGACTAATTTTGTGTTAGGCACTTTTGAAAATGGCATAAAATTTAAAAAAGTTGTTTTTGTTGGAAAAAGGGAAAAAACAGGTAATATTTAGGTAACAAATCGACTTTTTTCGTTGTTTTAAAGCATTTAAAAACGCTTTTTAAGGGTCAAAAAGTGTTTATATGATACTGATATACCTTATCTTGCTCTAACACTAAGATATGACAATGTTCACTCTTCCATGATATTGTTATACCTATCTAATCTGATCATTCCAGCCGAAATAGCCCAACAACTGAAGGACTCGAACAGTAAAGTCGTGGTATGTGAAGCCATAACCCTGCCAAGAGTGATCGCAGCTGCCGATCAATGTAAGACGATTCAGAAGATTATTGTGGTGGGAAGTTACTATGGTATCAAGGCGCCGAATCTTGCCATGTTCAAGGATATTCTCCAAGTCAAGCCCAACTTTAGGGAATCTTATCCTCGGGTCAATTTGAAGACTGACATTTGTTATCTACCTTATTCGAGGTATGTTTGTTACTGTATTTTGTTAGTTTGTTTCCGGTTGATTACTGTGTTTTTGGTTTGTTGATTACTGTATTTTATGTGGTTTGATATTACTGTAATTTAGTTGGGTATATACTGTACTCTAGGCGGGTTGATTAAGGTAGGGTAAAATAAGGTAGGGCAATGTAGAGTAAGGTATTTTTGGTGGGTTGATTATTGTATTCTAGGATGGTTGACCAGGGTAGGGTAGAGTACAATATAATAAAATAAGGGTAGGAAAGAGTAAAATAAGGCAGGGTAGTGTAGGGCAGGGTGTTATAGGTGGGTTAATTACTGTATTCTAAGTATGTTGATTACAGTACTTTAGTAGGGTCGGTTGCAGCATTCTGTGTGTGATGGTTACTGTACTTTAATAGGGATGTTACGGTATTTTAGTTTGGTTGGTTACTGTACTCTTACTGGGTTGATTATTGTATTCTAGCTGGGTTGGTTACTGTCTCTTGAATGGATTGATTACTGTACTCCAAATGAGTCGATTACTGTATTCTATTATAGGGCTATTACTGTATTTTAGGAGTAGGGATGAGTTCAAAAAGTGAGCTATAATTAAACTTTCTATTGATATATTGATATTATAGTAGACGTTACTTGTTCAAATAAAAAATTTTTTTCAGTGGTACTACTGGTCCACCCAAAGGAGTGATGCACAGCTATCAAAATGTGATGACTATGACTGAAATCTTTTCAAAGTGAGTTTTGAAATTTAAAAATTTATTTTTTTTATTACCTTAGGGCATTTTAAAGTTTGTCATGAAATTTAAAATTTTTTTGAAATTTTTGAAATTTCATATTTCAGTTACTTCCGCACCGGCATCTTCGCCAACCTTCAAACTCATTGGAACTTTGACAACGAGAACTTCCCCGGATTACTGCCATTCTACCACAACTTTGGGTTCATCGCCGTAATGTCGGTTACATTACTGGGCGGTACTGTGGTCTACTTGAACAAATTTGAACCTGAGGCCTTCTTTGACATGCTACAGAACTATAAGGTACGGTGTGGTATACTGGGTTACAGTAGGGTACGGTACGGGAGGTATGATGGGTTACGGTATGGTAGGATACGATAGATTATGATGGATTACGGTAGGGTAAGGTACGATAGGGTAGGGTAGAGTAGGGTAGGATAGGGTAGGGTAGGGTAGGGTATGGTAGGGTAGGGTAGGGTAGGGTAGGGTAGGGTAGGGTAGGGTAGGGTAGGGTAGGATATGATACGATAGACTATGATGAGTTACGGTACGGTATGATGGGTTACGGTAGGGTACAGTACGGTACAATTTTATTTTTATTTTCAGATAAAAGTAGCCTTCATGGTACCACCAATGCTAGTACTAATGTCGAAAACTCCGATGCTGGACAAGTACGACCTGAACCACCTTCGTTTCATCTTATCAGGTGCAGCTCCACTGAGTGATGACCTTGTTAACATGGTTCGGAAACGACTGCCAAACCTAAAGGATATTGGCAATGGCTACGGAATGACAGAGCTAACATGTGCTGCCACCAGTCCATGTCCAGGAGATTATAACTCAAAGGCTAGCGGAAAGATTCTGCCTAATATGCAGTTCAAGGTAAGCTAGCAATAGTCATAGCCCAGAGCCCTAGCCCAGAGCCCTAGCCTAGAGCCTTAGCCTAGAGCTCTAGCCCAGAGCCCTAGCCTAGAGCCTTAGTCCAGAGCCTAGTCCAGAGCCCTAGTCCAGAGCCTTAGCCCTAGCCTTGCCCGGCCGTTTCCTGCCGTGTCCTGTCGTGTCCTGCGGTGCACTGCCGTGCCCTGCTCTGCCCATACCCTACTTATGCCTTGCTCATACTTTGCTCTTACCTTGCCCATACTCTACCCGGGCTCTACCTATGCCCTTCCTACCCATACCCTTCTCTACTTTACTCTACATCACCCACCCTTCCAGATAGCCGATCCAGACACCGGCCGCTCCTTAGGTGTGAACGAAGAAGGTGAGCTGTGTATCCACTCTCCAGCCCAACTGATTGGCTATCTAAATCGACCGAAAGCGACTGAAGAGATCTTTGATCACGATGGCTTTGTAAGGACTGGTGACATAGCCTACTACGATGAGAATCACTACATCTATGTAGTCGATCGTAGAAAAGAGTTGATCAAGGTCAAAGGTCTACAAGTGGCACCAGCTGAACTAGAAGCCCTGTTACTGACTTGTAACTTGGTTAAGGATGTGGCTGTCATTGGAGTACCACACGAGAGAAGCGGAGAAGTACCAAAGGCTTATGTGGTTAAGGCTACACCAAGTGCTACTGCTCAGGCTATCACCGATTTTGTTAAAAGTAAGTTGATCTGTAGGGTAATGGTACGGTAGTTTATAACTTAAGGTTGGGTAGGGCATGGTTAGCATATGGATACTGTATGTATAGGGCATTTGTAAGGCATGGGTATGTGTTGGGTATAAGTAGGCTATGGGCAACGCAAGATATGGGTAGGGTTTTGGTAAGGCATATGTAAGGTATGGGTAGGGTAAGAGTGGAATATGATATAAATAGGTACGGTAGGGTATGGAAAGGTAAAGGCAATCATACGTTACTGAGGGTGGGGCAGGGCACGGCAGAGAAGCGTAGAGTAGGGTAGGGTAGGGTAGGGTAGGGTAGGGTAGGGTAGGGTAGGGTAGGGTAGGGTATGGTAGGGTAGGGTAGGGTAGGGGGGTAGGGTAAGGTAGGGGGGGGGTAGGGTAGGTTAAAGCAATTTTTTAAACTTTTTATAAAATTTTGTTTAAGGCAGGGTAGCCAACTACAAAGAACTGGCGGGTGGTGTGGAATTTGTGGATGAGATTCCAAAGAGTCCAGCTGGAAAGATTTTGCGACGTCAACTACGTGATTTGGAAAAGAAAAAACGCGCAAAACTGTAGACAAAATTATACTTTTTTCTAGCACTGGAGCTAGTTTATTTTTTTTTGGCAAAATAAACATTTTTTTTTGAAATCGAAAAAAAATATTTCATTTTTTATTGTTAAATTTAAAAAAAAATCCAACTGTTCAATCTTCGTGGTCAAACATTCGAGCAAATAGCAAGAACTTTCTTTCTTCGCTGCCAAATGGAATCAATCCTGTGTGGACTTTATGTCAATGCTCAGCTGGTTCTACGAAACCGCCAACAAACAGGAGAAGAAAGTTCTTGCCAGTTTTTGTTTGTAAAGAAAGTTCTTGTCGTTTCTTTCTAAAAAAGCCCATCTCACTACTGTGCAGCCTGCAGGTGACATGTTATACGATGAATGGCCGTTTTATATACTGTAAAGAAAGTTTCTGGCACTTTTGATTTGTAAAGAAAGTTCTTGCCATTTTTCGATTTGGAAAGAAAGTTCTTGCCATTTAAAACCCAAAATCTAGAGCCCATTTCTCATGAAATTCAAAAAGTTTTTCCTTATTCTTTCCACGAACTTATGAATCAAGCCTACCGATTATGCAAATGTTGGGGAAATGGCAAGAACTTTGTTTGGAAAAAGGGAAATGGCAAGAACTTTGTTTACAAAATGAAAAATGGCAAGAACTTTCTTTACAAAACATAAAATGGCAAGAACTTTCTTTACAAAAGGCAAAATGGCAAAAACTTTCTTTACAAAAAGTGAAATAGCAAGAACTTTGTTTACAGATCAAAAAATGGCAAAAACTTTCCTTACAAAGCAAAAAAAATTAATTTTTCACTAAACCTGCCATTTCAGGTAGTATTCGTATCCCGTGACCACAGCGAAGCTAACATGAAAGCGTTTCTGAAAGATCACGGCCCCTGGCTGTACACGACTTATGGCTGCAAAACAGTGAACAGTCTCTTCAACAAATACACCCTCAAGCAGCTTCCTCAACTCATGATCGTTCAAAAGGGTGGCACTCCGGTCGTTGATGATGCTATTGACACCTTGAATGTGGGTTTTTGATGATTTTTTTATAATTTTGATTTAGAATGTAAAAATAGCAAGAACTTTCTCTACGATTTGAAAAATGGCAAGAACTTTCTTTACAAAATAAAAAATGGCAAGAACTTCTTTGCACTATGTCAAAATTGTTGTCATTGCACAGTGAAATCTAGTTTTAGGACTGCACCGTGCAGTCATTCTTTAAAACATGATTATGCCATTCTTTACGTGGTGACTTGAGTAAAATGAAGTTTTTACGGCTTTTTATTAGCATCTACTGCTAAATTAGGTATTGGTATAAAAAGTTAATTTTAAAATGGCACTTTTAAAAATATAAAATTTGTTGCACAGTGCAAGAAAAGTTTGTCACTGCACGATGCATCAGTGTTTTTTTAATTGAAATTGTTATTTTCAGACTCCAAAGATCGTGCCAGTTGACATTGTTGCCAAATGGAAGAAGATGACTACCGAATGAAGAGACAGGATGTGATTTTGAAACTGATTTTAGTCGATTAAACTTGTTGACGATTTTTTTAAATTTAAAAGGAAAAATGACAAGAACTTTCTTTACAAAACATAAAAACGCAAGAACTTTATTAACAAAACAAAAAAGATTTTTTTAATTTTATGAATTTATCAACCGGTTGATTTGCTCTTCAGTCATGTCAAACACGTTGTTTTGGTCGTATTCTTCACTTTCTGATTGATTTTCTACTGTATCCTCAAGTTTGGGCTCCACAGCTTTTTGTCTTCTTCCAGTTTCAAAGTCGAGGTAACCACTGTCATGGATAACATCCTTGATATTTAGATAAGGACTCTTCGATTTACGACCGGTACGAGAACTTTTGGCCTTTGAATCTGAAAAGAATTATGGTTGAAAGAGTTTAAAATGGCAAGGACTTTCTTTACAAAACCAAAAATGAAGGTGACACTTCGTTGAAAAATCAATAATTATAGTGACATTTCGTCAAAAACATAAAATTATGTTTTTTGACATTCAGACAACATATAGTAAGAAAATTTTCATTTTCAAAGTAAAAAATGCAAAAACTTTCTTTACAAACTGAAAAATGACAAGAACTTTCTTTACAAAATTAAAACTGCAAGAACTTCCTTTACAAAACTAAAAAGACCAAGAACTTTCTTTACAATACTAAAAATAGCAAGAACTTGCTTTACAATTCAAAAAATCTTACCAGCAGCTCCACCCAACGACAGTAGCCTAGAAGACGTTGGTTTAGCTTCATACGGTAACAACTTGACCCAATCCGGCAGTACTACTTCCTTCTTCTTGACAAAATGCTTTGGCGTACGGTCGAGAACTTTGATTTCGGTCCAACCGGTCGATTTTTTCTTTTTTTCTTCTTGTCGGTCGCTTAATAGTGACAGATCAAGTCGGCCGATTGAGGCTGGTGTTGTTGGTGATGGTATAGCTTCTGGTACGTAGTCTACTGAATTTAGATTTAGGTTCATTTTTGGTACTGTAGTAGAGCTGTCGTAGTACTCGTTTTGGTAGTTGAGGTCAGTAGAAGGTGGATATTGATGCTGATGTTGGGAATTAGAGACTTCTGAGTTCTGAAGGTCATGGTGAATATAAGGTGTTTTTTGATGTTGTATATAATGTTGGGTAGTATGAACATCATTTTGAGAGTGGTAGTGATTACTACGGTTTTCAGTGGCTTTAGTCTTACTTTGTAAGTGATTTTCAGTACTACCATGGTGCTGCTTAGTATCATGGTGCTGCTTAGTACGATCTTTAGTAACTTTAGTCTCACTTTGTAAATAATTCTTAGTACTAACGTAATTTTGATTGTTATACTGGTTAGTATCATAGTACTCATTAGTACGGTCTTCAGTATCTTTACTTTTACTGTTGATTTTAGTACTAAGTTTTTTGGTAATATCATAATTTTGTTTGTAGTACTGATTAGTAACATCAAACTGATTAATACCATAATACTCATTAGTACGGTCTTCAGTATCTTTACTTTCAGTGAGAATTTTAGTGCTAAGGTTATTAGTACTATCATAATTTTGTTCATAGCACTGATTATTATCATAGTGCTGATTAGTACGATCATCATCATTTTTACCAGTTTTATATAAAACATGTTGAGGATTGGGGTAAATTAAGCCATCATTATCGATTTCTGAGTTGTTTTCATCACTGTAGTTCTTCCTCTCGACCTTCTCTATGTTCTTATCATTGTCATAGCTATACTGTGTTTGACCTTTGCCATAACGTCCACCGTCATGTTTTGTAGCATCCTGTAGCCTATCCTTCTTTTCTGTACCCTTCTGTGCCCCGTTCTTTACCTCACCAGAACTCTTCAGTCCACTATCAGTGTTAGAATCACTATCATTACTAAGCCCATCATTATTACTTTTGCTATTAGCTTCAGCTTCTTGTTCCATCCTCTGCCTTTCTAACATTCTTTCACGTTCAGTTTCCAAAACACGCCGAGTCTTCCTCACCTTCTTTCGATCGCTCAGCCTTGGTGATATCGAACTGCTTGAGATGCCTGAGCTTAAGTCTTCGTTATCTTCATGATCTTTTACATATAGCTTTGAGTTTACGTTATGAATTTGGATATTTTTGTAGGTAGCGGGTCGTTGTGATGTAAATGATTTATTTGTACTAGTGTGGCCAGATCTTGGCCTCAGTTTTGAATTTTCATCAAATTGTGACTTCATTTTCAAATTGTCATTGAATTGAGACCTCACATTGAAATTGACATCAAAATTCAAGTTCTGATTCAAGGACTGCTTAACAATATCTTCCGGCGATTGGCTCCATTTCTGTTTTAGGCTACTTAACCTAGCACTAATAGCTTTCAATTCATCTGATAAGTCTAATGGTTCTTCATGATGACTTCTACTTATGTTATGTTTAGTATCCTGATCTGGCGTTACAGTACTATAATTAGGCTGTGTGGTACTATGAATATGTTGCATAGTACCATAAATAGGCTTTTTGGTACTAAAATTTGGTTTCATAGTACTATGAATAGGCTGCATGGTACTATAACTTGGGTGTGTAGTACTAAAACCAGGCTGTGCTGTACTATCACCAGGCTGTACAAACTGCATAGTACTATAACTAAGATGTTCAGTACTATAACCAGGCTTCATAGTACTATTACTAGGCTGTGTAACACTATAATCAAGCTTTATAGCACTATTGACGTCATTTCCATCTCCATTTGGCCCAACTTTCCTCCTCATCCCAGGACTTTTGGTCATTTTCAATTGTCTTATCTTGTTCAATATTTCAACTCGTTTCTCTTCATTTACATCATAGTATAGACTAGCTTTTTGAGCATTTATCAGCATGGTACTCTTTCGAATTTTCTCTATATACTCCTTCTCTTGAAGCAATTCTTTCTCTAGGCCGGATTTGGCTTGATTAGTAGGTATAGGTTGTATTTGAAAGCTTGTAGCTTGGTTATTATGGCTTGGACTTTTACCATGATCTTTCTCATGATTTATATTACCCTTATCTTCATTATGCTTTAACTTTTCTTGACCATCATAGCTTCCATCATGCTTTATATTGCTTTGATCTTGATTTACAAGTTCCAAATTTTCATTATTACCCATATTATGTTTACTATTGCTCATATCTTTGTCATAACTACTTGCCTGAGGTTCAAATTGAGGTATGTTAGCACTAGTAGAAGGCACATTACTATGGTAAACATCACTCATATAGTTTAGACTTTTTACTGTGGTATTGGCATGAGATATGGACCTACCACCAAGTCGGACCAGGCTTGCTTGAATTCGATTTTGAAGAGTACCATATGGCTCTTTGGTACTAAGTAGGGCAATGTTAGGGTCGGAAGCATTATTCTTTTCGTATTTTACATGATTTATACCATTACTATGTGTATCTATCTGATTGGTATTCATAGTACTAGCCAGTTCTCCGCCCTTAGTACCAAAACTCATTTTACTTCGATTACCTCTCTGTATCGTACTGTAGAACGTACTATTCTCGACCTTGACCATCTCACTAGGCTTCAGTTTCAAACTAATGCCAATCAAACTCCTATCAGACAACGACACATACGGTAGACTGTTAGCCACATAGTCTAGTATCAAGTACACTTCTTGAGGTACTATCATCTTGAGTTTGTCATCACCAAGGTTGAGTTCAGTTGTAGGTCGTGCGCTTACCACATTGACCTCAGAATACATTGCTGTTCTCCACTGTTCTACAGTGCTTTCGGATAATGGAGGTAGGTAACGTTCTTTGTCGGTCGATATGTCATCAAAGAATTGGAGGATTTTTATCAACTGGTCGATTTCGTCGGCCTCTAGTTGGGGTATGTAGTCGGTTTTGGAGTGGTTGGTACTACTGTAGTTTTTTCTGTACTGTAGTGAGCTTTTTGAGTTACTGTAATCATCTTTATACTGTATTGAGCTTTTATCATTAATGTAACTATTTTGATACTGTAGCTTTTTTTTATCATTACTGTAGTCATTTTTATATTGTAGCGGACCTTTTTCATTACTGTAACCATTGTCATACTGTAACGAATCACTAAAGTTACTTTGATGACCATGATGACTATACAGTAAGCTTGATTGAGAATCATACTGTACCGAATTGTCATCATTTTTGTAATCCATCTTAGCACCAATAGTACCACCGTTAGTACCAAAGTTTTCAAAACCTTCAGTACCGTCCTGTGGTCTACTGTAGCCCATCCTACTCATCCTTTGTCTAATCTTATCAATATCATCCTTCTTCGCCCCTCTTCTACTCAGTAAAGCCATTTGGTCGCGGTAATTATGTATCAATATCATCCTCAACACATCCTCAAAACTATGATACACAGCAGTATCAACATCATCTACTTCAGTATGTAGCACTTGGGTACTAAAGTTAAGGTTGTACTTCCAGATGTTACTCATCAAGGTCCCGGCCACAGACTTTAGCCAATTACAGCGTTGTAATACGGTAAGATAGACTCGTATCAACTGGTACATAATGTTGGTTTGAACTAGTTCAGGTATGTTTTCATCATCCTGAGCTGGTAGTACGTATACTGGAGGGCGTGGGAGTTGAACTTGGTCATCTACTGTTTCAGGTAGACCGTCTATGACGTACTGTAAGGCTGACTGTAGGTACTGTAGTAAGTCGTATGTCCATGAAATGTTGAGCATGATAGATAGTCTTGTATATACATCAACATGGGTTTTAATTTGGTCATCTGACATGACGGTATGGACGGTTATATTAATGTTGTTGTAGGTAACAGATGAGGTAGAGTCATTGTAGTCATTAAAAACATTTTTAGTACCATTAGTACCATTTTGTTCATCGTGAACTTGATTGCTTGGCCTATCGTACCCATTACCATACTCTTTACCGTACCCTCTGCCGTACTCACCACCGTATCCACTACCGTACCCCCTACCGTTCACCATACCGTAGCTCAACCGACCAATAAAGTCAGAAACAAAAACCTGTGTAACATGTTGCTCAGTAAGCCGTAACCCGTATTGTAGATCAGATAGTACCCGTAATAGTATCTGAGATCGTATGTCATTGAAATGGTCAACGTATAAGCAAGCTTCAGTTAAGTTATTAGTGATCAAGAAGAGCTGAACAGGTAGAGAAGCAGAGTAAGTGGGTGGTATGTTGGATGACACATATTCTGGAGTTAGCTTTTTGTAGAGAGCCTGGTCTGAAATTTAGAAGTTGGATTAGAGAGTAGGGGTACAAAAGGGTTAAGAGAAGAATAAGAGTAGAGTTAGGGTTAGAGAAAGCTTAAAGCTAGCGCCAGGTCTAAGGCTAAGACAAACTAGGATTAGAATTAACAAAAGAACTAGAGCTAAGACCTTTTAAGGCTTAAAAGCTAGGACTCTAAGCTAAGGCTCTAAGCTAAAGCTCAAGGCTAAGACACTAGACTAAGGCTAAGAGTAAGGTTTGGGCTAAAACAAGACATCCTGGCTAAAGCTAGGGCTCTGAGTTAAGGCTCTAGAGAATTTAGGATTAGTGTTAGGCCTAGGGCTCTAGGCTAGGGCTCTGGGCTAGGGCTCTGACTAAGGCTCTGGGCTAGGGCTAGGGCTCTGGTCTAAGAATAAGACTGAGGCTGGGCTAAGGATGGAACTAAGGCTAGCCTTCAAATTAAGATTAAAAAAATATTTAATAAATTCGTACTACACAAAGCCTACCGTAATCACTTTCTTTCCACAAAACCAACTTCCAAAGCGATGGAAACTCAATGTCATTCTTTATCGGACATAAAATTGGTAGATTCGAAAAGAAAGCAGCCAAAAATCGACCAAAATTGGTCAACAATTCATGCTCATGATCGTCTACAGCCTTTTGAAGTTGATCTACTGACAATAAGCGGAATAGGTCTACTTCCATATAAGGTATGAACTAAAACATATTTTTGAATAATAAACAATTTTTTAAATTTTAAAAACGGCAATCAAACTGAGCGATAAAAATCTACCGCCGTGCTATAGTTAAGCTTACCTACCCTACCCTACCCTACCTTATCCTACCCTACCCTACACAATCATACAATTCACAAACAAGCACCCCCAAACTTAAACTAACAATAATGTAATTCTACCTCTAGCAACAACAACGTTGCCCTTACCCTACCCTGCATACATAATATTAGGTTGTTCCAACAACAATTTCTAGCTATAAACTTAAAAATCACACTTATAAAAACAAAAAACGTCAAGTTTCAGATTGTTTTTTGAGCTGAAATGCCAGGAAAAGTAGTGGAAAAGGTAATAGATTATGTTAATAATCTATTCAGCCACGTACATAATTACTTCCGCTAGCATGAACAAACATTATAGTATTATGAAAAGGGCAGTAACAATAAACAGGATCTACCCTTCCCTATCTTGCTCTACCCTACCCTACCCGACTTTACCCTGCCCTACAAGGCTAAAAGATCTTGTTATAGTCAACGAGACATTCTATATCTTACATTTAGCCAAATTTGCAAAAATTATTTTCCGTCTATTTCCATATCTGGCCATAAAACCAAAAGAAAAGACATAAAAATGCCATAAAACTAAACAAATTTTTTTCAAAAAAGTCAAACATGACCTCCAGTAGCAAAAAAATATTAATGACCAACTTTACGTTATGTTACCCTGCCCCTCCCTGATCAATTTTTTAACCTGGTCCGCCCCACCCAGTGTTTTGCCGGACCGGGTCCGGTCCGGATTTTCAAAAATTGCAAAATTGAAAACAACCTTAGAGCTTATGATTTTAACTTTTAAAAAATAAATAACTTTTGTGAAGGTCCGTCTCATACAAGTTCCTCGCTAAACATTTGGACCGGCCGGACCGAATCGGTCTTGCCGGTCCGGGTGGTCCATTTCGGTAATCACTTGATAGCCAAAGACGGACCTTCACAAAAGTTTTTTATTTTTTAAAACTTCAAACCATAAGCTAAAAAGTTATTTTCAATTTTGCAATTTTTGAAAATCCGGACCGGACCGGTCCGGCAAAACACTGGCCCCACCCCCCTCCCTGGACAAGTCTTTAACTTGTGTCTTCCCGACCAAATTTTTAATCTTGCTCCTCCTTGATCAAACTTCTATCTTGCCCCTCTCAGACCAACCAAAAAATATTACACTTAAAAAAAGTACAGTAAAACTCCCGTATAAAGAACCCCTCTATAATGAAAGCCCCGTATAACGTACAAACCTATAACCTCCGAGCAATTCGTTATAAAACAGTTCAACTGTACTTCTATTAACCTACTACAATATCAGCCAAACAAAAAAAATATTTTTTACAATTTTTTTTTCGAAACCTCCTTATTACAAACAAATTTTAAAGCCCCACGCATTCGTTATTATACAAGGGTTCCCCTGTATTTACAAAAGGAAAAATGTGGAAATGGCCAGACGAGGCCATTTTTAGCAGGTGTTGGTCATTTTCCCCTCGTCCCACGGTTTCTATGCCAACTGAAATTAAAAACGAAAAACGCAATTCAGGAAAAACGAAAAACGCAATTCAGGTAATTAAGCCTTCCCAGATCGGTGGTGTAATCCCGAATTTTTCGCATATTTATTTTCTTTTAAAACTCTAGTACAAGTCCTAGCAGTAGCTAAAGTCCTAGCCGTAGCAAGAGACATAGCCCTAACTCTAGTCCTAGCAGTTGACCGATTAAAGCCCTTACAAAGTTTTCGCCATTTTAGAGTAAAAAGTAGTATTGCATGTAGTATAGTATGAGTTATTGTCAGCTTAACGCCTAATCTGTCCTTGTTTCGAGGGTTGGTTTATCGTGTTTTAGAATCTGAACAATTAACTGGCCTCTGCCTGTTTTATAGCCTATTCCATTAAAATTTAAATAGTGAATGTCGGGGGAAAATCCTGCGCAAACAAGATATAATGAGGTCATTTTGGCTGAAGTAGGTTTTAATTTTACACCGTTAATATATTTTTTTTTATATTCGCACTTTTAATTACCCTACCCCACTTGGATGTAACCTAATTCATCCTGCGCATCCGATCCTACTTTACCCTACCCTAAACTGCCCTATCCTGTCCTACCCACCCTATCCTACGCTGCCCTACCTTACCCTACTCGAACCGTTTTTCATATTGTAAACAAAGTTCGTGTGATGCATAATTTTTTAGACTTTTAATCATTTTTTCTTTATATTTTATTCAACAACCTATAACAATATATAACAACACCACATATGTGAGCGCTAGTCAAATTTTGTCGTTTTTTATCATTAAAATCAGTGTTAAAAAACGACAAAATTTTCTTATCGCTCAAACATAGTTAATATGAATGACAAAAAACGTCTTTTCGTTTTCTTAACAAAAGATAACCTACCCTTCACTATCCTTTTGTTGAAAAACGACAAGACTTATTTCAACACTTCTAAAAATAACAATAATCAACAACAATATATAGCAAAAATCCTGTATGACGAACCCATTTATATATGCCACACCGCCTCTATAAGACCTCAAAAGAAAAGGACTTCTAGATCCTGCCAGTGTGCAAAAAAAATTGAAAAATTCAGACCAAGCCAAAAAGTCCAATCCGGCCTTTTTACAGATCAAGCTAGCCTTTATAAAGAATCCTTGAATACTAAAAATCATCCATAACAAACAAATTTAAACAATTTTAGACTTCTTCGCTATATACTTGGCTGTTCAACTAATTCTTTGCCCCCTCTCAAAAAAAATTTTCAAAGCTACGAGATACAGAATTATTTAAACAACCTAATAAGACAAAAACTCTTTATAACGGACAAATTTAAAAACCCCAGACAGTTCGTTATGCAGGAGTTCCCCTACTATAATATATGTAACATTTTCCTAAATTTTCAAAATTCTTTTGACCTACTAACCCTTATATTAAGGTAAGATAAGGTCAAATTTAAAATGTGAAGCCCTAGAGCTACGCCACTTTCCAATTTCTCTGATTTCCAACAATAATGACTTTGGCTTCTTCTTCCAGGATTTCATGAAGTCGTTTTAGAGCCTTCTCTTCCTGTAGCATCCTCGAGTCAGCTACTATAACAAGTTGTCGTTTGGCTCGTGTTAGAGAGACATTCATTCGCCTTAGGTCATTTAGAAAGCCAATGATACGCTTGCGATTACTTCTGACGAATGATAGACAGATAACTTCATGTTCTCCGCCTTGGAAGCCGTCTACTGTGCTGACTATCACGTCTTTTAGGTTGTTATTGACTGAAGTAGGTAAGAATTTATTAAATTGAAAAGTGAAAAAGCAATTTACAGTATCCTATTCTACCTCATCCTACCCTTCTGAACTCTACTGTACCTTACCCAACTCTACCCTACCCTACCCTACTCAACCCTACCTTACCGTACCCTATCCTACCCTGCCCTACCCTACACTACCCTACCCTACCCTAAACTACCCTACCTTACCCGACTCTACCCTACCCTACCCTTAAAAAACTTCATATAAAACCTTGTCTTACCCATCAAGCTCCTAATATACCGTACTTGACCAGCATACGGAGTAATGATCCCAATATCAGTTTGCTTCACCCCTGCCTCCACCAACTTCTTCACGTGCTCCAGAATCAAGAACGCTTCCCCTTGATTAAAATACGAATTTCCATCGCTTCGTCTTTCCTTATACGCATCTCCACGTTTACACGTGTCAAAAAATAGAATCGGATCTCGGTCTACCGTAACCTTATCATTGGTTATCAAATCATCTACAGTAATCTCGGCCACAGACTCATCGGCTTCTATTTCGCCTTCGTAGAAGGTTTCACTCGACCATCGCATGATTTTGGCATTCGACCGGTATTGTTTCTTCAATCGAGTTTGAAGGTTATGACCAAACTCTTTCTCGATATACTCCATGACAGTCTTGTTTAGGCCTTGTTCGGCCGCTTCGGCGGAAACGCAGGTTGATGTTAGTTGGTATTGATCTCCTACGAAAATGACTTTTGGGGCCTAAAATACTATACTTTTGTTTAAAAGTTTCAAATTGACATGTTAAAGCTTTGGAAAAAGCCTTGTCGTTTTTTACTGTTGATACTAAAATAAAACAACGACAAGACTTTTAAACCTATAAAAATTACAAAAATCAACAAATCTTAAAAAGCTGAATATTTCTGATCCATTACTAACCCAATTATTACCCAAATTAACCCAAAAACCAACCAACAAAGCAGCATGCCAAGCCACGCATTCCCAAGTCTGTGCAGCCTCGTCTATCACAAGATAATCCGGCTGAAACTTAAAACTATCCAGTTGCCGAACCGTAGAACTCTGTATCGTACTATACACTACCTTAGCATCCGTTAAAATTTCAGTTTTGAGATCGTTCTTCAACATCATTGCATGATTATACTTATTCATCGAGGTTTTGTCTTCAGAACTCCATAAATCAGAAGGTGAAGGTAGGAAGGCCTCCAAACGATGAAAATCATCATGACTTTTAATTCTGTCATTAATGCTTAAAGCTGCTTCACCATGAGTTACGTTGAAGTGGCCTTGAGAGTTACGAATTTGTTGATGAACTCGAGACGACACATTATTGATGGCTTTTCGTGATGGAGCTAATACCAATATCTTTTTGCCAGATTTGGCTACCTAAAGAAAGATAAAACAATAAAGAAACAACATACTTGTTGTACAATCTCAGCGACAACAGCTGTTTTGCCAGTACCAGGTGGGCCTTGGATGGATAATATAGTTTGCCTTGGATTCAACGCTTTTGTGACTGCTTCTTGTTGAGACTTGTTCAAGGTCTAAAACAGATCATAATTATACTGTTCAACCGTATTTTATATTCATTTGCAAGAAATTTGCGTTAAAATTAAACTTTTACTTCAAACTCCAGATTTTATACACCATCCTCAATATTCCGGCTCGTTTCTCAAACTAACCTTTCAAAAACCGATCAAAACCTATTACAAAACCTTACCCGTGCAAAGAACTTTACATTCTTTGTCTTTCCCAACATTGGCAACGCTTTTCCGTGATGTGCCATTAAAAAGTTTGACCACCCAGGCATTTTGGCAATCTTCTTCTTGTCCAACCAAATATGGGCCAAATAATCAATCGGTCCTGACTCTCTTTCAGTCGATATTGTAAAACTAACATCACTGTAGTTATTCAAATCAAATAAAACATTCCCTTTGAATTTTAAACGTATTGAATCAACTCCAAGATTGAGGACAACCATCAAGAAGCGGTCATTACCCGCAATCACCTGTACCCAAGCCCCTGGCTTTAAAGTCGCGTAGATCCTCGCTAGTTCAGCATCTGCAGATGTTTTAGATTAGTTATACAGTAAAAGTTTGTCAAAGAAGCTTTAAAAACTTTATAAACTTCAAAATTACGATGTTATCCATGAATCAAATGAAAATTTAGTTATTTTTCAAAAATCACAAATCAAACAAACAATCAACCTAAAACACAATAAAATAAGTAAAATAAACTTACCAGAAACATTTACAGGAAAGTTGAGCTCAATCACCCGTCCATCAAACACATCGTACTTGAAATCACGTAAAGTGAGGTCTCTAAAGTTGGCATTGGCTGAAGACGCGTTTATAACTGCTTGCTTTTCCAACTCAACCAACTTTGGCCAAGATTTTAGCTTCTGCTCAGCAGCTAACGGAATGGCAGCCTTACTAGCTTTGACAGCAGGTTTTTTACCTGTTTTCCTTACTTTGAACCTTAAAATCTGTAGATTTGCGGGCTGACATCGCAATAACCTGCTAAACATCTACCTAAAAAAAGAAAAATTTTAATAACGGTTTAAACTTACTTTTCACATTAATTTACAGCTTTTGCGGTAAATTGAAGTAAAATCTTATGTAATTTTACTAATTTTTATAATTTACTTATTAAAAGAAACAGTTGACTCCAAATTAGAAATGCGTCATGTCTTCTTATTTTATTCATATTTATTTTGCTGGTCTTTAGATAATATCCAGCATAAATCAGTGAAGAACCGCTGAATTGTAAAACAAAGTTAACAAGTAATTAGTAAATAGTTTTTTATAGCTATGAATACTCTATCAGTATGTCAATACGAGAATTGTGGAAGCAGATTCGAGACGCATTTTGATCAAATAGCTCACTTTGAAATTAATCACTATGGTAATATAATTTTAAAAACTATTTTTATTGTTGTATTGCTTTAAAAAGTTTTGTGAGTATTTTAACTATAATTTTCTTTATTTTTAGCTGATGCCAAGAATAAGGTAATGACGGAATTGAACAGTTTACAAGCTGTACTTGAGATGGTTAAAGATGAAGATGAAAGAATTGCTGCCAATGAGAAAATGAATGCGTTTTATGGCCAAGCTATTCAAATGAGTTTGTTAAGGAAGTAAGTTAGTTGTTTTTATTTGTTTCTGCTTTTAGGAATGGCAGAAAAGCTTGGAGTTTATCAAATTATGTTACACTAGGTATCAACGTGTTTAGCTTATAATCTTTGCTGTACCTTTTGTGAAAAAACAGATAGAGACTTGAAAATTTGTACGAAACGTAGATAATTTGTTTCTTCAGTTTATTTAGGATACGAAAGTCTTAAATTTTGTGTTGTTTTGAAGTTATTTAACTTCAATGAAGGTGTATATTATCTATAATTTTTTGAGTTCTTTAAAAATTAAACTGATGTTATTTTTATGTTGAGTTAGATGTAAAATACGGTATTTTAATATTTCTATTTTATAATTAAAAATTTTACAGACTACAACCATTTAACGATAACTACATACCAAGACATGAAGTTGATAAAATACCGATCAAATTGAACTTTTGTAATTACAAAAAGCGGCCGCCAAGTGCTGTGCAAGCTCCAGCCAGTTCACAAAAACGTCAATCTGTGCCGAACAAGCGACTCACTGATTTTGGGGTTGAAGCTGGAACTAAAGTTGAAAATGCTACTGGGTATGATCGTGGCTTATATTTTGGTTTTAGATGGTTTTGCTTGGATTTTAAGACGAATTTTAAATGTTTGGTAGCTTCTTAATGGTTTTTAATGTTTGAAACTTTTGTGTTGACTTGATACATTGTTTTAGAGAAGAAAGAAAGTACAAATGCACGATGGAAGGCTGTAATAGAGCATATAAGAACAGTAATGGACTTCGGTAAGTTTTCAAATGACTATTTGTTAAAAACGGCAAGAAATTTTTTTAAAAATTAAAAAATTGCAAGAACTTTCTTTACAAATAAAAAATGGACAAGAACTTTCTTTACAAACTAAAAATATTTTTTTTTGCAAATTTAACTAAAATTAATATCTTAAATTCCAGAAGTCACTTAAAAAGTGTTCACAACGTCCAAAACCCTCAAGTTAGAGCTCATTCCCCAGCCATGAAACCAGAACCACCATTACCTACATCAACACCACAAAAGTTCATTCAGCCAATTGAGCCGAAGTCTGAAGAGAAAGTGCAACCTCAATTCAGAGGTGGATCAAGAATGACACCGAATGAGGAGAATATCTTGAGTCGTGTTCAAATATTGAACGAGCCCTCTGCTGACAGTCCAGTGCCTTCGCCAGCGCCGAAGAAGGAGAAGAAAACCGAGAAGAACTATGCTTGTGACATGTGCACCAAAAGCTACAAAACCGCTTCCAATTTGAGAAAACATATGGCTGATCAACATGGAAAAACGGCGCAGAATCCGGCGATAGGTGGGTTGATGGATTGATAAAGTTTTGTCGTGGAAGGGGGGGGGGGTGGAGAGGTGATAAGGGAGGGAGGGGGAGGGGGGCAGTGGATACTGAGGCAGGGGGCTATATTTCACTTATTTTAGACCACCGCCAACCACAAAGGGTCAACTACACGTTAGGCCAACCGGTTCAAAATGCTATGCCTGGAACCATGGCGAACGCTACTCAAAATATGGCGGTAAGTCTGATAAAGTTTAGGGTGTGGCAGGGCAAGGAATGGCTAGGTAAGGTAGAAAAAGGCAGGTTAGAGTAGCTTATGGTACGATAAGGAAGGATAGGATAGTATAAGGTATGATAGTTTATGGTACAGTAGGGTCGGGTAGGGTAGGATACGATAAGGTAGGGTAATGTTACTATGGCATGGTTTGAACAGAACAGGGAAAGACGTATCTAAAATGAAAATATGGGTTTGTAAGACTATTATGGTTATAGGTACATTCACCACGACCTCAAGTTGTTCAACAAAGGCTACCACAGTCACCGTTGACTCAAGGGCATCAGGTGGGGTTGAATAACAATATCAAACATTTTTATATGACATTAAAAAAAATTTATGACATTTTTAATTTTTTTAATTAAAAAAAAATTAATTTCAGTCTCCCCGAAACGTACAACAAGTCCTCCATTCACCCCAGCCAGCCACCCCTCAACGTACCTACTCCCCAGTAACTCCAAGGTACGAAGGTCAACAACAATACGTACAACAAATACAATACACAAGCACCTCTTCACCCCAACCCTCGTCGAATCAATACGAAGAACAGTACAGTAGTCCGGGCGGGGTTACGGTAGTCATGTCGGAGGATCAACGAAATGGCCCAAGAAATTATAGTCCACAGTATGATAGATACACTACCCAGCCGATACGAAGGTTGTCCGGACAGAAGGTTCAACAGACTCATGTAGGTTAAGGCGGAAAAAAAGTTGTTGCCATTTTTTTGTTTGGAAAGAAAGTTTTTTAGGTTGGAAAGAAAGTTCTTGCCATTTTTTGTTTTGTAAACAAAGTTGCTACTATTTTCAGCCGTACTACAACCCAAAACAATCCCGACCCACCTATCAACAAGGACACCAAATGGAGTACGTTCGCACTGCCCCAGTACCACCCTCAACAGGACCAATCCGCGGCTCTCAATTGGGCTCGAGCTCGGCCCAACCTCAAACCAACTACACTCAACAACCTCACTACGGCCAACGAACCATGATGAACAACTACGAAGCAAGGCCGGTCAGAAGAACCCCCCAACAAACAGCCTCAGGCAATTTGTCGGCCCAACTGGCACCATTGAATGTGGGGCAGAGCCAGGATAGTCCACCTCAAGTTCAGATGGCGAAAGTTCAGCCCGGGCTTTGTGAGTTCATTTTGAATTTTAAAATTTAAAAAATTGTTTAGAATTTGGCATTTTGTGAGCTGGAAACAAAGTTCTTGCTATTTTTTGATTTGTAAAGAAAGTTTTTGTCATTTTAAGTTTTGTAAAGAAAGTTCTTTCCAGTTTTTGTTTTGTAAAGAAAGTTCTTGCAGTTCTAAGCTTTGTAAAGAAAATTTTTGCTAGTTTTTGTTTTGTAAAGTAATTTCTTGCAATTTTTTAACCCTATCTTGTTCTAGACACCGGCCCAAGAACCAACATGCCTCACCGCCAAATCGCTCATCAGCCAGTAGCGGGCAGCTCGATCCGAGCCAGATTCGACCCAAGCCGAACTCAACCAACCTCACAACACTTTTATCAGTCTCCACCGGGCCAACAGCGGTACATACAGCCTCGTGAGTTGAATTTGAAATTTTTTGGGAATTTAAAAATTTTTTTGGAAAAAAAGTTGAGCTTAGTCCTCCCTGTAGGTGTTTTTCTAAAAAAAAAATTTTTTTGAAATTAAAATTTTGAAACAAATTGAAAGAAATGATAGAGGAGGTTTTAAAAATGTTGATTTTATTTTGAAAAAAAAATTGAAACAAAAAAAATTTGAAAAAAAATTGAACTTGGTCCCCCCTGTGGATTTTTTGAATTTTTTTTTGAAATTGGGTATTTTTGAAAATTTCTAAATTTGATGAAAACGAGCTTAGTAATAAGATGAATGTTCCAGAATTTTCGCAAAGAGTGATTCGTGTAGCATCAACGCCTCAAAACTACACCTCGCCTCCACAGCCGTCGCAGGAGAATAACAATTGAAGGTTCAGTCATTTTATAACACTTTTTTGTCAATAATCATATTCCTCATCATTGTGGTCTAAAAGTACTTGGAAGTTTTAAAAAAGATCAAATAGGCGAAAATGGACTTATTGTTAGTTTTGTGAAACAGTCCGGGTAAACTAGACTCTTCACTACAGGGAAACTTTTGGCTCACGAGCTTCTCTAAAGTTTTAATCATATTGTAGAACGTTTTTTAAACTTTAAAGTCTAATTTGAAGCTTGCTTTTGGATTTTAATGATATTGTTGTACTCTTTGTTTCAGCATGGTTAATATAAGTTTAGAAAATAAGTTTCTTTACGTCCAATTGGTTCATATTTATTTCGATTAACGTTATATTGAAATGTGCTTTATGGTTATTATTATATTGTAAATTAATAAGTAGTAATTCTTAAATAAATTGTATCCGAATTTCGATTGGAAGGTTGATTTGGAGAATGATTTGGATGAATGCCAGAGGGTTTTTGAAATTTAAATGAATTTTTTGGTAATTTTAATGAGTTTTGAAGGTATTTTGATATTAATCATGCTACCCTTACTGCTACCCATACCTCTGCCCCTACCTTTACCCTTATTTTTAAATCTACCTAAACTCTACTGATTACTTTGCTTTACCTTACCCTTACTATTATTCTTATTTCCACCGTTACCTATTCTTCTACCCTAAGTTCTTGAGGGTTTAAAATGAATATAAATAATGTTTTAGATGCGATAAAGAACTTCAAACGCTATAATAACATATTTATTGTTGTTTTACATGGTTTTATATGGGTATTGCTTGTTTATCGACTGGATCTCAAGAATAACGTATGTTTTTATAGAGTGTGATGGAGAAAAACATTAAACTTTAAAGATTTCGCTAAACTTTGTTGTCGTGAATCATAAAAACAATATAAAACATTGTTTTACCAATCCTTTCTATTCAAATTTATCATTTAAAGACGTTAAACTTGTGTACATATGTTTTGTCACTGTTATGGGAAAGGTGAGAGTTTTTATTTATTTTCACCCCACCCTACCTTATCCTACTCAACCCTACCATTACCCTAACGTACCTCTAGCTAAAAAAACGTTTCAAAGGGACTAAAATTTTGGACTAAAACTTAGAAAAACTACTTCAAACCCATATAAATTTAGCCAAAACTTCCAAGTTTAGCGACCCAAAAACCAAATTTTACAAAATAGTATAAATGACTTTTTTTGGGTTTTTGCCTATGACTACGACCCGATTGTAGCGTCAAAAACGTCCTACAATATATATTATTTTGCATACGAACTACGTAGAGGACGTTCGCTCCAACGACTTTGTCCTAATTCAAACCGTTTTTCATTCGCTGAGGTTTGAGGGTTTGAAATCTCTCAAAAACTCAGCGAAGAGTACGTTTTTGTTGCCTATTTTTTGAAAAAAAAGTTTTTTAAAAAAAAACATTTTACATTACAATCTAATTTATAGTAAGGTTTTACGTCGAGTTCATAGTAATATTTTAGATCAGTGCAGTTGAACTTATATTGTAGTAGGTCTAGGTGATTCAACTTATTTTTAGTCATAACTTTTTTCAAAAAACGGTTAGAGACTTGAAATTTTGTGTCGTTTTAGACTATTCATATCTTCAACTAATTCTAAAAAAGAATTTTTTTTAGTTTTGGAAAATTTTTTATGTTACAGTCAGGGCCGGGAGGGGACTTTTGGTCTGGGGGGCAGGGGTCCAAAAAAATCGGCACAGGTAGCAGCTACCAGCGCCGATTTTTTGCGAAATTTTTTTTCCGAAAATCAACAGGGTGTCTCCTCGTTCAACTTTTTTTTCAAAATTTTTTTTTCTGGGGGGGGGGTTACCGCCCCCCCCTCGCGCCCGGCCCTGGTTACAGTAGTTTTACTAAACACCACTGTTTTTGCCCAGCGGAATCGAACTTCTTTGGTTTTTTGCTATTTTCAAATTCCAATGAGCTTATTTGTAGTAACCTTAAAGTTAAAATTCTTCTTTTTTTTCAGATTTGATGGTGGCAAAAAAGCATCGAGCCAAGCCGATTCCTCCAAACCAGAGCTTTGAGGAATTCGCCGAGTTTATTCGCTCAATTATCAGTGATGAACAGCCGAATGAGGAAGCACTTCGGAGGGTGTTTACTGTGTTTGATAAGGTAAAAAATTTAAAAATAAATTTTTAAACATTTAATTTTTTTTAAGTTTTTTTATTTTATAACTTAAAATTGGTCAATTTAAACCTAAAAATCAACTTTCAGGACAATGATGGCGTTTTAGACGAGACCGAATCAGAAAAAGCGAATCAAAAAATAGTGGAACAAATCAATTCTCTTCGATCTGGATTCATACTGGTCGATTTTCAAAACGATTTTGTTGACGGTTCGTTGGGGATCAAAGTAAGTGTTTTACCATCCCTAACTCTATCATTGCATATGTCATTATCCCTTCTGTCTAATTTACTACTACCCTTACCCTATTTTCTAACCTTTTTTAAAATGACCTTCCAGTTCACTAGTATGATCCTATTGTACCTATGATAACATGTACACAATAACTGCGTCGTATTTTACAAAAAAAAATTAAAAAGTTAAAATTCCAGCACGGCCGAGCGAAGCAAGACCCTTACGATGCCATTCCCAAAATCAACGATCTTCTCAATCGCCACGATGACTTCGATATGGTGGTATACACATTAGATTGGCATCCTCAGAATCACATCTCTTTCTACGAACATTGTCGAAATAACGACCGGTCGTTACAAAAATTCGACCGCCAACGAAAGCTAAAGCCATTCGATATTGTGAGCTTTGAAGAACCGTCGCTACGACAGGTATTGTACCCATCGCACTGTACTATGAACTCATGGGGAGCTGCTTTACATGATGATATTGTCAAGGTAGAGTCGTCGAAGTATGTCACGAAAGGGTCGGCTGTGTATGTGGATTCGTATTCTGGATTCGCGGATAATACGGGACAAAATAAGTAAGCAACATTGTTTACATCATCTAAAATGGCATTAAAATATGTAAAATTTAATTTGGCTGCACTGTGCAGTCATTATTGAAAAATTTATTATGTTATTATTTTAAAAGGTATTGATCTGAAGATGATTTTAATAGCTTCATCTAATTATTTTTTAAAAGATATTATAGTATTTTTTGATTATATCACATTGATAAATTGCACAGCATGAAAAAGAAAATTTGTTGCACGAAGCAAAAGTAATATGGGACTGCACAGTGCAATGAAAGCGACTTCTGAATTTGGCTTTTAATGTCATTTTAAGAATGTAAAAGTAAAAATGCTTTGTTCACAAAAAATACTAAGAAATTTCTTTACAAAACCGAGAAATGGCAAGAACTTTCTTTACAAAGCAATAAATGGCGATATCGAATTTTCAGAACAGAATTGGAGCACATTCTACGAGAAGATGGAATAAATGCTTTGTTCATTTGTGGCCTAGCCTTGGACATTTGTGTGGCTTCAACAACTCGAGACGCCGCTAAACTCAAGTTCTTTACTTGTGTTGTTGAGGATTGCAGGTAGGACAACATAGGCTAGGGCTAGTGTAGGGTAGTAAAAACCTATGCAAAATACGCCTACTAATAGTAAGGTTAATATTAACATATTTTAGCAAAGGCTTAAGTGAAGACCAAATAAAGAAGACCAAAGACGAGCTACGAGGCCGTAACGTCCCATACGTAACATCAGATATAGTGAAGGCCTTCCTCGACGAAGGAAAGGTCCCTTGGCTATGGGTCTGTCACATGGTGGGCTTGGGAGAACGTCGACATCGGCGCCATCGTCACCGAAGTCATCATAATCAAAGCCGAAGCAGTAGCGAGACGTCGATTGAAGACGGAGAAGTTCAGATCAAAGGTCATGGACCTACTAGGGAGTTGTTGTCTGATAATGGTCTGAACGTGGTCGATGGATCAAGCGACGTGAACTCTAGTGAGAATGGCGAAAAGGTTGAAGACGATGGGAAACAGGAGGGGTCGGAATGAGGTTTTTGGTACTATAAGATTATTTATAGTACTATGAGGTTCTTAATAGTACTATAAGAGGGCATTAATGCTATGTGGTCTTTACTAGCACTATAAAACTTTTATTGCTACTGCTAATTGATAGTACTATTGGATTCCTGATCAAGTTTCAGCATATATTATAGTAGGCATAATAATTCTACGTTACAGTAAATAGTTTTAGTTTATATTACAATAGGCATAATATTTCTAAATTATAGTAAGCATGTTGTCTTTGAATAAGAACCTTCCGGTCTTGTAAACTTATTTCTGATACATTCGGTTTGCTCTATCTAGATCTCTATATCTCTTTATCATGACGTACGTTTATATTGTTTGATAGTATTATTGTATCTTTAGCGTAATAAAAAATATGAAAGACTGAAAAAAATGGCAAAAACTTTCTTTACAAATCAAAAAATGGTAAGAACTTTCAATGTTGAAATGGGCAGTTAAAAAAATTTTTTCGAAAATTTTTCGAAGGACCACGTTCAACTTTTAAAAAAAATTTTTTGGGAAACACTACCCCAGCAATTCATTTTTGATCAAACACCTCAAAACATAATTTTCATAAAATTTACTGTACATCAGATTCCTTTATACAAACAGCGGAACAACAAAGATATTTGAGACATCTAGAGATATGGCTATGCGTCTTCGGTGAGCTGTGAGCGAGAACGGTAGTCACGGGGCGCGGCGTCTGGATTGTTTTGGTCGTAGTAATCGACCAGGGATTGGGTCGAGTCTAGTAGGTCCAGTTGATTTACTGATAAGGATTGGTTGTGGACGAGGAGGCGGAACCTTCGGATCGGTAACTCGACATCGCGGAACAGTTGCATCTGGAAGATGCCGATGATTGTGGTGAGGAAACCTATCACGTTGCCTATGATGTCGGAGGCGCCGAGGCACGACCACTCTTTGTAGAGGATGCCTGAGGCCAGAATGACGAGGGTGGTGAAGAAGACATAGTAGATGGGGGTTACCATCGACGTGTTGTAAATGTCCAGCGATTTGTTTAGGTATATCTGGAGAAAAAAATTACATTAGAGAAGACGTAGAAGTCGAAATAGTGATAGAGACGTAGGAAAATAGAAAAAATGTAATTTTTTTCAAAATCCTTACCATTTGAACAGATATACAAATCGCGACGGATATTAACCAGAACCAGGTCAACGAGTTGGTGAGCTGTTGTTTCCCGCCCAGCGTTTCTTTGATCGCTAGTCCCAGGCCTTTCACTGATATCACTGATAACGATCCCATTAGTGAGCAAACGGCAATGAAGACAAGTATGTTAGAGCGGCCGTACTTCGGTGCCACATAGACTATGATGGCCAAGACGAGGATAATAACTGCTGTTACGTAGAGGATGAATACTGAAAACGGCAGCACAATTAAACCTCAATAATTTGCTTTGAGTGGGAACACAGGATAAATTGAACAACCTATTAGCTTCTTCCATTCGCCCCTCCTCACCTGCATCCTTCATTTTGAGTGCCAAGTCCTCCATGGTGGATACCTCCTCCTCTTTCGGTGAATGAATAACGATTGTTGTTGAGCCTAACAAACAAATAGCACAGCCAATTTTGCCTAACAAATTTAGACGTTCTTTCAGCATTCTCGACGATAACACCGCCCTAAAAGCAGAATAATAACAAATAATATTGACTTACGTTACTAGTACACTTAGTGCTCCCAATGGTGTTACTAGAGATGCTGGTGCAAATGCGTATGCTGCAAAATTGCAAGCTTCGCCCACGCCCACTGAAATCATGTTGTTAATGATAATAAGGTGAAAACATAGTTTTGAAAGTGTAACGTAAGTTTAAAAAGACCAACAGATCAAAATATTCAAAATAATATAAAAGACACTTAAATTAGTACCAAAATAATTAAAACAGCCGTATAATTTTAAAAAGTGTACGAAAAACAAAAAAAATTTAAAAAATGGTACCAAAAAAATTGTACCAAGATTCTCAAAAAAACAGTAAATCTTCAAAAACAGTACCAAAAGTATCAAAACTGTCTCAAAAATTTAAAAATGTACCAAAATTTTTAAAACTGCCTTAAAATTCTAAAATCAGTACCAAAAATTTAAAAATAGTACCAAAAATTATAAAGCAGTACCAAATTTTCGAAAACAGTACCAAAATCAAAAAAAGCCCCACTAACTCCCTCGACTTACTAGTTAAAATGCCCAACCACCAGGACCATTCCCTGAGATACCCGTAGCCGCCTTCCGACGCTCGATATGCACCGTTAGCCGTTGCCAGTTTGATCAACGCTTTCTTTTTTATGATAAACGATGAGCCGATGAAGATCGAAGATGACACTGCCAATCCTAACCCAATATAGAAATCGACGAGGTTCGGCTTCGGGGCCACCGTCGTGGTTATGTCATCCACTTCCGTCGTCATTCCGGCCCTGAAATTGGGAGTAGGTTAATATAAAGTTTATTTTTTTGGTACTTTTAAGTAACAAAATTAATATTTTTTGTAATTTCTTGAAAACTACAATGTAATAGCTTTATCAAGGACAAACCTATACATTGTTTTGACGTTCCACCCCTTGTCTACCCCCAAAAAAAGAAAAAAAAACCAGTCAGATGCTTCTGCCCTTAATCTATTAGATTGTTCAAGTAATTATGTGCCCATAACCACAAAAATTTGCTTTCTTAACACAAGTTTCAAGTTTAGTTAAAACCATTATTAAACCCGTTAAAACGTTTAAACCATGTTGTAATTGACATGCAAACGATAAAAAAAAGGAAGTAGACAGATCAAATCTGATGATAAGATTGTGATACCTGTCATTTTTCATGTAAAATACGTTCTAACGACAAAATGCGTTTTTACTTTTTGACATTAAACTATTTGTTAACACTCCTCCTAGACCAAGATCACTTCCACTGGTATTGAACAATATCACCAACTATTGAGTTATTCAAATAATTCTGTGCCCCTTCTCAAATCAAATTTTTGGGGTTTGAGGGCCCAGAATTATGTGAAAAAAACTAATTTATAAATTTCCATCAAATTTTAAAAAGTTTACTAACCAACGCTAAACCTATAAAACTATCCTTTCCAAACTAAAACCCCCTTTTTGTCAATTCCTTTTCAACAAACAATTTTTAAAAACACCAAACTTCCCAAAAACCATTGAAAACCCAAAAAACATACCAATCTGACAACAATAAATCAAAGCCGTACGTTTTCAATAAATAAATCGAGAATAACAAGGAAACGCAACCCAGAACCAGGTGCAATAGCCTCATAACCTTTTCAGGTTGTCGTTCGATTTGGCTAATTTCGAATAGGAAAAAAATCGCTTTCGAATAATGTGACTCATGTAAAGTTCTGTTAAAAAGAAAAAGTATGTGGACGGAAACGGTCTAATCATTGTCTTATCAAACATTGACCAAGATTTTTCCCTCGTTTTCCTCGATTTGTATAATTATGTTACTTTTTGTGGGAAGACAGGGGGAAAGCTCATTAAAACGGCGTTTATTGGAAAGAAGGATAATATAATGCACTGTTGGTCAAAATCAGAAAATTTTCTATTTCTAGGGGGGAAGAAAAGTGAAAAAACCAAAAAAAGCTTTAAAAATAAAAAATAAGACTAAAAGCTAAGGCAAAATTTTTTTAAAATTTTTACCCCCAAAGAACATTAACAGAAAAATCCAAAAACAGCTTGCCGAAAAACTATTGTAACTTTTTATTTTTTTAAAAAATACAAACTTCTTTTCATAAATTGGTTAATAAAATCTATTATCTACAATCACTTTAATTTTCATCAACTATGTTTTAAAAAAAGTTAAGATCAAAACAAAAAAAATCACTATTTTAACAACAAGTATAATATAAAGCCGTTTATAAATCAAAATTACCTCAAACTTTTTTGTATCACGTCCCACATCATCTAACAGACTCAGTATGACTTGATAATCAACAAAAAATCAACCAGTAACAATTAGTTTTAAACATTTTTAAATTTTCAGTGATTTCTTAAAATTTTTAATAAAAATGACATAAATTATGCCAAAATTAACATGTACTAACAAATTATAACATCAAAAATTAAAAAAAAAACAACGTATAATACTAAAAATCTTCCCCTTTCTTTTAGGTCTACAAGAATTTTTCGCTCGCATAGCAACCAAAAAACGTGCAAATTCTTCGGTTTTACTAATCGAGTTTAAATGTTTCGTAAATGTTTACGCAGTAAAGCCCTTCAATTTGGTGGCTACATTTTTGAATCTATCTTCTTTATATTGTGAAGACATTGAGAAATTTGAACTTTTGCATTTAAATGCCATTTTTTGGTGTTTTAGCCTAATTTCTAACGAAAAAGCTTGGTAGCTCGTTTTAAAACTAATGTAAAAATCAGCAAACTAAAAGTTGAATTCTCAAATTTTAAACGCCTATAGACTATTGTACTGATAAGGCCTACACAAAATTTCATCCCAATCGGAACACAACTGGCTGGGAAATTCAAGGTTAAATTATACATGTCTGCCAAAGTGCATATATTTAATGAAACAGCCAGAAAAAGCCATCGTAAAACATAATTTACGCTATTAATATAAAACATTTTAAACAATAAGGCCTAGTGATAATTTTGAAAGAACTTATACTTCAATATCTACCTAAAACTCTCATTTAAATCAAGGAAAATAAGCGATATTGTTAACGACCTCTTCAACAAACCCTAACTTTTCAATAAAACACTTCCGTTCAGTTATAAAAGTCCAATTCATATCAATCTTCTGACCTTTTCCTAAAAACGAGAAAACACAAATGATAAAGACTTACAGTTGAAAAAATGTAAACTATGAAGCAGATGCGGCTATCTAGAACGCCATTTCCGAGCCAAAAATAATATAGTTTGATATTATTCCGGGAGAGTTGAACCAATTTTCGAGAATAAAGGCTATAGATTCAGTTCGCCACACCTCAAAAAGTTATTCATCTGCAAATAAATTCCAATTCGATAGTTGAAGCCAGCGTTTGAGCGAAGTGTCACAGGTTTTCTAGATTTTATTTTTGTAAATAACGTTAGCCGATAAAAGTGTGACACTTCGTTAAAAAGTGGGACGAAAAGACACGGAAATTTGGTCACATTTTTGCCGGGTTTTGATGGCTTTTTGTCCAACTTGCTTTCGTTTTCTTGGTTTTTATACTGGACAAAGGTCAACGGGAGCTTTTTATATTAGTTTAGAAGGTTTTAGTAATTTATTCTAGGTTAATTTTATGGGTAAAGTAGATTTATAGGTTGGGACAGTGAAGTTTTTGAGTAAAATATAGTTTTACCGAAAGAGAAAGTATTCTTTATTGTTGTTTTATGCTTTTTATTTGTCTTGCGCGAGTTTTAAAAGAAGTTGGTTAGTTCTGGACGTGTTTTAGATATCAAAAATTTATGTTTTACGTTTTTGCAGCTTCAAAATTTATATTTTTTCCTTTGTTCTGTGTGTTCTTGATGTTATAGTGGAGTTTTCTTGCTTTTTCTTTATCTCTTGAGGACATATTGGTATGTAGAAGACAATATTAAGTATTCATAGGAAATTCACGCTATTCTTCATGAGTTTTTCATGGTTAAAATACTGTTTATGGTTAATATGAGCTAATTATCTTGTCGTTCTGGGTAAAAACTTGTTGTTATCATGGCTTTTGGAACTGTTTTTTAATGGGATTATGTTATAAAATTGAGGTTTTTGAATTGATTTTGACGGTTTAGACTTGATTTGCATAAAATTATTTCGTTGAGGTTAAATTTTGCGCTTTAAAGTAGTAAAAGGTTGTGTTTGCACTTGATATCTACTATAACATAATATGTTTGTGCCTTTTCACATAGGTGGGTTTAGAAGGTGCGATATAGAGAAAATAACCATAAAAATCTAGAGAGCTTGAGAAACAGATAAAAAACTTCTTTATACTCAAGCTGTTTTGGCTACTACAATATAAGATCATCAAACTGTTATCTATAAAGTAATGCACATTGTTCTTACTGCATGCTTGCTTTATAGTATAGTGCAATTTCCTCTAATCTATAATTTTTCTATTCTATATTATTATACACAATGATCTGTTCCATGACATTAAACATTTTTATGTGTTATAACACCCACAACATTAAATGCATTTTGAGCAGCTCCAACAATTTTTAATGATATCACGTTACGTTTTCTGTCTGATTCATCGTTTTTATGATCGAAGAGAGAATATGCAAAAAGGTCTTGAATTACGCTCCTTTTCTCGGATTTCGGACGTTTTTTGATCGAATTGGTTGATAGAGAAAGATAAAACATGTTGTAATAGATAGAATATTCAAAATATGATATACTAAATATGTTGTAATAAACAAAAAGAAAGAAAAATATAACATAATAAAAGAATAAGCTAGATAACGTGCCAATACCTACAAACGGATTTAAAAAAAACAATTTCAAGCTGGTTTGAGTACAGACCTTAGAGTCATACTAAAACTTTAATACTTTCGATGATAAAGTCTGTACTGCCCTTGATACAATATCATATTACCTAGCATATAGTCTTGTTTTGGTACTTTGACGAAAATAACAGTAGAAGGTGTGTCAATTTTACGAAATTCTTAACACCCAAAAGTTGATAACCGTTGTAGCACAACAAAGGGCCTTATCGTGTTCATATTAATAAGAACAAAGACCTTATCAGCTTCCGAGTGTTAAGAATATCGTAAATTGCCGCGCTTTTACTGTTATCTTTGTCAGTGTATCGAAAGGAGAATTTATGCTAGGTAGTTTATTATTGTATCAAGGATAGTTTAGGATTATGTTAGCGGAAGTAATGTTTTACTGTGAGGTACAATGAAACGGTCTAAGCTGTAGGGCAGTGCATGGGAGATTATTTGTTACGTACTACCCTGGTGTGAACTGGACTATATGTTGCTATGATCTGTACTCAAGCCTGCTTACCTTCCAAACAGTATAGAAAGACTTATCTCAACCACAGCCGTAAAATGGCTGAACAAAGAGTCATAACAGTAGGATTAGAATAATGTTTGTGTAAGGTATTTTTGAGGAGTGTTTTGTGTAATTAATGCAGTTAGTTTACTGCAACGGAAACTTATTCATGGTCTAGTTGTCATTCTTTGAAGCTGAGTTTAGGGGTTTAATTGTCGTTTTAATTCGTAGGCTTGTTACTCTGGGTAATTGGAAGTCATGATCGGTTTTTATGACATTGTTATAAGTAGTTTTCTCTGACATTGTTATAGGGTGCAGTGCTTATCATATTGCTTTTTTTCATAGTGGAAAGAGTCACTTTTGAGCTTATATCTTAACATTAAGCTTTAGAAAGATCAATTAATCAGCTTTTTTCGGCTTTATTTATTCTGTTTCAAAACCAGAAACACTTAAATTTAAGTTTGACCTCTAACGTCAAAAATAGCACTTAACTGATAAGCTTTTCATATTTAAATCCCCAAAAGCAGATTATAAACTTTGACAATCACAAACACTTTGCAATGAGTAACATGTCTGCAAAAGTTGAAAAGTTTCGCCGCATCTGGTTTTAATCCCATTAGAAACTGTTTTCAGAATCAGTTAAAAAAGCGAATCGTCCTTGTGTCCGTTCCGTCGTTTTCCCCCACCGGTTATTAAGAAAAAGAAACAGTGACATAAGACCCGAAGGGTTTTGTTTGTGTTTCTCTTATTGTTCGTTGAGTATCGTTTTGTCGTTAACACTGTGTTATAGTTATAGGAAAGTGATTTTGTAGGGATCTTTGTATAGTAGGACTAAATTTAGTGAAAAATACGTTTGTGAAGAGGTATATAGGTATTTAGAAATATGTTGGTTCTAGTATTATTTAGAAATATTTGATAGTACTAATCGTCTGGAAAAATCCAAAAATCACGTTTTACAATTTTGCACGGTACATCGTTCAAAAATAACTCAAAAAAATAGAATTTCCTAACTTTTTGAACTCCGGAACACTTCGTTTTTATAGCGCTAGGTGTCGCAGATAATTCCCAGTGACAGTTGTAACAACATTGAATTACAACATCAAAGCACTCGCCATCTGATTGCCAGCAGACCGTAAAAGAGTGAATAGAATCGAGAAAAAAAGTATTTTTCAAGTGGGAATTCTGATCATTCTTTTTTCGAGTTTGCGGGGAAACGGATCTCACGACGGGGATTTGGGTATTTTGATTCATCATGGTTAATGGACATTAAAATAGGCATTCGTAATGGTTTAGTATTGGAGTGGTAACGGGTTTAAAGGAAGCTTAAAGTAGGGTTTTTATTTGGGAAAGTTGCGTAGGTTTAAAATGGGAAAGTTATGTTTTTTTGAATAGGTTTAACCTTTAAAAGGTTAGGTTTAAAATAGCCTTGAAGTTTAAAAAACTTAAATTTCGATTTTTGATGATAAAAAGAAATTTCAATAGTTTCAAAATTTGATCTAAAAAATCGTTTTTTTTTCGTAAACAATGACATCAATAGGTTCGAAGCGTGAAAATGACACGGCTAAAAAGGTTACAAGTCATGACTGAACGTGACCTCGTTTGAAATGAAACAAAAAAAAACGAATTCCTTACATTTTTACGAGTTTTTACTTGAATCTCTATCTGTCTAGATCACGTCACAGTTTCTGCTAGTTTTGATGGTATAATTATATGACTATACATACCGCTTAGAAAAGTGTATACGGATTGTAGTTAAGTAACGTATGATTAGCGTTAAAAGATGCTGCATATTGAGTTGGACCAAAGATAGAAGGTTAGAAGTGTCTATATCGTCAACCTTTTTATAAGTTTGATGGTGAAGTTTAGGTGAATTTAGTTTTACGTTGACGCTTGTTATAAGAAAAACAAAACTAATGTCATCTATATTTCACCATCAAACTTAAAAAAAATGTTGATGATGTAGACCATACTAATGTTCTCTCTTTCATCTAACTCAATATAAAGCATCTTTCACTGCTAATTATACGCTGCTTAACTCCAAACCTTATTACTCTATTCCAAGCGGTATAATCACATAATTTGCACAGGTCCGGTTTGCGCCTTGCGTCCAGATGCACTCCAGCCGGCTCTTCCAATGTTTTTATGCGATTTCGTTTGCTTCCGTTCAGTGGAAATGAAAGTAAAAGTTTGTCATTTCGCGTCGGTTTTTTTCGAATGGCCAATAATATGGCCAACTGTTTGGGTTTTTGAATGATGCGAAAAAAAACACACAGGGGTACTTGGAAACGAATCAAGAAGAACTTAAAACGTGATTGTTTACTAGTTTGGTCAAAAATTGTGTAGAATTTGTTTTGAGTTGAGAGGGTGTGCTTGTGTGTTGTTGATGGTTTAACTTACTAGTTTTTCTAGTGTTACTAAGCTTGGTATTAGAGTATTGAGAGGTATAGCTTTAGGATTGGATGTTAAAATAAAATCGGACTGGCTTAAAAGCCATACTTAATCAATTCTAAGGTACTTCTTTGTTCTTATGACCTCAAATCAAGTAGAATGTGACGTTGTTCTAGCTAAAAATCAAAAGCGCTTTATCCAAAATCAGTTTTTTTAGTTGAAAAACGTCAAAATTTAAATGCTGACGACCTTTGGGTGTTTGAAATGAGGAAGGCAGTCTCATTCAGAAGATTCGTAATTGCTTATTTAGTTGTTTTTATAAATGGTTTTTTGATTGAAAGGTCTTTTTATTTCTACTGTTTTACAGTCAATGTAAAATCTAATTGTTTCTTACAACCAGTAGAAACAAAGTAGTTAACTGATAGTAACATAGAGTAAAACTTAATCAACTAGTTGTAAAATTTAATGATGATTAGGTTTTATGCAGTAAGTTATAAAAAATGTAAGATGCAGTTTTAAATTTGTTATAGTTTGCTGTAGTGAATAATCTGCTTGTTTTGCGAGCTTACAAAAAGATGTGTCACAGATAGTTTGAACAAATAGATGTTTTTTGAAGAGGATAAACTCAAAAAGTACTTTTAGTATAAACCCAGAGGCTTTGTGTTTTGTCATTGTTTGAGGGAAAAGGCTGACAAATCGTTAGGTATATTGGTTTTGAAAACATTGCTTTGATTAGGATAAACACTTATTGTCTCTTGGTTTACTAACTCTAGTAGAGTAAAGCCAAAATAGGTTTTTAAGTCCTTAAGTCTAGGCTTGTCAGTGTATTAACTTTATGACTACGCTAGACGTTTTCACATAGATTCTGTAACTATAGTTATCTTTGTTTGACCACTGCGAGAACTAACTCTTCTCGCCGTTCGAACTGATACGGTTTGTTTGCATTGTCGGTTTTTATGATATTAGTGACTCAAAGCCTGTTCAGAACAACATTATCGTTGGTTTTAAAACGTATTTGACATGTGAGATGTACTCTCTCACTAACTGTATTATAAGGTTTATATTGGGATTTAAAAAGTTGTATGCTACGCTTTAAATAAAGGTTGGTTAAAACGCCACTTAAAACCTTAATATTTATTAGTCTGGATGCCTATAATAACATATTGAGAAGAAAATTAAAAACATATTTATCATATCAACCTTACCCTTTTGTCAAAATATTTACTATGCTTAGTATAAACAAGGAAAGAACGTGTTGTTTTGACGGTCAAATTGACTTTGTTGTAAAAAGCCGAATTTGTGGTTATTTTGGTAACCTTTCGAAGCATGATGGATAATATATTTTATTTTTCCTTTCATGATTGTGTTTTTTTTGTGTGAGAAAAGGATAAAAAGTGTGTTTTTGTCTGTGATTTGATTATTTTATTATTAGTCGTTTGAGTTTTGTCTATTAGGGTGCGTTATCTTGTTTATGGTAGTCTATATCAAGCTTTTTCATTGAAAAGAGGCTTTTTGGAGAAATTGGTCAAAAAGTTTTTGGAAACTGAAAAATTAGTCTTTATTCTTGATTTTTCTATGTTTTTCTACGAACTTCTTGACCGAAAGGTCGAAATATATTGTGTTGAACCAAAAATTTTCTATATTACTGATATATTATCTTAGAGCGTTAATTTATTGTCCTTCAGCTGCAATAAACGTCAATTTTTCTAGGTGAACGACCCGACGGACCCGCTGGTGGCCTTGTTCAAGTGGTGCTGAGTTTGAATGTACACAAAATGATCTCCATTTTACTGTCACGTTTGTTAATCTTGGTCAGTGGGATCATGTATCCGTCGTATCGGTCGTTCAAGGCTGTCCGACTGAAGGTAATGGTTTTCTTTGATTGTTTCTGATTTTTAGGTAGTATTTGGATTAAAATGGGCTTGGAAGAGCGGTGATAATGTGCTAGAACTATGTTAAGATTGAAAAATATTGGCATTTTGAGGGTTTTTGAAAGGAAATAATGTATTTTAGGCAACAAAAACTTTAAAGACTTAAAAAGGAGCCAAAAATACGAAGAAAGTCACAAAATACGGCTAATTCTAGTTACAATACTCCAAAACCTTTTCAGGACGCCAAGGAATACATGAAATGGATGATGTACTGGATTGCATTCGCCGTCTTTTGTGTTTTCGAATCATTTGCTGACATTTTCGTATCGTTTTGGTTCCCATTTTACTACGAATTGAAGATTGCCTTTGTTTTGTGGTTGGTAAGCCCGTGGACGAAGGGAGCGACTATTTTATATCGAAAGGTAAGAGACTTATAATTTATTTTTGGTTTTAGGTAACGAGTTGAAGGTTTCATCGATATTGAGGACCATATTTGCTGAAGAACTAGGTTTTTTGTATGAAAATGAAAAGAATTTTCTGTTAAAGCTTTAAAATGGCAAGAACTTTTTTTACAACCTGAAAAATGGCAAGAACTTTATTTACAGCACTAAACTTTTTAAAAGGAGATTTGAGAATCACTGGTAAAGGAGTCTTATTACCTAAAGTACTGAAAACCATGTGAACTTTTCTATTTTTAGTGGATTCATCCAACGTTGATGAAGCACGAAGATGAAATCGACCGTTTCCTCGAAAAAGCCAAGGAAGAGACCTACAATCAGGCCGTGAACGTTGGTCGACGTTCTATTTTGTACGCACGGGAAGTTGTGGCTACGGCCGCATCAAGAAGTCAAGCACATTTGGCCGAGCAAGCGTTGGCTTTCAGTGGAACATTGGCTTCCAGCGAGAACCTGAATCGCGATGAGAATGCGAAGCCAAGACGCCGAAGATCACGATCTAGGAATTCAAGCGCAAGTGCATTTGATATTGACAGTCGAATGGATCCAATGCTGGATTCGAGAAGCGAAAGGGTTACGGTTCAGAAAAAGGTATGGATTTTATGATTTTTTTTATGTTTAGATAATTAGTTTTGCATCACACTATATCTTTTTGATCTTGATGGAATATAGTTTTACTTGATCTCGAGATGGCTCTAGAAGTTAAACATTTTCACTTGACCTTAAAGGTTGATCTAGAAAGTATAATACCTTATTCTTGATCTGGAGAGAGACTTCCTTTTTTCTTTTTTTTTCTTTTCATTGATTGATGTAGAAGGAAGATGTCTTCATCTCATGCCTTACCTTGTGATGTAGAAGGTATATTATGATCTAGTAGATGTATTGTGATGTAAAGCAGATTTTGTAATGAAGTAAGGCTTTATCTAAACCTTCTTAATCAAGAAAGCACTTTAAAACAAGCCAAAACACTTAATTTATCTCAAAATTTAGTGGTGATCCAGTAAAAAGAAGCGTATAGAGCATGCTATTTTTGAATGTTAATGTCCTGCACCACAAAACTTGTTGTTAATGTTAATCTATCTATGTATATGTAAGTAAGAAATGGACTTTTTGTGTGGTTTTTTCTTGTTTTTTGCTGTTTTGTGGATTTTTCAGCTGTTTTACAGTTATTATGCTTTGAGTTTTAGCTGCTTCGTGCTCTTCTTTGTTTTTTCAACTGTGTTATGGGTATTGTATTTCGTTTCTTGGCTTGTTTTTTGGTTTTTCTTCTTCTTTTAAACTTTTTTCATAGTTCTTTGGTGTTTTTCATTTAAATTTAGCCCTAAAGTTATATTATTTTGCATTACAGTTTTACTACTTTAAGTGTTTTTGCTAAAACGAGTACAAGACCTATGATAAGTTACTTAATTTTTACAAAAACACTGCTTTTAGGCCCCCTCAGCGCCAGTTCACTCGGATTCGGACGATGATATGGAGCTGCTGGACCGTGGCGACCAAGAATATCGTCCTCGCGGTTCGGCCGAGCCCGAATACAACACCCTTCCACGCCGCAGCAGCCGTACTCGTCGTCAACTCACCTAACTATTTCTTATTAACTTTTAATGTCTTGAGGCGTGACTATGGTCTGAAGATGTTTCTTTAGCCTTGAGTCACTAATTCTGATTTTTTGAGGCGTTTTAATGCTTTAGGGCTTTTTTAATGCCCTAGGGCGTTTTGAATTTCTTAAGGCGTTTTAAATGCCCAATAATGTTCTTTTTACTCTTGAACCGTCTATAAAGCCTTGATTCGTTTAGAAATCACTCGATTGTACATATTATCAAACCGTTTGTTTTATCAGTAAGTTGATACTTATAGATTAATGTATGTTTGGTAGAGATTTGATAAGGTTTTTGGTCGTACACGATCGACAAGATTAATACTCATTATGCTGCTATCACTGTAAATTAATTTTGATTGTTAAGCAATGGTAATTGGTGTTCAGTGCTTAAATAGGACGTGTTATAGTACTAAAAATTGAGTTTTAAAACTTGCTGAGGACCTGCAGTACTAAAAACTCATTTTAGACCTGAGGACATACGCTTCCACAAAGTAAATTTTAAAGGCTGGTTAGGACAAACAGTCCAAAAATTGTTTTTGGTATCATACTAGCCATGTTCTGATACAGAACTCGTTTTAGCACTATTATAGCACCTGTTATAGTACTAAACACTCGTTTACGAGCACTGTTTATACTCATTTCTTCATTTACGAGGTTTATTTTGCAATTTCAAATTAGTCAATTGATAATAAAATTATGAAAACAGGGTGGAAAGAAAGTTTTTGCCATTGTTTGTTTTGTAAAGAAAGTTCTTGCTATTTTTGTGTTTTTTAAAGTAAATTTTTGTCATTTTTTGTTCTGTAAAGAAAGTTCTTGCCAAAAAATTTAAAAAATAAAAACAATATTCAATTCAAGTTAAAATACGTTTATTTCAACTACAAAGCTAACGAGAAATGACATTGTTACTCTAGTCTGACCACTCCTGGGGCAAAGTAGAAGTATTTGGTCCGTTTGTTGAATACATTTACTTTTTGATAGTGGACTTTGTCCGAATCACAGCGATGGGAAATGAACAAAACTGGCTTGAATGTGGCCAGGTTTTTGACGTTCACGAGCACTTGGAAGAAGCCACTTATTGCTGGCATTACTGGGCTGAAATTTTGAAATTAAAAATTTTTTTTTTAATTTTAAAAAGTTTTACATAGTTAACTTATTTTTTAATACTATAGGGTTACAAATAGACGAGTTTTGGTGAAAAATGGTATTTTTGGGCAGTCTCAAAAGTTTTGTCGTTTTTTACTGTGCAAATTAATGTAAATTGATTGACGACAAGACTTTTTGGACTATGTTAAGTTCTTAGCTTTAGCCTTAACAATTATCCATGCTTCTAGCCTTAGTCCTATCTCCCATTTTACTACGACTTAAAGTAAAATGGGAGGTATTGCTATAGCTTCCGGCTTTAGCCCTATAGCTTCTAACGCTAGCCCAAGATTTAGCTCTATCTGTATTGCCTCAGACATAGCCTTACTTAGCACTAGTCTCAGCTTCAGCCCTACCTCGTTGTGGCGATATTGAAAAATGAAAAAAAGGTCATTTTAGATGGCTTAAAATATCAAAAAATTTCAATTAAAAAAAATTTTTTTTGGAAAGAAAGTTTTTGCAAGAACGATGAATTTTCAAACCTTTTTCCAATTTTTCGATTGGTTTTGGAATAAAAATTACTTTTTAGTCACAATAGGTATTTTTGCAAAATTGTTAAAGGACCAGTTCGCCCATTCAAATATCATTGGCATTCTGTCGCAAAAAGCGTCGACAATCAGGCAATTTCAATCAAAATCATTTTTCTCAAAAAACGTGGGTGGGTCGGTGTCGAAATGAATTTTCCAATTTGGGACCGACCTGCTCAGGTTTTTTGCAAAAAAAATGAACGTCAAATTTTTGCGACAGAATGATATTTGAATGGGCGAACTGATCCTTTAATGTTGTTTATGTTTTTAAAAATCAATTTAGAGTTTTTAATTGCCGAATAATGACAGTTCAATTTTGAGAAATCTTGTTATTTCTGTGAAATGGGATAATTGGACTTGGCTACAACAAGTTATACTTCTAATTTTGTCTGTGAACATTAAAGAAACTTGATTTATGGTCAGGGTTGGACGCAGGGCAGGGCATTTCAACAGGGCATTTTTTTGAATTTCGTTTTCCCGCCAAAATTATATCTTGAAAACTGTAATAGCTATCAAGAAAATAACAACGTAAAATGGATTAGCAGTGTTTAAAACCCATTTCTAGAAATTTTTGCGTTTTTAGGTCTAGCCAAAAAAAATTTAAAAAAAGCGTGCCAAAAAACAATTCAAAAATGCCCTGTTACAGGGCCCATGCCCTGCCCTGCGTCCAACCCTGTTTATGGTCCAAAAGGCAGTGTCATTAGCAAAGAAATTTCAAAATTTAAAACCATTTTTTCAATTTTTAAATTAAATAGCCTCTAGGTTTAAAATAGCCCTAATCTGGGCTTAAACTGTTTTTTCTCTAGGTCTTAACTGGCCCTGCTCGTGGCCTAAACTAGCCTTAATCTAAGTTAAAATCAGCTCTATCCTAGGCCTAAAATAACCTTAGTTTAGGCGTAATCTAACCTTACTTTAAGCTTAAACGAGCCCTACGTGAGTGCTAAACTAGCTCTACTCGAGGCCTAAGTTAGGCACTGTGTAGGCCTGAACTAGGCCTAAACTAGACTTATCCCTAAACGTAAACTAGCCCTAGCTTGGCCCTATAATAGTCCAACCTTAGCCAAACTTAATTTTTTTTAAAATTTGGTCGTAAAGCGTATTTTACAACAAAAATAAAAAAAAACTTACCGATATTTCATTTTATTATAACTATCAATAATTCGAATCCTGGTGTCACGGTAGTTCCGATTGTTATGACAATATAATCGACCAGCCAACATAACCGTCTCGGCGTTGGCCACCACAAACAGAATCGACAACAATACGACCGCTTTTGAACTCAACATTATTTTAGACTGATTTTTAAAAATTTTCAAAAGTTTTTAAAAATGATGTTTTTAATAAAAAATAAAAATTTAGGTAACATTTGAAGATTTTTTAGCAAGTGACACTACCCTACCCTACCCTACCCTACCCTACCCTACCCTACCCTACCCTACCCTACCCTACCCTACCCTACCCTACCCTACCCTACTCTACCCTACTCTACCCTACCCTGCCCTACCCTACCCTAACCTTCATTGCATTCAATTACGCTTTACCTTACTCATATCCTGCTCTACTCTACCGTATCTAATCTTCCCTTTCAGTGTTTAACTTTGCCCTACCGTGTCCAAACTTTCCCTGCTGTGTCTAATCTTGTTCTGCCGTATCCTTATCTTACACTACCCTACCTTACTCTATCCTTGCTTATATCTTATTGTATTCTTGCCTTACTCTACTGTATCTACAAATTTTTTACCTTTTCTGTATTCTAGCTTTAACGCATATACCTTTACCATATTCTTTATCATTGTACTTTCGTATTTGTCATACTGTAAACCTGACTTATTTTTTGTTAAATTTGTCATATTAAATTCACGTTTATTGTAGTGGCGTTTGGCTTGTTTGTAAACAACTTGATTAATTAATTAATTGGAAGCGAGTTCAGGTTCAATATAACATAGTGATAATAAGTTAATAAGTAGAATAGTACAGTTAAATTGGTCATTCTTAATGTGTCAATAAAACATTTGATGTTGACTTACTTTTAACCTTGTTTATACAAAACGTTAGCAAACTTCAATTTTTGTCTGACCTTTTACTGAGTATGACTGTCACTTTATATGGTTGTATGTGACGTTAAAAAACGTAACTCAATTTCACAATCGAGTTTGAAATTTCAAGTTAACAACAATTAGCATCACTTAACGTTTTGTAACTTTTCATAGCGTGAAAAAAGCCGGTAAACAATGTCATTATACTACAATCTTCAAGTCTTGTCGTATGTATTACTACAGTCATTATCCAAATACATGTCTCGTGACAATTCTTTTGTAGTTTGTAAAAAAGGTTTATGTTTTATGACAAACATGTAGAATAGAAAAAGGTCTCTAGCCCGCAGCTCTGATCTAGAGCTTTAGCCCAGAGCCCTAGCCCAGAGCCCTAGCCCAGAGTCCTAGCCCAGAGCTCTAGCTGAGAGCCTTAGCCCAGAGCCCTAGCCTTGTCTTAGCTTTAGGCGCAGCTCAGAGTCCTAGTCTTAGCCTTAGCTTTAGCCTCACCTCTAATTGAAGCTTCAGTTTACAGGCTAGCTCTAGTTATAGACTTATCTCTAGCGCTAGCCTTAACTTTAGTCTTAACGTTAGCCCTAGACTTAGCCTAGAGCTCTAATCCTAGCCTTTTTTCTAGCTTTACCTTTACTCGCAGCCTTAATTCAGAAGCCTAACCGTTTTCCTAACTCGAGCTCAAGTTCTAGCCCAAGCCTAAATTTAAAAGCAAGTTCTAGCTCAAACCTAAGTTTAAAACCATATCAAACTCTAACCCAATCTTAGCTATAGCCCTAGCCTTACTTTAGTTCTAGTTTTAGCTCTAGTACTAATCCTAGCCCTACGGTTTTTGACTCTCATGACTTGCCTTGTTTATTTCCTCATTTTAACTTTGCCAAATGTAATTACGTATATACGACAGTAAAACGCGCTGTATTTCAGCTATGATATGCTGTAGTAAAGTCGTTGTTTTTCACTGCCATTTTTGACCTACCAACAATTTTTTAAATCGTTTCGGCCGCATTTGCAGCAAGCTACATTTGATATAACCAGAAATTAGTCACCTATTAACTGGGCGGGGTAATTAAAAAATTTCATGGTAAAAGTTTGTACTCACTTATGACACAGTAAAAGCAAGTGATATATAAAGGCGGTGACAAAGTATTTTGTATTACTTTCAAAAAACTGTTTTTTCGTGACGCACTGAAGAGATTGTTAGTACTATTTACTCATAATTGGTATAGCACAACGTACTGGGCTTTGTGGCACTACAGGTCATACTACTTTCAGTATACCTACCGTAAAACAATACTCTAAAGTAAATTTATAATTAGAGTTTAATTAAGCCTATGGTACTAAAAATGCAATAGTTACTAATACCAACACTATTTATTACTAAAAACATTTTTGAAATTTTATATTTTTCAAACTATACCTACTACAATATAGACAAAGATGGCGTTTGTTTCGCTATTTTTTTGGTATGCTGATATGTTTGGCCAAACATGTGGCCTTATCATCACCCTTACCTTAATCGTCGTGGTATTCAACTTTCATGGCAGTACTAACAAAGTAGTTCTACTGTATGGACGTCTTGTCATAGCTATTGCTATACAAGACGCCGTCTTCTGTACTTACGAGATTGGTGTTCAACATGTAAGTTTAAGTTTTTATTTTAGATATGTAAAAAGTAAGGGTAAGATAAAGTTATTGTTAGAGACGGCATGGACTAGGGCTAGTCGAGATAGTGTTAAGCTACAGTACGAATTAAATTGTTATACTGTATTTTGACGGGTACGCTAGGATAGGTAGGTTAGATACGGTAATGGGGAATTTAACACCGTAAATAGGACATTCATGGATACGATAGGGCAAGACAAGGGTGTGGTAGGGTAGGATAGGGTAGGGTAGGGTAGGGTAGGGTAGGGTAGAGTAGGGTAGGGTAGGGTAGGGTAGGGTAGGGTAGGGTAGGGTAGGGTAGGGTAGGGTAGGGTAGGGTAGGGTAGGGTAGGGTAGGGTAGGGTAGGGTAGGGTAGGGTAGGATAGGGTAGAATAGGGTAGGGTAGGGTAGGGTAGGGTAGGGCGGTTTATGTTTTGAGCTTTTACTTTTAGATTCTCTGCTTCTCGGGCAATAAAATGTTTGTAAATGCTTATGGTTGGGAGCAGTTTGCACCCGAATGGATTCTTCCGCCAGCGTTTTTCTTTCACATTTTCTTTATTTGCAACACATTCACTTTCTTACCAGCCATCTACAGCTATCGTTATGAGTATTTGAAAAAAGTAAGTTGCATTAAATTTCAAAAATAAAAAAAAAAATTTGAAATTTAAAAAAAAATTTAAATTTTGAAATTTTAAAATTTTAAAAATTTTTTTAAATTTAAAAAAAAGAAATTTAAAGTATCTTTTTTTTAGTTCCGAGCTAAGTTGGATGAGTTTATTTGCACGATTGGGTATATCAATGACTTGTTCGGCGATAGGAAGCTTCGCGGCGGCCTTGGCGGCCAGAAAGTCCTTGATTCGAGGCAAAGAGTACTATTTGAAGTTATTGCCTAAGGCATGGTTTGATGATCATGGCCAATCTGTCTTCATATATGCTGTGGATTTAGTAAGTCTTTGCAATTTTTGCAAAATCGATTTTAATAAAGCTTTAAAAAAGTCTTGTCGTTTATTTACACGCATTTTAATAGCAAAAAACGACAAAACGTTTGTTCTAGTTTTAAATGAAGTAAAAATTGTAAAAAAATAAAATAAAATGTCTTCAGGACGACAATGAAGCAGTATTTTGGGTATTTTCGACCATTGTCGTATCGTTTTCATCAATCAGCACTACTGTTTACTATGCCATCAAGTCAGCCAACGTTGTTCGCGAAAATATTCATGAAGAATCACCGAGTAGCAACAGTGTCCAAAAACAGTTTAATCGTGGACTTATGGCTCAGGTAAACTTATTTTTAATTAAAATTTTTAAATAATTTTTAAAAATTTAAAAATCAAAAAAAATATTTTTGTAAAGAATGTTTTTGCAATTGATTTAAAAGTGTTAAAAATGCTATTTCGATGTTGATTTTACTATTTCTATCAAGATTTGAGTTAAAAATGGCGTTTTTGCTTGCTTGGTCGAAAGCGAAAAGGCGCTCTTGTCCGATCTGGCAAGTTAAGCAACGGTGCGCTTGATTATAAAAAGTTCGAATTCGGATGAGCAAAAATGATTTTTTTAAATATTTTCTAAACTTGAGTCATCTTTGATTTACATTTGAGCTGTCAAGAAAGTTATTGCGTTTTAAACTCAAATATAGAGGTATTCTCACGCTTCTTTTGTCTTGTAAACAAAGTTTCTGCTATTTTTAACGTTTGCCTTTAATTTTTTCAAAGCCAAATGATAATAATGTTTATAATATACTCTTCTAGACAATTGCAATTGGATTCATGTCAAACGTGCCCGCTTTAGTGCTATTTTCATGCATTGCATTGGGTTTTGACGGTACTTATCTGGGTACTCAATTCATGTTCTCCATGTCATATGTTAGTGCTACGGGGTCATGTATGACAATTTATTTTATGAGAGGATACCGTAGATGGTTGGGAAAGAAGTTGTTTGGATTGAAGGATCGCTATGATGATAATACTAGCAAGGGTACCAGTGTTAAGATCACTACTACTCAAAATAATTAATATTGTTGTATAATGGGAATTACCGTAGTGGAAAATGTGAAATATGGTTTTTTCGCTATGTTAGTGATATATCTTGAAATGTCATATTGTAGTTTAAAAATGTTTTCGTACTAGTTGTACTGTTATGTTTGCTGAAGTAGTACTGTTAGTATGATGAACAATATCGTCGTATCTTGGGAAATACTGTAGTGTAAATGGGGAGACATGGTTTTTTAGCTATGTTATTGATATGTCTTGAAATGTCATATGGCAGTTTTATAACGTTTTGGTAGCAGTTGTACTGTTATGTTTGCTATAGTAGTACTAATAATTTGATGGATAATATTGTCGTATCTCAACTGCAGTAATATTTGTAAAATACGTATTCTTTAGTACTTAGTTGGCTAACATTAATAATACTGTCATTTTTGTCATTATTTTTAGTACCAGTAGTACCATCTACTACCGTACACCCTACAAAATCCCCAAATTTTAAAAACATTTCCAAAAACTTGATTTTTTTCAATAATTATTGTACTATGTAATAATAATGGCAATAAAATATTATCTCTGACGCTATGTACATTCTATTTACAATGTAATTTTCGTAACATCACGGAACTCATCGTGCATTACTTCTTCTACATTAACATTGGCCGAAGCCGCCACCATACGATCGTAGCATTTGAACCATAGGAAGAGAATGGCAGATATTGTGACAATATTGAACTGCCATAAATATGTGGGCCCAGACCATTCGTAAACTGTCCTAAAATGAGATTTTTAGCTAAAAAAAATTTTTTTTTAATTTTGAAATTAAAAAAAAATTTTTAATTTTTATATTTAAAAAAATCATCATTGTAAACAAAGTTATTGCCATTTTTAAAATCATCCCCGATTCAATTAGCTCGTTTACGTAGTATAGAACGAAAGCGCGCTCTCGTACGATCTGACAAGTTAAGCAACGGTGCGCTTGATTATTCCACGAAGGTTCGAGCCCGCTTAGTTATAAACACGCTTTTTGCTATTTTAAGATAACTTTTGACTAAAATTAATATAAAAGTATACTTTAAACAAAACTGGCATTGTTTTAAAAATACAAATGTTACAAATTTTGATTAGAATTGTAATTAAAAACGACATTTTTGTTTATTTTTTAAGAAAAATAACAGTTTTTTTGAAAAAAAATTTGTGCTTTTTAAAATTATTTTAAAGTGTAACAATGACAAACAACAGTATTTAAACCCGACACGTTAAAAACTCCGTATTTTACCAAAAAATAATCAAAAAATCGCTTACGTAAAGATCAAAGGTCCAATAATGTTGACACACTCGCCAAAGACCAAGAACAAGCCTTGCATCGCGCCTTGTTTGATATTGCCAAGGACTTTTGAGTACAGTATGTCCAAGTTTAACATCATTAAAGGAATGGCAATACTGAAGCACGAGCACATTGTGATCAGATATACCCATTGATTCACGGCAGGGGTAGTAGCACACCATGTGAATCGTGATGAACATCCATATGAGACTACTGTATCATTGTCTAGGACTTCATAAGGTATGGTCGATGGGTAAAATGGGTAAGGGTAGGTGAGAACGTAGAAGGCGAGAACTAGTGACATGCCTACGACGATGGCGGCACGTTCGGAGAGATGTTTTTGGGTTATTCCTTTGGTGTAGGAGATTCTGAAAGGGGTAGATAAGTTTTAAAAATGCCATTTTTCAACACAATAACTCAATAGAGCATATTAAATCAAAAACTTACGCAATTAAAACCCCAGCAACGCCAATCACCGTGAACAGTGTAGCATTCGCCGTGACCAGCTGTTGACTGTCCCAACTAAACACCGTCTTCATGTATGGTCCACCGATGACAATCAAGAATAACAGGCTTGATGACACCACCATTCTCGTCAGAAAACACACCCCCACAGCCAGTTTGTCATAGGGCGTGTCAAAGTCCAAAAAATGCCGTTTCGAGGGTTTTTTCGGTAAAATACTGGATTCAGAAGGCGTTTCGTGAAGATGTAGACGGCCATCGTAGAAGGTGATAAGAAGAAAGAAGGCAATGATTGTACAGATCAAAAAAATCAATGGAGGTATAGTGTAGACGTTGAGATGGAGACCAGAAAAGTATTCAAGGCCTGGGTAGGCGATTAAAGCTGCTGCGATGGTTAGGACTGAAATAGGTAATATTAGTATATAAAGTAGCTGAAATTTAAGAAATTGAAGTAAATAATGTATGTTTGGATCTAAAATGAAGTTCTTATCAATATAATTCTAAAAATACGCAAAAAATAGTGATATGTTACTGTATCATGAAAATCAAAAAATTTTTTTTGAACCCCGCCCTTCATGTAAAAAAATTTACCCCCGCCCAAAAATTTTTTTTTAATTCAAAGTAAATACAATACAATATTAGTAAATAAAAAAAAAGATTCTTTCTTAATTTTAACCCCATCACCCTCCCCTCTCTCCTACCTCCCGCCATAAAAAAATTTACCCCGCCCGAATTTTTTTTGCGATTTTAAGTTAAAACAAAAGTAAAAATTAAAAAGAATTTAGCTTACATGGCCCCACACTCATTCCAATAGAAGAAGCAATAGAAAAGAATGACATGGCTTTTGGCCTATCTTCTTCGGTCGATGCCATAGCCAAGTGGGTTCTGGAGACACTGGTAAAACCTAAAAGGTAATAATCTTCATAACGTTCTTCCCTATTCAGCCTTTATTTCACCTCCCTCCCTCTACTTCAAATTTTTAATTTCTCTCTCCCCAGCCCCCAAATTAATAAAATAAGTTTTACCCCGCCCGTAGATTACTCACCCATGGCCAGACCTTTTTTATATATAGATAACTCACCCATGGCCAGACCAAAGCAAGTTTGTGAACCCATAAACAAAAGCTTGTCCAAGCTTGGCAAAACTTCCACAGATAAATAAGAAATGACACTCAACATGTAGCAAATCAGGCCAATCACTGTGCATAATCTGAAAAAATGAATTACTTTAAATTCTAAAACCATTAAAATTAGAATCGTTGACCTATAGCACAACTTGAATAAGGTTAAAAGATGAGGCTAGGGTAATGAGGACAGGGCAACAAAGAAAAGAGGTAACGAAAGAAATTGTGCCGTTTTTTTGCGAAATTTTTTTTCCGAAAATCCACAGGGGGACCACGTTCAACTTTTTTTTCAAAAAATTTTTTTTTTGGAGGTACCCCCCCCGTCCCCCCCTCGCGCCCAGCCCTGGGTGGAACCAAAAGTAGCGGGACACTTTTGGTTGAAAAACAAGTGTCTCGCTACTTTTGGTTTAGTCTGAACAAGTCTCTCGCTACTTATGGTTTAGCTTTAACAACTGTCCCGCTACTTTTGGTTCAATCTTAATAGGTAAGGTAAGGTAGTAGAGTGAAGTAGGGTAAAGTCAGTAGGATAGGGTAGTTCGAAAAAAAACTCACTTTGTGTCGTTGAGTCTGTTACAAACCACACCAGCAACGAAAGACATAGTCAAGTTGACTACATTTTCGGCTGACGTCATCGCGCCGTAAAAGGACTCTTCAATTTTTGGATTTATCTAAAAGTTTTGGAAAATTAAAATTTATGTTACAGTACTTACCAACTGCATGTAAGCCCAAATGCCAGATCCCATGGCACTGACCCTGAACGTCATCAGGAACCCGATAGACGTTAGGATATAAACTGACCTCCAATCTGTCTCCATGCTCTGAAATTTTAAATATGTAGTTTTAAAATGGCGTTACAGTACTATATGTAGTGTAATATGATAAATTTACTCTGTACTAATTATATTTTTACATAAAAATTTATAAAACAATATAGTTAAGGTAAACTAAAGAAAAAAGCAAATATTAACCATGTAAGTCATAATGTTATAGTAGCTTCTGAACCTCAGACTTTAGACAAAGAAATAAATATATGTTCGTAGATAAATATTAAAGAGCTTTAGGCGAAAAACGTTGAGTAATAAAAACATATGTAATCAAAAACAACTATTTTAAAATCGAACGTTCTCAGAGATTAAAACACAAGACACATTTATATCACAGAATCGTTACAGTACGCTACAAACACAAGCAAAAAGTAAAAGAGTATTAATAAAAGTGGATTTTTAAAAGCTCTAGCACCAAGTCCTAGTTCAAAACTCTATCAAAAAGCTCTAGCCCAGAGCCCTAGCAGTGTGTTGACTTCCGCATCCGGTTCAGTCCGACAGTACAAATTTTTGAATTTATTTTTTCCCGCCAAACGCGTATTTCGAATACTATGATAGGTATCAAAAAAATAACAGCATCTAGAAGGGTTAGCACCAGTGTTTTGCCGGACCGGGTCCGGTCCGTCTCATACAAGTTCCTCGCTAAACATTTGGACCGGCCGGACCGAATCGGTCTTGCCGGTCCGGGCGGTCCATTTCGGTAATAACTTGATAACCAAAGACGGACCTTCACAAAAGTTATTTATTTTTTAAAACTTCAAACCATAAGCTTAAAAGTTATTTTCAATCTTGCAATTTTTGAAAATCCGGACCGGACCGGACCGGTCCGGCAAAACACTGGTTAGCACCATTCCAAATAGGGGGAGGGGGTAGAAAAAGTTAAAAAGTCTTAGACCGATTCGACCGTAGAAAAAAAGCGCGGGAAAACAAAATTCAAATTCCGGACTCTCGCACTGGGTCAAGTCCGGTCCGGAAAAAAACTCTGTCTAGCCCGGAACCCTAGCCAAACTTTCGTCTTAGCGTTAGCTATAGCCAACCCCTCAAGCGTATTATAAAACTTTATCGTATCTTTGTCAATTTATTTTTTTTTAGTTTTGCCTTAAGTCAAGTGTACTCATACAGTACGCGTGTCACAACCAATGCCTTGCTTTTTTCGTCTTGGCTGAACGACTACCGTAGTCTCGCCAAAGGTATAGTCACTTACTATCGCCTGACGTATTCTCAGTAGGATTTTACTGTAAGCCCTAATTGTATCCTACAAAACGTTTATATGGCAGAAAGTTCAAAAAGATAAAAAAAGATGACAAAAAATGTTAAATGACAGTAAAAAACACCTCTTTTAAAACACCTCGTTTAATTGTACTTTAAACAAGAGCTTGAAAAATGAAAAGTTTAAACAGTGATTGAACTTTGACAGTTTTTTGTCTATAATGATATTAAATAACCTTTGTTTATAAGTTCAGACAGACAATTAAAAAATGATATTTCGACGAGAAAATTGGTAAAAAATAAGTTTAAATAGGAAGAGATATCTCTTGATTATCTAGTAAAGGCAGCTTAACCATTCAGATCGCAAAACATATGCTTTTGTTATATGACCATGTACGTGTGCGATGTAAAATAAAATAAAAAGTGACAATAAATGATAAAAAAGGAAGCAGCGTTTAACAAACGTTGAAAAAGTAGTTGGGTTAAGTTAAAGTAAGACCGAAATAAGTCTATGCCTTCAAACTAGGATAAACTTAAGTTATATAATACTAGGATGAAGTTACGTTAGAGCTGAAGTAAGGGTAAGACAAAGTAAGAATAAAAAAAAGATAAGGTTCGCGCTAAAACTAGGCTTAACCTGGAAATAGTACCCCAGCGTTTAAATAAGCTGAGACTAACGCTAAAGCTAAACCTAACAATAAAGATAACCCTAAAGCTACCGCCAAAGGCTAAACTTGAAGCTAACTCTGAAGCCAAGTCTAAAGCTAACACTAAAACTTTGACTAGGGCTAAAAAAGAGGCTAAACTTGAAAAAAGCAAAATAATATTCTACTCGAACAAACCGAAAACTTTTATATATAAATTTTTCAACATCTGTAAACGGTTCATTATAACACAATATAATGCGCAAACAACCATATTTAGTTGACTCACAGTTTGCCCGAGTTGAATCACGAAAACAATTTGAAATCACAAACTAAACAACGAAAAAGTTCGAACAGAATCAAGTTTTACTATCGCACCCTACTTTGTCCTGCGTTCGTTCTACCTTATTCTGACTTTCTTTTGTCTTGACATACTAGACCGACTTTGTTCCTACTTTTACTGTATTCTCCCTTTACCCTTCATGTGTCTCCTATAGACGTGTCTACTTTTAAACATGTCCTATCGTTCCTCTACTTTTACTTTTTTCTTGACCATGCCCTTTTGATCTTTCCTTATCTACCCATACTTCACCCTTGCTATTTAACATCGCTTTGATTTACCTTTACTCTATTTTTTGCGCATTACGTTTTTGTTCTACCCTTGCACTACTATTGTTTACGCATTTTTGTTCTACCCTTGCCCCTTCCAACCTTGCCCTACTTGCTTTACCCTTTCATTATCCTTAGGCTAACCTAGCCTTACCTTGCCTTTTAAAACACAATTTAAGCATATACGGTATTCCATATAAAATGTTTTATATTAGAATTCCCGGCGGAACTCCAACGGTGAGTGGCTGATAGAACCTCACACATGATAAATACCTAACTTGTAATCTTATCAAGCCTTCGGAAACTCGCCTTTTAATTTATTGTTTCTGATTCTACTATTTGTTTTTGCACTCACAAGGTACAAGACATAAAGAGTATGAGATTATTGACAAAAAATAGTAAAAAAAGTGATTTCTTGGGCTTAAAAAAAATTAAATTTATAAATTGGGCAAAAAAAGATTAGACTAGGCTAGGTTGGTTAAGCTAGGGTAGGCTTGAATAAACTAGGTTAAGCTAAGCTAAGGCAGGGCTAGAGCAAAACAAAGGAGAGGCTAAAATAGAGCTAAAGTAGAGCTAGAGTAGAGCTAGCGTATGGTTAGGACAGGGCTTTATAGCTCCTAAATTCAATGCATTTTAAGTACAACTTCCCGTTCAAAACCTTATCACAAGACAAAAAGTAACAATAGAATACACAAAACAAACAAAAAAGCACATTAAAATCATATTTTTTTCTTTTGTTAAGAACTTCTTGCAAAAATACAGCAGATCTACAGGTCTACCACAGACCAATGAAGGTCTCCAAGGTTCAGTGTCAACCAAGCCGAAAGCCAAAAAATTTCAAAAGGGCCGGGATGGAACATGTAGGTTCAAGACAAAATCCCAAAACCAAGGCTCTAGTGATCCAGTTAGAGTTTTGCTACGGATACAGGATCTGACTGGGCCAAGCAACTTTAAAACAGCCGGGTCAAAAAGTTGGACCTGGACTGGTCTTTTGGCAAGTCTACTTCCACGAAAATTTAAAAACTTTTTACTTTTTCTCTTCTTCTCACAAGCCAAAGTTGCTTGCTTGACACTGTCTGTAGGTTAAAATATATTTTAGAAAAGACCGTTCATCAAAAGATAACAGCTTGTTTTGGAATGTTTTCAAGTTTCCAAAAACTTTGTTTACACTACCTTTTTATGTGTTTTGAAGAAAATGTAAAAGATTGTCATAAGATTGCTCTTTATCAGTTATCTTAATAAAATTACATTTAATATTGATTTCTAATATTAATACAAAAAACAAATAGGTAAAGTTTTAAATAAGCTATCTACACTGTACACATACTATTATATAGCTATTCACAATGTCAAAAGTTCTGCTCCGCAAGTTTGGTAACATCACGTAGTTCATCACTTATGACTTCTTCTACTTTAATATTAGCCGAAGCCGACACCATTCGATCGTAGAATTTGTAAAACAATAGTAGAATAACAGCTATTGAAGCTATATTGTAAAGCCATAAGTAGGCTGGTCCTGTCCATTCATAAATGTTCCTAAAATGACATTATTTCGTTAAAATTTAAAAAAAAAAATTTAATTTAAATTTTTTAATCTTTAAAAATTTTAGGTAAATTTTCTCACTGGAAACAAAGTTACTGCCATTTTTAAAATTATCCTCCGAATTTGAGCCAATTTTCCCGTTTAGTATAAAGCGAAAGTGCGCTCCGGTCCGATCTGGCAAGTTAAGCAACGGCGCGCTTGATTATTCCACGGGTGTTCGAGTCCGGTTGGATGTAAACGCGTTTTTCGCCATTTTTAGATACTTTTTAATTAAACTTTTTAAAAAGTTGTGATTTAAACAAAATTTGCATTGTTTTAAAAACATAAGTTTTATAAAATTTAGTTTGGGTTGTAATTAAAAATGGCACTTTTATCATTTTTTTTGGAAAAAATACACTTTTTTATAAAAAAAACTTTTTTGGCTTAAAAATCAAAAGTAAGTATAAAAATTTACACATTATTTTAAAATAACTGGTGTAGCCAGATCGTATTTTACCAAAAAATTGAAATAAAAAGCTTACGTAAACACTAAAGGTCCAACAATGTTAACACATTCTCCTAGAACCAAGAACGCTCCTTGCATAGCGCCTTGTTTAATATTGCCAAGTATTTTTGAGTACAAAATATCCAAATTCAGTATCAGTAATGGTACGGAAATACTGAAACAAACGCACAATGCAATCATATACACCCATTTATTGACAGCTGGGGTATATTCACACCAAGCGAATCTTGATGAACATCCATATTGTACTATCGTGCTGTTTTGTACGACTTCATATGGTATGGTTGATGAATAAAATGGGTATGGGTAGGTTATTATGTAAAAGATTAGGATGAGAGACATCGATATCACTATGGCAGCACGTTCGGAGAGATGCTTTTGAGTAAATCCTTTTGTGTATGATAAGCTAAAAATATAAAAAGTTTAAAGATTAAGCCTTGCCTTGCCTTGCCTTTGCCCTAATACGTTTTCCTTGCAATACTCTACCTGCCGTACGCTTATACAATCACTACATTCTTCTCTACAGTATCCTACCTTAGCCGTAGTTTGACTTACTGTATCTATATCCAACGCTTCTCATGCTTAATCTCATCTACTTTTCAAACAACACCCTGCCTTTAAAAACCTGATCCACCTACCATATAACAACCCCATTAACACCATTAAAAGTGTTGATCGCAGCACTAAAGGTGATCAACTCATCGCTGCTCCACCCAAACACAGTCTTCATATAAGGGCTGCCAATGACCATGATGAACAGCTGAGTCGACGACAACACCATTCTAGTCAGAAAACACAACAGTACAGCTAGTTTGTCATACGGAGTTTTAAAATTTAAAAGTTTTTTCTTGAGCTTGGGCTGAAGAGCGTCGACTTCAGAAGGCGACTTGTGAAGATGAAGCCGACCATTGTAGAAGATGATGAGTACGAAGAAGACAATGGTGGTGCAGATAAGAAAAACAAATGGAGGTATCGTGTAGACGTTGAGATGAAGACCAAATAGATATTCGAGGCCTGGGTAGTTGATTAAAGCTGCCGCGATGGTTAGGACTAAATTAGGTAGCACCAGTATTTAAAATAGCTGAAGTTAAAAAGACTAAACTAAGACAATAAGTATAAATCGCTTCTAAATAATAGCATTTATTCATCACTTACAAGGCCCAACACCCATTCCAGCAGAAGTGGCAACGTGAAAGAATGACATGGCTTTCGGCCGATCTTCCTCGGTAGACGCCATAGCCAAATGAGTTCTGGCTACACTGGTTAAACCTGAAAAAAGAAAGCCCTAAGTAAGCAAATAAAACCGTAATACCTTATTCTATCTTACCGTACCATACTGTACTCTACCATGCCCTACCCAACCCTACAATACCATACAAGATCCTACCGTACCGTATTGTATTCTACCGTCCCTACCGTTCTTTACCCTGTCCTACCGTATCCTTCTAAAAAATTTTTGTTAAATAACATACCCATGGCAAACCCAAACGTAATTTGAGAACCCATGAACAATAGTTTGTCAAAGCTTGGCATAATTTCCACTACCAAATAGCATATTACGCTTAATAAAAAGCAGACCATTCCAGTTACTGTACATAATCTAAAAAAGGTTTTTCTTAGTTTAGAACTTAAGGGTAGGGTAAATTAAAAAACGGTAGAGCTTAGTAAGGCAAAGCTGAGAAAATATACAGGGTGCGCCAAACGTTCTGTTACACGGGGTTTTAATCAAATATTTATTTTAATAACAAATATAATTAAAACAACAACTAACAATAGTAACATATAGTACTAGTTATAACATAGTCAATTGGTTTTGAAGTTTCCCCTCTTTGCGGCTTGGCACTAGCGCAAACGCTTCAAATAAGGGTAGAGCAAAAGTAAGCTAAGGTAAAGAGAAAAAGAAGTAAAGCAAGGTTAAAAATACGACTAGGGCAAGGTTGAGGTAAAGGTAGAGTGAGTCTAGAGTAGGGATAGAGAGTAGCTAGGTTAGGGCTAGGATAAGGCTAAGGTAAGGCTAGCAGGGAAAAACTAGGATAAGGCAAATACAAAGAAAGTGGGCAGCAAGAGTATGATTAAATAAAGCTGTAGTAGGGCTAGTATAGTCCTAAGGTAAGACTAAGGTATGGCTAGGGTAAATAAATTAAGAAAAACATACTTTGTGTCACTAAGCTTGTTACATACCACACCAGCAGTAAACGATGTTACCAAGTTGACTACGTTTTCAGCTGAAGTAATGGCACCATAAAATGATTCTTCAATTTTTGGATTTATCTAAAATAAGAAAGTGCGTTTTTCAATACTTATAATCAACTAAAGAAAGCTGTATATTATCATGCATCTTCAGATTTACGTTATGTTTATATCACAACCCTATCTATTATAGTTATAGTAACTCTAAAAATTTCTATGTAAGAATCAAATATTAGTTCATACCTTTTGCATATAAGCCCATATTCCAGAATTCATTGAGCTGACCCGAAACGTCATCAGTAGCCCAATGGAAGTTAGAATGTAGACAGCTCTCCAGTCGGTTTGCATGGTTTAATAGTAAAGCTGATACAAAATTTTACAAGTTATGTATTCAGTCTACTAACCTAAAATTTTACTTTATAAAATAGCCTATTACAGTATGCAAAAAAAAATCTTTTATTACTCATAATAGGCGTTAAAAAACTAAAATTAAAACATTTCTGTCAAACCCTACCGTACCCTACCGTACCCTACCCTACCCTACCCTACCCTACCCTACCCTACCCTACCCTACCCTACCCTACCCTACCCTACCCTACCCTACCCTACCCTACCCTACCTACCCTACCTACCCTACCTACCCTACCCTACCTACCCTACCCTACCCTACCCTACCTACCCTACCCTACCTACCCTACCCTACCCTACCTCACTATTTTTTCTAAACTCTTCATCATATGACCCTAATTAGTGAACTTTTCAACATTGCCAGCTTAAAATTTTGTTTGTTTGCTAAATTTAATATAATCCACGGAAATTGACGGTAACTTACTGATAAAGAATGATAAATATTCAACTTAAAATTTAGTATTTTCTAAATAATTCGATTGCAAAAGACACAAGCTATAAAGTGTATGATTTATTACTAAAAATGATAAAAAAGTAACAGAAAACTGTTCGATTACAGAGGAAAAGGGTTGGTTTAGGTAACAAAAAGGGTCAAGTTCGACGAAAAATAAAAAAAAAGTTCGAAATGTTTAACGTTTTAAAAAACTAAAAAAAAATTTAAAACTTTAAAAATTTAAAAATTATGAAAAATAATATTTCAAAAAATTTTAAAAATTTCAAAAAACTAAAAATATAAATTTTTTAAAATTTGAAAAAAATGAAAAAATTTTGAAATTTTTAAAAAAGTTCAAAACTAAAAATTTAAAAATTTTGAAAATAAAAATTCCAAAAAATTCAAAAAATTTTAAAAAAATTTTAAAAAATTAAGTTTAAAAAAAAATATAAATAAGGGTTACTATTGGTTCAGTCAGTCGATTGTTACTACACAAAACACGGTTCAAACCGACGTTAGTAAACTTTTCTTTTTTCTATATTAATAACAATGAAAACGAAAAAGTTTACCTTTTCCAAACTACAAATACAATATAATAACGAAGGGCGGGAATGATTGGAAATTAATGTCATATGAAAGTGCGAGCTGAATTTAAAGTATGAGGTGAATTATGACGTTTGATTTAGTGAACGTTTTTTAAAATTGGGTAAACTGCAAGTTTTTTTAAAGTTTACAAATAAGCTGCTGGTTTTTAAAAAATGTTTTTCCAAAAGTCTAAATAAGACTAAAGCTAGGATTAAGAATAGGAGTAGAATTAAGACTAGAACTAGGACTCTGAGCTGGGACTAGGACTCTGGGCTAGAACTAGGACTCCTGGCTAGGACTACGACTCTAGGATAGAACTAGAACTCTAGGCTAAGACTAGGACTCTGGACTAGAACTATGACTCTAGGCTAGGACTAGGACTCTGGGCTAGAACTAGGACTTTAGACTAGGACTCTGGTTAAGGGCTAAGACTCTGGGCTTGAGCTAAGATTAAGACTAAAGCTAAGATTAGGAATCCTGGGCAAGACTAGGTAAGAGGAACGGGCCGAGCCTATTCTTCCGGCTCGGTTCGATCTAAATTTTGCTCAGGGCTGGCCCGGCCCAATTTTTTTCGTGAAAACAAACCGGGCTTTTCGAACCAAACCTAAATCCCGGCCCGTTCCTTATGTCTAGGCAATGCGTTAGGCTAGGACCAGGACTTAACCCAGAACTAGGACACAGGGCTAGGGACTAAGACTAGGAATAAAACTGGGATTCCGGTTTCCGGGCTAGGACTAGGTTTTTGGACTAAGGCTTTGGGCTAGGGATCTGAGCTAGAACTCTGGGCTAAGGCTCTAGGCTAAGAATCTGGGCTAGGACTCTAGACTACGGCTTTGGGCTAGGGCTCTAGGTTAGGTCTTTGGGCTAGGGCTCTGGGCTAAGGTTCTGGGCTAGGGCTCTAGACTACGGCTCTGGGCCTGGGCTCTGGGCTAAAACTAGTGATATACAATAATTTTATTTGCCTTATATTAACCTTATCAAACGACATGAACTTTAGCAATTGTTGATATAGCTGCTTTGGACGATGCCAGACAATTCTCTGGCAAAGTTGCCCACATCTTCTTTTCAAATTCGATTTTTCTTTGAAGTGTAGCCAGCTCAAAGACCTTTTGACAGACGGCCGTAGCAACGTCTTCATCTGTAGCTGTTGGCGGTTGGGAGTTGATCACGTTGTCAACCTTAAAAACGAAATTATTGGCAAGAACTTTCTTTAAAAAACATAAAATGACAAGAACTTTCTTTAAAAGACAAAAAATGGCAAGAACTTTCTTTAAAAACGAAAAATGGCAAGAACTTTCTTTACGAAACATAAAATAACAAGAAGTTTATTTACAAACTTGAAAATACAGTAATCATTTACCTGTTCTTCATCCGGTTTAAGAAAGTCTAAAGCAATTTGCTGAGAGTTGTTGTAGAGTTTTGTAAAGGCTTCTGGACCTCCGACACATGTCGTGATGTTGTTCAAGACTTTGGTCAGCTGAAAAGTAAAAAATTGCAAATTTCTGTAAAAAAAATTTTGAAAAAAATTTCAAATTGTCTCACCTGATCAATTTGAGAAGAGCTGAAGTAGTCAATGTTGTTGTAGTTGGTGTAGTAGTAGTCGGCAATCTCTTTCAACGTCTTATTTTGCTTGTAGTACATGTCAAAGTTTTGACGTAGAAGCTATAATTTCCGTATTTTACAAAAAAAATACCTTTCCCTACCCTACCTTACCCACCGTACCCTACCTTACTTTGCCCTACCTTGTATTTAAGTGTCTTACTTTACTCTACCTTGTCCTAACTTGGCTTAACAGGAGTTATCTTACCCTGCTTTACCCTACCTTATCTTACCTTGCCTTACTTTACCATGCACTATCTGACCCTACCGTACACTGCCCTACTTTACCCTGCTTTGTATTAACGTGCCATACCTTATCCTACCATGCCCTACCTTATCTGACCGTTGTCTTGCTTTATCCTACACAATCTTACCTTACCGTACCCCACCCTCAAAAGCTACCCATGCCGATGTTAAAACCTACCGTACCCTACCCTAACATGTGCCTTGTCCTATCTTTTTACAGCTTTGATCTGGTCTGTATTATCCTAACATCTGTCAAAAAATCTTTAAACTCTATGGTAACCTGACCTACCCTACATTATTATACGCTTTTCTAACCTACCCTACTCTGCCTTAAACAAATTTAAAAACTTTTTATTACTTACAGTCTTAATAGTGCCAGGCTTGAAAAAGTCGCCATTAAGAGCAATAATCTTTTGAGTTAGTTTCGCTTCACATTCATCATCAGCAGCTACAACAACAAAAGCACAAAACACTACAAACGCGACCTTCATACCTACAAACTGTATTGACAATTGTACACCAACCGTAATAACTCTATATCTCTTTACTGCAACCTTTTATACAGTTTATACCTTCAGTAAACGTTTTTTTTTCACAATTGAAACCCTGTGTAAACCCTTTATACCTAAAGCAACGTGAAATTCTGTGAAAAATCTCGATTTCAAACGGATTTAAGGGTGTTCGTCGAAAATTTTAGACAATTTTGTTTACACAAAGTAGTTTGTATTATTGTCAGATTAAACTCAAACAGTTTTAAAGAGGTTACCGAGCTTGGTACATTGCAATTGGTTGAGAACATTGTGATCTATGGGCAAATTTTTGAGAAAAAATGTCAAATTTTCACAAAAAATTAAATTTTTTTGCCTTATTAAAATAAAAAAAAGGTTTTTAGATAACAAATTGTAAGAAAAATTGTAAAAAATTAAAGATTGCTACTATACAGTTACAAAAAAGTGGCATTAAGCAGTGAAAACAAGGTTAAAAATCAAAGTTTTGACTGAAAAACCCCCAAAAAACGTTATATTTGTGTCATTTTTTAATTATATTATGCCCAAATGCCAATTTCAAAATTTCAGATAGATTTTTTAAATCTCGAAAGTCTTCTCTATCAAACGTATAAACTCTTTTTCAATCTTACTTTACTGAAAAGGCCTAAATGCCCTTTCAAACGCATAAGCAACAGCCTTCAACATTAAGCTTTGCCTCCTGTGCCCGGCCCAAACCTGAAAGTTCTGCACCGGGCAGGGTCCAAAAGATCATACCGCCAGAACCGCAAATTGAGCCTGGGGTTGCTGTACGTCCAAGGCTGATCAGCTTTATTAATCTTCTTAAATAAAACCCACGGGCGCAGCTATTAGGTGCCGACATAAAGAACCCGCCATACTTTTCCTCTAATTTCCTGTAAAAAATGGCGGGTTCTTTATGTCGGCACCTAATATATTGCATCCTGCGCTACAAAAACAATATTTTTTCAATTTGATTGGAATGAAAGACATAGTTATTATATTTTGGTTTGTACACACAAATCTTATCTTTATTACCACATAATTTTAAAAACGATATTACTAAACCAAACCAACAGCCGAAGCTTGTCTTATAGGTTGCCCAGCATTAATATCAAACTGACTATAGCCATTAACGGTTGCCATTCTATTATCATCCCTTCTAGATGTCATTCTATTACTATCACTTTGAGATGAAATTTCAGTGTTTTTTGTACCAAAAGCTGTAGGCCGAGACGAATGATCATGAATATTAACCACATTGTTCGTAAAACCTTGATGATGTAGATTATGTTGTAGACTGTGAATGTGTTGACTGTTTTGGTTAGCTATGCTGTTATAATAGCCAGTGTGAGTTTCATGACCAGCATGGAGGGTATTGTGAAGTTCATGTTCTGTACCATGACCATCATGACCAGTAGGATGTCCTTCATGACCAGTAGCATGTCCGTCATGACCAGTACCATGATGTTCTTCATGTTCTTCACTGCTTTCTTTACTACTCTCTTCAGAGCCAGAGAGAATACTGGGTGATAGTACCTGAAAAATAAGGTCTCCTGGCTTGTTGACAGTACAAGATAATATTTAGAATGACATTAAAAAGGTTAAGCAAAGAGTTTAGACTAACATATAGCGCGGTACCGTAAGACAAAGTAGTAGGGTTGGGTATGACAGGATTGCATATGATAAAGTAGATACGGTAGGCAAGATTGGCTACGGTGAGGCAAGATACGAATACGGTAAGACAAGATTGGATATTGTAGGCAGTAGGGTACGGTAGAGCAAGGTAGGGTCGGTTATGATAGGGTAAGGTATGATAAAGTAAGCTAGGGTAGGGTAAAGTATTGTAGGGCAGTGTAGGATAAGACAGAATAGGATAAGGTAGAGTAGGGTATGGTAGAGTAAAGTAGGGTAAAGTAGGGTAGGGTAAAGTAGGGTAGGGTAGAGTAGAACAAAGCTTTAAAAGCAAATTTTGAAATCATAGAAGATCATACTTACCTCTACCATTAACTTTTCACTACTCAAAATATGAGGTGATAAAACTGATGGGCTTAGCACTAGCACTCCTAGTGATTCTGGCGACAATATTTTTGGAGCTAACGTATCTAAAACACAAAACTTTACCTTGAATTTCATAAAAGTCGTTACCTGTAAACCTATACATAAAAACTATAAAAAAAATACAGTATGACATATCAAAACAGTACGTTACCCCTTTTAACTTCAAAACTCACTAGGACTCAAGATTTGAACAATCAAAGTCTCTGGAGACAAAACTCGAACTTCCAGAGCCTTTGGTGACAATACTTCTGCAATTAATGCTTCCGGAGTTAACACCCAAGCAACCAGTGCTCGAGGTGACAAAATTTCAGCACGAAATGCTGCTGGACTTAGTACTCTTGCTAACAGAGCACCAGGTGATAGTATTGAAGGGATGAAGGCTCTTGGTGATAGAACTTGGAACTGAAAGGTTTTGTTAGTTGTAAGGTTATTCGGTGTGAATTAGGGTAATTGGGTAGATTACTACAATAAGGTAACATAGACAAGGGTAAAGTAAAAACAAATACTTTAAAGTACAGTACATTTAACTTTAAGCTACAGTAAGACTTGGGTAGGGCTTCTTTAAAGGTAGAAGAGATAAAGAAAGGTAGGATAAGGTGAGCCAATGCAGCGTAAAGTAGGCCAAGCTAGGGTAGAGTAGCTCAATATATGGCCATATATCGCAAGGCAAGGTAAGACAAGATAGAGCAAGATAGGAGAAAGTAGGATGAGGGAAGTCTATACATATAGGCTAACGTAGGGTAAGGAAAGATAAGGTGGGGCAAGACAGGGTAGGGTAAAATAGAGTAGGGTAGGGTAGGGTTGGGTAGGATAGGGTATGATATGGTAAGGTAGGATATGGTAGGGTAGGGTAAGGCAAAGTAGAGTAAAATACTTACACTCAACGCCTCAGGCTGTATAACTTCGGACCAAAAAGCATACGGTGACAGTGTCAGACCTTCCAGTATGACACCTTTGTTAACCGTAGCTCCAAATGCAAATGGCTTCAAAGTTTCCAATTTGGGAAGAGATTCATCTTCTTCGGATGACTCTTTTTCTTCTTCCTTTTCATGACTTTCTGCTTTTTCTTTACTTTTTGAAGACAATTTCTCTTTTGAAGTCTTTTGGTTGATTGATACCTTCAAATCACGCTGAATTCCACCATCATTATGGTTTATAGGAACGATTGGTGTAGCATATTGAATATAGGTTACTGGTTCATGAGTTGAATTGTGAGGTTTATAAAAGGGTTCACAGTCTGAAAAATTAAATTTTTATATTTTTACAGTTTTAAGGCTAGTACTAGGCTGCTGTAAGACAAAGGTAAGGGTAAAGCTAAGGCTAGGGCTCTGGCCTAGGGTTCAAGCTGGAGCTGGGAGATGAAGGTTAAGGGTTGGGGAAGGGCTAGGACCAGGTCTGAAGCTAAAGCTATGAGCTGAAGCTAGAGCTGAGACAGGGACTAAGGCTAGAGCTAAAACTGAATACAAGGCTAATGCTAGAGCTAATGCCGAGGCTAAAACCTTGGGATAGGGCTAAGGATAAAGCTATTGCTAGGACCAGGGCTAGAGCTAAAGCCAGGGTTTTGGGCTAGGGCTAAGACTAGAGATGCGTCTGGAACTTAGGTACTGTAATTACTGTAAGTTAAATAAAGTGTACGTGTAGTTTTGCTTTCTCTAACTTGTACCTATGAATAAAGTTGTTGATAAAAGTACTCAAAATATTAATAATAATCTGTCTATTTACACTTGTTTACTAAAATGACCGCTTGATATATGATTCTCTAATAGTACTTTAGTTACTAATGTCTTACAGTACAAATTAGGTAAACATACTTGTGCAATAATTTTCATATTTTTTGCAGTAAGATAGTACATTGTAATATACTATAATTATACTTCTTTTTTGCGTTTCGTACAAAGCTTTGCTGGGTAATACAATTACAACTTATAATAAGGTTTTTAACGTACTTTAAAACATTATGAGATACGAGTTGCACATAATGAGAAAGTTACTTTCACTTTTTATTTCGTACTTTGAGTTATTTGTTACTACCGTACTGTACCCTACCCTACCCTACCCTATCTTACCCTATCCTACCCTACCCTACCCTACCCTACCCTACCCTACCCTACCCTACCCTACCCTACCCTACCCTACCCTACCCTACCCTACCTTACCTTATCCTAGATTACCCTTCCTTTCCTACCGTACCCTACCCTACGCTTTTCCTATACTTGCTATATCCTTGCCCAACCTTTATGCTATATGCTCTAAATTTCCCCTACCCTTGCCTGCATTGGACCAGTCTTACCGTTACAATAATAATTTTTCCATACCTTTTCCCATGCCCTACTTTTTTCTCCATTTGCCTACCCTTATTCTACCCTTGCCTATATCACTTTAGTCTAACTTACCCTACCCTTGCCTATGCTCTTTTACTCTACCTTTACTCTACCCTTTCCCTTACCCTTTTCCTCTACCCTAACTCCATGCTTTTTTTTCCTGCTCTTACTTTTAGTCTTGCCCGTGCCCGTTTACTCTATTATACCCTACCCTATCATATCATATCTTACTGTAAGCTATTTTTAACCACTTTTTAAATCTACAATACGCTACAGTACTATTATTAGTATTTGTAAAAGTTTTTAGTACAATATTACTAAAAAATTGTATTTTTGCATGCCATTCTCTACAACTTCTTATTGTTTGTTTACCATTTTATTCCCATTTTTTGCTAAAATTATTTTTAGTTTAACAAGGAAGTTGTCCTTCTTTCTTATGCTTGGCACGTTTTCGAGCACAGCGACACGTTTTGACATGTTTTCCCACATTAATTTACAACACATAATAAAAGGAATGGCAGCTGTTTTAAATGAGTTCAAAATCATTGATTGTACTATAATATTTATCAAACAATACGGTTTTTGGTCAGCTAAAATTTTTTTTCTTGCCACTTTTTGTTTTGTAAAGAAAGTTCTTGCCATTTTTTGTTTTGTAAAGAAAGTTTTTGCTTTTTTTGTTTGTAATGAAAGTTCTCGCCATTTTCGATTAGTATTTCAAAATAAAAATGATTTTTTTGTGAAATAGTCCGAGTTTTAAAACAAATTACAAAGTTTTGAAAATATGGTAACAATTTCAAATATACCTACCTTTTTAAAAATAGTAACAGCGTCTTAAAACGAGTACTAGCTTCTTATAAGTAACCACATCATCACACCTTTTTAAAACTGATCACAGCCTTAGAAATAGGCCCACTTTCCCTAATTAGTCTCACACTCATTGAAATGGTCCCGACTTCTGAATAACAGTCAAAACTCCTTACGAACGCTCTACCTCATTAGAAATGGTCTCAAATTATAAAATACGGCCCTAACATTCCAAAAAGAATGTATTTCATCAAATTTAAACTCACCTTTACCACTACAATTTCCATTACTTGCATTCAAAAAAATAGGCCATGAAGTGACAGCAACCTCAGCTACAGTATTATTAGGGTGAAACACTATCAATGGTGGTGTATCACCGCCAGTCGTGAACTCTTGAGCTTCCAAATGTGTTGTATCTATCTGGACTGTCCTGCGATCTCTTTTTGAAGCTTGTACTTCTTTTAAATTTAGTTGCTGCGCATTGAGTTTGGCCAGTTCACGAATATCTTGTTCTAGCCGATATTCCTTTTGAGCTTCGGTCAAGTGAGCGTTCATGAAGGATGATTCGTCTAGCTTTGGGGCTACTGAAAAGAAGCTTTTATTGAAAAATTACTCGGGCTTATCCTGCCTTTACCTTAACATACCCTGCGGTATCGTACTCTATTCTACCCTACTCTACTCAACCTTACCCTACCCTGTTCAACCCTACCCTACCCTGTTCAACCCTACTCTACCCTGCCTTTCCCTACCCTACTCTACCCTACCCTACCCTACCCTACCCTACCCTACCCTACCCTACCCTACCCTACCCTACCCTACCCTACCCTACCCTATCCTACCCTACCCTACCCTACCCTACCCTACCCTACCCTACCCTACCCTACCCTACCCTACCCTACCCTACCCTACCCTACCCTACCCTACCCTACCCTACCCTACTCTACCCTACTCCACCCCAACTCACATGAATTACTGTACACCTTCTTCATCTGAACATGACTCAAATGGGTATACCCATTACTCTGCAGAGCTTGTTGTTGTTGCTCACTCATCTCATTGTTCATCTTTTCCCATTGATGTTCCCAACGTTGAAGTTCGACCAATTTTGGGTATAAGTCCATTTCCATCGCTTCGGTCTTTGGCTCAATTTGTTTTAGAGCCTTCTCCAAAGCTTCTGAAGCGCCACTAAGATTCATTAAGGTCTCTAGCCATTCATTGGTTTCATTTCGGCCGATCGAGAGGTACTGAAAAAAAAATTTTTTTTAAATTGAAATTTTTTGTTTTGTAAAGAAAGTTCTTGCCATTTTTTGTTTTGTAAAGAAAGTTCTTGCCATTTTTTGTTATGTAAAGAAAGTTTTTGCCATTTTTTGTTTTGTAAAGAAAGTTCTTTCCATTTTTTTGTTTTAACAAAACTTTTTGTCATTTTAAAGTTATTAACTTTCAAAATTGCTAAAGCTGTCTATATTTATCATTCAAAAATCAATGTTTTTTCATCCTCCTCGACTGTAAACAAAGTTCCTGCCGCCTTTTCCACTCCTAATCCGTGAGGAAGTACTTATATTAATCATTGGTTTCGTACAACTCCAAATTTATTTTCAAAAATAGTTGTTTTAATTTCCTTAAGAGCATTGTAATCCTTTTCTACTTGCGTCAAAAAATTGTAATAAGACTTGGCATTACATCCAAAATGGCAAAATTGTAAAGCAAATCTGCATTCTAATGCGATAAATTGACAGTTTACGAAAATGGACTGTTGTAAATGACTCAACGTAATTGAAAATAGAGGATATTGGAAATTGAGGTCAATTACAATATATTAGCTGCCAGTTTTTTGATAAATTCGCGATGTAAACAAAGTTTTTGAGGGTTAAAATAAAAAAATCATAAATTTTAAAATTTTAAAATTAAGAATTAAAATTAGAAGTCTTAAATGAATAAAAAATTCAAACTCTACCTACTTCACATTAGTTTACAAAAATAAGAGCCGAATCAAGAAAAATCGATAAAAACTGGCGTATAAAAAGATCTTGTAGCCTGCGCAGCTGAAATGAAATTTCGGCCGCGACGTTTTTTACTAAAGGGTTCTTCCGAAAAGCTGTGAACTCTTATTTTTGGCCCCAAAAGCACTAAAAAGACCTTGTTTTAGGTCTAAATATTCAAACCTTTTTACAAATTACTTTTTAACTTAGTTTTATATTGATGTTATCCATGATTTTGTTCTACGCAAGTTTTTTCCATTTTTCTTTAGATTTTTAGGTAACTCTTGGCGTAATATTGCTGAAACAATATCTCTCAGTCCTTCTCTACATTTTTCCACTGATTTACTGTTAATATTTGTAAGTTTACTTTAATTTTTTAGAAATTTCATTTTTAGGTTGATCAAAATTTGAAAAAAATATATTTTACTCAAATTTCCATGGAAAATGGTTGAAATACTCTTTCATTATGGATCACTTGTGCTTTTTTTACTTTAACGGTCGGTCGGAGCGAGGGAATTTGGGTGATTTGATCAGAAAATGGCAGACGACATTGATACCAAGTTTAATTTCACATCTGATTCGCCGGTGAGTTTTCTTTAGATTTTTTGTGTTTTTAGGTAACATTGCTTTATGTATATCATAATATAGATGTTGCTCTATGTTATTTTTTTAATTTCAAGTTGTTTGGGGTCTATTTTAATCCAAAAATGAGCGATATACGTTAGATATGCCTACATTAATATAACAATCTCCTCTGTTCGCCCAAATTTTGTCATATTGTCATAGATTTCCCATTTTTAGCCGATGATGGAATACGAAGAACTTCGCGCGTTAATCACAAAGTGTCAATCCGTGTTTCAAAATGAAAAAACGTTGATCAGGATTGGGCATCCGATTATCGTCGTTGGCGATCTACATGGTCAATATAAGGATTTACAGCGCATTCTATCGTTACCTTTTTCAAATGCATCGAATGCTCATGGAGTGCAACGTTTTTTGTTTTTAGGTGATTATGTTGATCGAGGAAAGGAGGCAGTGCCACTATTGATTACTTTGATGAGATTGAAGGTGAAGTACCGAAGAAGCGTGAGTTTTTTGTTATTTTTGATAATTTTAGGTAATATTTTCAGCTGTGATGGGCTTTTTTGTAGATTTCAAGTATGTTATTGTATTAAGGGTTGGTTTTTGGTGCTGATCACTACATTGGTCGTCTTTATTTTACCAAAATTTATATTGTTTTAGCTATTATTAATATTGCTATTTTCTATAATATTTTTATATCGTTATAACCTACCTTTTTTATGTTTATACTATGGCTATCTAAAGTCTTTTTCTGACATTATTGTACTCTTCTAAAGCCACTATTTTTAGTACTTTATGCTTCGTGGTAATCATGAATCAGATATGGTGAACAGGACCTATGGCTTCTACGATGAGGTAATGAACCGGTTTCCAGATGGAGTTGAAGGCCTAAGGTTGTACGCGGCTTTCAATGAAATGTTCTCATGGTTACCGTTATCAGCACTGATTTCGGGACGAATATTGTGCATGCATGGAGGTATATCACCAAAGTTGACGTCGCTAAAGGATATTGAAAATGTAAGTATAGCTATGTTTGGTGGAGAATATTTGAGGATTTAAAGGAATGTTGATTATCAGTTGATTATCGATACTGGTCGGGTCATTATGATATGTTTCATGGAGAGGAACTGTACTATTTGAAGGTATAATCCACCTTGATTTAGATCAAACGTCCACTTCCGAATCCAATGCGTGTCGAGTTGGCAATGGACTTGTTATGGGCGGATCCGGTGATACATGAGCAGAATTTTCAGAAAAATGCATTGCGAAAAGTTAGCGTATTTTTTAACGACGCGGCCGTGATTGAAGTGTGCGAACGGTTAGACTTGGACTTTATCATCAGAGCACATCAGGTAATCGTTTGTTATTGACGTGGTAACTTCGTATTTATTATTGTTTTGTATCTCACTTTCATCGATTTTATTGATTTATTGATTGTAACGGAATGTCAACTATTGATTTTTCTGATTTATTGCTTGTGACGAAATGCCAACTATTGATTTTTTGTTAATGTCATGTACGGTTAAAATTAGCGTGAAAGGCGTCTTAAGATGGTCGTATTGTTTTTCTTTTTTAGGTAATGTACAATGGGTACTGGTTCTTTGCTAACGAAAAGTTATTGACAATATTCTCAGCTCCATGTTATAGTAATGTAAGTTGGTTTTAATGGATTGTTGGTACTTTTAATTGTAAGTTTTGATTTTAATTATTGTATTCTTTCAAGTATTGTTGTGTTGCCTTTATGGGTGTTGCTTATACCTACTCTTAAATGTATAACTTGTACTATACCTTGTCTTTCATTAAATATTATATGCCTAGTCTTTCATTATCCAAACTTTAGGACAACAAAGGAACAGTAGTAGTGATAGGCGAACGAAAAACGCTTGGATTTGTTTTCCTAACACCAGTGAAAGAAGAACAAAGCAAAGAATCTTTTGAATGCAAGTTCGAGTACTTTAATAGAATGCAGAACACGGAAAACGCCGAATTTCTGGATGATCTACAAGCAAAATCTGATGATACTGTACTCCCACTGGAGCTATTAGTTGGCGCAGAGAATAAGAAAAAAGAACCGGATGAACAAGAAGAGAATATGAAAAAGGAAGATAGTTATTTCAAAAAGCCTGAACTCTTTAAAGGTTATGATGAGGGAAAAGAAGATGCAGACAAAAAGGATGATGATGATAAGAAGGACGAAGATGAAAAGAAGGATGATGATGGCAAAAAGAACAGTGAGAAGTCAAAGAAGGAGAAGCACGAAGAAGAGAAGAAAGAAAAAGAAGAAAAGAAAGAAAAAGATGACAAGAAAGAGAAAGAAGACAAGAAAGACAAAGAAGGGAAGAAAGAAAAAGAAGATATTGTCGAATCCTACGCTTTATAATTCGCATTCATTTTACAATTTACTGAGTAAATTTGATCTATCATGTTTTTAGGGATGTTTTTTGAAATTTTGATTTAAATTTACCCCTCAAGAATTTGGGGGAGGATATTAAAAAATTAAAAACTAGGTCTAGTTTTCTCTAGGTTTAAATTGGCCCTATATATAGGTTGTCCAAATATAAATGAGTTTTTTTATAAATTATTTAAAATAATAATTTTTTGCCGTTTTTTGGCATTGTGTTGCAGTTTTTTCTTTAAAGTGCATGACAAATATGCAAATTTTTTGAATTTTAAAAAAAGATTTGTTTTGTGTTAAAGCTTTTTTGTTCATTTTTGTTTACTTCTCAAGCGGTCGGTTCGTTATCCGCGGCCGAAAATGTTGGCCACAGCCGATGATATCCAAATAAACTTCTCTTCAGAATCTACAGTAAGTTTTTTTGTTGTTTTAGGTTTGTAAAATTTAAAAAAGGGCTAGTAAAAGGCATGCTTGGCTTTATATAAAGGCTTTAAAAAGTCTTGTTGTCATTTTACATCGGCTTTCAAGTAAAAAAACGACAAGGTTTTGTATGGCTTTTCTATTGTCATAGTTTGAGTGATGTAGGTATAGCCTCATTATACAGTTGAAAAACTGAAATATCTGATTTTACTAACCAAAACTCCTAATTAGTACGACGCCGAAATGTCATTTGTCCAACTCCGTGGCCTACTGGCTCAATGTGCTCGGAAGTTCAAGGACGAACCGACCCTGTTGAGAGTGAACTATCCAGTCATGATTGTGGGTGATCTTCATGGTCAATACAAGGATTTGTTGCGGATTCTAGGCTTGTCCAGTTCGAAAACTGTGGATGTTGCTAAGGATATCAAGAGGTACATATTCTTGGGTGATTATGTTGATCGTGGACCTGATGCCATACCGTGCTTGATCACGTTGATGCAGTTGAAGGTGAAACATCCGAAAAGTGTAAGATGTTTTTGTGGTTTTTAGGTATTAGAAGGTCGATTTTTTGAAGTTTAGGTGACAGAACATTGATTTTTTGGTGTTTTGGCTACTATAACATCGATTTTTTCGTACTTTAAGTACGATTTCATCGATTTGTTGATTTGTTCACCTACAATAACATTGATTTTTTGATGATTCTCCTAGTAAAATGAAGAGTACTTTCAATCACATCATTGTAAACTATTTTTACTTTTCAAAATTTCATATTACAGTACAACCTCCTTCGCGGAAATCACGAAACCGAGACAATCAACGAGAAGTATGGCTTTAAATCCGAAATCAACCGTCGTTATACAAAGAATTTTGAACAAAAAATCTTGTTCCGTGAATTCAATGACATGTTTGCATGGATTCCGATTGCCGCCCTGATCAGTAATCGCATATTGTGCATGCATGGAGGTATATCACCGCGGTTGAATAGTCTGGCTGATATTGAAAGGGTAAGGCAGGATGGATAAAAAGACATTGCCATTTTTAGATTGAGCGACCATTACTGAACGTATTTTCTGTCCCATTGGCTGGCAACTTGATGTGGTCTGATCCAGCTCACATCGAGACAAATTATTCCTTCAATACGGTGCGCGGAGTCAGCTGTTTCTTTAGCGAAAAAGCGGTTATTGACACTTGTAATCGACTGAATTTGGACTTTATCGTGCGTGGACATCAGGTATATTCAATTTTGAACGGTTGTTATTTAAAGATAAGTTACTGTAAAGCCATTTTAGGCACTGTAAAATGAAGTTTTTACATCTTTGTTGCGTTTTATAGGTAATGAACAATGGTTACTGGTTTTTCGCTGGCACAAAAATGATTACTGTCTTTTCGGCTCCACGTTATTCTGCGGTAAGGTTTTACATAACCTACTTCTACCCCACCCCTCCCTACTTCTACTCCTGCCTCTACCTCTACTTCTATTCCTACCCTAAGGCCCTAACATACCGACTGACATGTTTCAGGACAGCAAAGGCGCAGTGATGGTGATAAACAAGAACAAAGAGTTTGGCTTTGTATTCCTAGCACCAACCGAGAAGTTGAGCACCGAAAAAGCGTTCAAAGACAAGTTCGACTACCTAGACCGGCTACAATATGGTGAAGATTTGAATTTTTGCAAAAATGCTGACAAATCTGTGGATACTCAAGGCGAATTCTCAAGGTCAATGTCGTCAAGAGTGGATGGAGATGATAGTAGGAATGATGGGACGGACAACAAACGGTCGAAAAAGAATGGACCAATCAAGGAGACGAATAAAAGAGGTAACAGCAAAAGGAAGAGTAGAAGATGAACAATTGATTTTATGGCATGGAACTGTTTTGTGGAATAAAGTTGTGCAATATCGTACTTTTAAAGTATTTTGATTATTTTGGATTAATATGAATGTTACATTGGATAAAAGTTTAAATATTGATGTTATGAGTCAGTTATCAGAATTTACTATTTTTTGGTTAGGACAGGGTAAGGCAGTGTATGAAAACAGGGTAGGGTACGGTATGGTTAAGCATAGTAGCGTATTATGGGGCGGGTTAGTGTGGTAGGGTAAGGTATAGTAGGGTCACCTAGTGTATGAACGCATGGGGTAATCTTGAGTATTTGGAACGTTAAAGAGGCTATAGTATGATAAAGGAAGATAGTTTTATATAAGATATTGTAGGGCATGAAACGATTGAAGAAGATAAGGCACCATGTTTCAAGGTACGTTAGGGCAAGGTAAGGGTATGGCAGAGCATGGTAAAGTAGGATAAGGTAGAGTAAGGTATAGTAAAGTAGGGTAGAGTAAGATAGTTTAAACTACGGTACGATAAGATAACCTGTCCTAGTGTAATATCATAACTTAATTTCAAAACCTTGTTTTTCGACCTCCAAAAACAAGCTACAGTATTTTTGTTTTTTAAAAGTCATACTATATTATCATTAAAAGTCAAAATATGTTCTTTCATAAATCATCTCGGTTATTTACTGCGACACTACCTAATGTTTGTAACTTTTTTCATAATCCGTTTATTTGTTTACGAAATTTTGTTTTTTCGCCTCGAGCGCCGAATTTCGAAAATTTACTTTACAATTTGGCTATTTTTACCAAGTAATGTTTAATACTTGTTACAATGTCTAATATTAGACTGGGGGATTATAGGAAATGGCAGCGTTGGGATTAATAACAACATTGTGAGTATTTGGAACGTTAAATTAGTAATTTAGTACAGGTGTTCGTAAAAGTGGCAGAAAAAGTGAATTATAAAATTATTTTTAAAAAGATTGTTTTGATGGCTATAAATAGCATATAACTATTTATTAGGTTGTCTGAATATGGATGACCCAAAGTTTTCAAAGTTGGGCGCTTTGAATGGCTCATCCATATTCGGAAAACTTGATAAAATAGCTAGTTAGCCTATATGCAGTGCCGGGCGGGTATGGGTTTGGGATAAAAGTTGGGGTAAAAGGAGGGATAGGGTTAAGAGAAGGGGTAGGGGTAGAAAAAATGCAAAAATCGACTGTGGAGACCACGGTCAACTTTCTCCTCAGCCGATTTTCTACTCCTACCTCCACACCTACCTTTGCTTTTACACCAACATCTTCTCTTACCCCTACCTAGAAGCCAAAACTAAAAAATTCGTGGTACAGAGGAGGTTGTAATGTACATTTGAGACTCTGTACAACGTACTACAAACCCTCTGTAACGAATTTTTGAATCATGACTTCTGATTAAAAATTCAATTTTGTAAAATACATGGCTACGGAGATTTACTGTGCATAAGTTAAGCTTCTCTATAACCAACTGCAGACTCTTTATAAGAATTTTTTGAATCTCTGTTAATAACAATAGGTAATAACTAAGATCCAATCATTATTAAACTTTGACTTTAAATTTTTAAAACAGCTCAAAAATATTTTCGCTATTGCAGTAAACCAATGTCCATTTCAAAAACATGCAAACTATTTTGTTATTCTACGCTCGTCAATGTAAACAAAGTTTCTGCAGGCCATTTTGTCTGCAAACTCATTCTCGTTTCTCTCGTTAAACTCACGTGAAGCTGTTTTGAAATGTTTTGCAAAATTACAGCGAATCTGTTTATATTTACCTTGAGGGCTTTTGGTCACGCCGAAGTAATTAAGTGTCTTTCCCTTACTGTAACTTATTATTATCGAACGTTTTTCGTAATTCAGCTCTTGTTACTATAGGCAGGGGAAGAGAAGTGTGTTTTGGAGGGTAGTGGACTTTAGGCTTTGGTAGGGTGGGGTAAGGGGTGTTATTGGGGAGTGGATTTTTGAGATTAGAACAATGGTAGGCTAAGGGTATGGTAAAAATATTTAAGTGGGGTAGCTTAGGGTAAGGTAAGGTAGACTAGAGTGTGAAGTAAGGTACAGAAAGATAGGGTAAGATAAGGTAAGGTAGGGTAGGAAATTGCAGTGTGGTGCAGAATAAAGTTTAAGGCATGGTTAAGTAGGGTAACGTAAGACGCGGTAAGGTACATTAAGGTAAGGTAAAAGTGAATACGGTAGGTTCGAATCATTATAGTGGTATCGACAACACTAGGGTAGGTTGACAGAGATTAGGTTGTATAGGGTGCGTAGAAAAGTGTAGGTTCGGAAGATCGGATAAAGTAGTGTAGAGTACAGTGCAGTACAGTAAGGGGAGGGGGGTTAGAATAGAGAAAGATAGTGTAGACAAACTAGGATAAGACAGAGAAGTTATAAAGTATGAAAGTTCATCATTGCTATGTAAATCAATATACTATTTGAATTGCAAAGCAGGAAAAAAGTTATTATTATTCTAAGAAGTACAATATTAAAATGGAAAAAATAACATTAATTAAAGGGGCTTTTAATAGCATTATAAGGACTAGTAAAAATCAGAATAGTTTTGTTAATTAAGAAAGGGCTATCTTGATCAAAAATGGCTAAACTTGCAAAAATGTGGATTTTTTACTTTGTTTATGAAACGTTCACTTACTTTTTAGGCCTATTTAAGTTTTAATTTTGATTTTTTGAACTTCCCTACTAGTCATAGGTTTAAAAAAAAACATTTTTTTAAACATGACTTTGTTTGGAAATTTTGTATCTTATTTTTCCCCAAAAATCAGTTTGAAACTTGATCTTTAGGTTCAATTATATCATATCAAACTGGAAAACAAATAAAACTATTAAGCGTTTTATCAAGAAACAGTCAAGAAGAGTAAACTAACCTTAAAAATGTCCGGCAATGATAAAATTCCATCGTTTGGTTCGAAACTAAACAAGTTTGGGGACATTAAGTGAGGGCGCCGTTTGCCACCAAACAGGGGTAGGAGTCGCGGTGACAAAATCGATAATTTACTTTGGTTTTTCTGAAACATTTGAGGTTAAAATTGGCATAAAATATTGAAAGTTGGCGTATTAGTTAGGATAGGGAAAGGTATGGTAGGGTAGTATAGGGCACGGCAAAAAAAGGCAAAACAAAGCACGGCAAGGCAAGCAGACCAAGCGAAGGCAATGCACGGCAAAACAAGGCAGAGGAGAGCAAGGCGGTGAAGGGCAGGGCAAGGCAAGGCAAGGGAAGGCCGGGCAAGGCAAAGCATGGAAAGGCAGGGCAAGGCAAGGCAAGAAAAGACAAATCAAGGTAAAGCTTACCATAGCACTATTGACCATCTCCACCATTTGATCCAAAAATCCTAGCTTTTCCGGCTCTTTGACATTGAATTGCATTTTTAATCCGGATTTGTGAAAGAATTCAGAATTCACATTGTTAACTTCATTTGCATATTTGTTATACTTCTCTGTCAGTGTCATATAGTTGCGCAGTTTTTGGAGGTTGGCTAGCGATTTTGGGAGGGCTCTTCTCGATCTTTTAAAGTTTGTGAGCTTTTGAGAGGAAATTTTGGTTTCTGAGGTGGATCTTTTGGTACGGCGATGTTCTGATGAAGATTTTTTGGGGCGGTCAGGTTCTGTTGATCTTCTTATTTTGCGAAGGGATTCAAAATTTACTTTTCGTTTAGCTTTTGTGTAGCTTTTGGCTTCTAATCTTGACCTTGTAGTATGATCTGATAGTTCGTTTCCTTTGGCTTTTGATGTTGACCTATGAAAATAATGAGACTCAGATGTTTTGGCCCGATGAGATACTGAAGAGCCTTCTTGCGGCTTCTGTAGCTCTTTTTCAGTGTGACTTCTGTCAGGATCTTCTTTATAACTTTTATGAACATCTTCCTCATGGCCTCTATGATCTTCTTCTTTATAACCTCTATGAACCTCTCTTCTTGTTCTTCGACCATTGGCCGCTTTCGGAAACACAACGAGTTCTTTTTGTTGTTCCACCTTAAGGTCGTTGATGATTTGAATAAGCTCTTCTTCAGAATCTTCTCTAGATTGTTTTCTAACTTTTTCAGAGTCTTCTGAATTTACTTTCAAAGGCTTTTCTTCTGTTGATATTGATTTTAAGGCTATCGCTTCTGTAGACGATAATTGAGAACTTTTAGATTCTGGAGACCTTGTTTTAGCTTTTCTTGACTTTGTAGAGGCTCCTGATTTTGCTTTCGTATTTAAATCGTTGATTCTTGTCGAAGAGTCTGATGACTTTTTGTCGTTTTTCAAGTTCTTGGGTCTTTCTAAAGGAAACTTTGCTGTCAAAGCTGTTTTTTCATGCTCTACTGCTGCAGCATCAGATTGGTGTATGATATTAGTATCATGTTGCTTTGACGGTAGTAAACTTTCAGTTGAAGGTAACGAGCCTTCTTCTTCGATAGAATTTAAATCGACGTAGGTTTTTGAAGTCTCCGACGATATTAGGTCACGTAGTTTATCATTTTTATCACTCGAATTGTCGTCTTCATCTTGCTTTGTATTAGAATTAACTTCTGATAATGAATTCTCATGTTTGGTCTTATCTAACTTCTTTTCTTGATCATTATGTTCATCTTCTTTACCTTTGCCATTTTCAATATTTTGTGGAAAAACTTGATGAAAAAGTTTTGTCATCGTACTAAACAAATCCGTGTGTCTTTGAACCTCTTCGCTGTTCCTTTGCACCTTCCCATTATTTCTTCGATCTCTCGCATTCATTAGACCTACTACACATTCGGCCAACGCCGGTGGAGTTTTGGCTCCTCGTGAGCATTGATTATAGACTATCTGTTCGGTAGAAGGAAGTTGGCGTTTTATGGCGTTGCCTTTTGCCTGGAAGTGAAAAAAAATACTATCAGTTGGCAAGAGGTCAGTATCTATTATAATAATTTGTATTGGCTGACATCTGGCACTCGGACCAGCATGTGCCGGCCCGGTACCAAGCCTAGTGTGCTTTTTTTAAGGGATCCCTTACCCTACTGATACCTTACCCTGACTAAAGCCATGACGGCAGTACGATGCCAAAAGTCATTGAGCTTGTCCAAATTCAATTCATGAAAAGTTGTGGAGGAGTTGACGAAGTTTATAAGAAAAATTTGTATAAATAACCATAAAGTACCAATATTCACAAGATTCATACCTAAAATTAGAAGTTGGGCAAAAAATAGGTTAAAAAGGGCTTAAAAATATGCAACTTTTAAGCTTAAAATATCAGTTTTAAGCCTAAACGTTACTTCTAAGTTTAAAGTATTAGTTTTAAGCTTAAAAATCAAATTTAGGCCTAAAATATCTCTTTTAAGTCTTAAAATTAATTTTAGGCCTAAAATATCAGTTTAAAACTAAAAATCAATATTGAGCCTAAAACTCATTTTTAAGTTTAAATTATTAGTATTAAGCCTAAGAAGCATTTTTAGGCTTAAAAATCATTTTTCAGCCGAAAAAACGACCTTTGGCCTAAAATTTCAGTTATAAGCCTAAAACTTATCTTTAGGTCTAAAAATTAAATTTTAAATATAAAAAATGTAAGAAAATGCCAATTCGATTGTATCAGCGCATGAAACCTCACATTTTTATTAAAAACAACAATAAAGAAATAAAATTTAAAAAAAGGAAAAAATTACAGTATGCCACAAAATTTAAATTCAAATCTCACCTCAAAACTCGGAATTGTTTCAACTCAACTCATCATCAACAGCATTTTTCCGCAAAAAACTTTCAGTCGTTTTTTAACACTGTCATACGTCAGAACGTTCGATTGACAACATACGACCATCGGTATGTACATACGGTGGCTGCGAAAAGGTCATTCGAAGTGTAAGTGGAGCAGAACTGAGTGACAGTTTCGCGAACAATGGCGATTGACTTCCCGACTTTAGGCGATTTTAAACGCTTTGGCTTTGGGATGAGTAATATGTGGTTATTGTGGGATTTGCATAATGAGGTTGTTCGTATGCAAATTTTTAAATTTAAACGGGCTATACGCTTGTCGGTTTAGTGCTGTATTTTAATAATAAGGTAGGGTTTGGCAGGGCGGGGGTGATTAGGGTAGGGCAGGGATAAGAAAGAATGCGACAAAGACAGAAAAGCGTAGGTAGGTTACAGTAGGGTAGGGTAGGATAGAGTAGGGTAGGGCAGGATGAGGTAGGGTAGAATAAGTTAGGGTAGGGTAGGGTAAGCTAGGGTAGCTTAAAATTTGTTTAGTACTAGTGACAAAAATTTTAAAATTACTACGTTATACTGTAATTACGTAGAGCAACATGATGACATAAGTACATCAAATTAGATTTTTCAAAAATAAATCTGCCATTTTCAGTCTTACACTTTATATGTCACATTTTTTTTTGAAAATCTCTGTTGATATGCAGCTTTTCTCACATTCAAAAGTTGTAAACAAACTTTACATTGTACCAAAGTTTACCATGCCAAAAACAATTACTTTCGCTACTTTCCAACCTAATTTAAGAAATACATTTTTCGATTTCATTAAGATATCACACGCTTCAAATAATCCGCTGATGTTGATTAATTATTTATTTACATATTCACAACGAGAAAATTGGAATTATTTCCGTTTTAATAACAGGCAAAACAATAAATATTCATAAAAAGAATAAATAACAGGACATTGAGCGGATAACAACAATATTTACACAAAATTGTCGAAATTCAAGTCATTTTAGCGCCGTTTCAAAATTTTTCAAAGCTGAAATTTAATTTTTTAAACGCAACGCCAGTGCTTGCAGATGACAAATAATGTATTAGATTGTTCAAATAATTATGTGCCACATATTTTCCAAAATTTGTTTTGATAAGGGGCACATAATTATTTGAACAACATAATATGATCAAAATTTCAATTTTACTCTAAAAAATGCACTAAAAATGACTTAAACTCGCACTGAATAGACTGTAAAGAAAGTTCTTGCGGTAATTTTGATTCTATGATAGAGGCACTTTAAAAACCGCAAAAACTTTGTTTACACTTATCTTTTTTGGTTATGTCTTCACATGTACAGGGTAGACAACATGTTTGGTAACAATGATATTTGGTGTTTCAAAAATTTCAAGAATTTTCAAATACCAGGGCTAGTAGTTACCGTGTAAGAAAATTTAGTTCTTTCTTAACTATGGCTGAACAACAAGTTATGTTTTTAACAAAAAATGCAGTACAGTAACACTCCCGAGCGTTATTCAGGAGCGCCTCTGTATTTCAAAATACAGTATTAAAGACCTACTGCACTATAACTATAACAATTTTTTTCTACATATTAACCTTCACCGAGACATAGTGTACACTACAAATAAACTTCTATACTTAAAACAGTCCCCCAGCTTCTGTAGGAATCTGAATATATAAACATTGATCTACAGGAACCCTCGACGCAGCAGTTTGTGCGTATGACGGGCTAACATCTGCTGGTTGTGTTGCCATTAAACGCATCACATACTCGATCTCAACATTCAACGAGTTGTTGGAACGGCGGGGATGGTAGAATTTTTCGTTTGGTTTTGACACTTCTGGGCCGCAGGTCATTTTGAATGTATTTTTTGAGGTTTGTCGGTGGCGTTTCGACAGGCGTAGTTACAGCAAGTTGTGCAAAATGATTTCGTGTATATTTTTTTCGTACTGGACGTAGCGTTTTGAGTTACAGCTTAACTGTAGTAGAGGTTGCAGCTTATGTATACACTTTCGTAGGTAGCACAGAATGTAAATTTGCTCAACCGGGTAGCTTAACGGAACGTAAATTCACAATTCCTTGGCTTTTACAATAAAATCCGTTTATAAATTGGAGTTGAGCTTCTGAAAATAAATTTAAAATTAATACGAAAGTAATGAAAACGCTACGTAACATAATCTACACAATTTTCATTTCTGTCACGCAATAAATTCTTGTTTTCTCTGAATCATTGACAAAAATATTGTATAGTTCTTCAATACAGTAAAAAACATTGAATCTGTTTTTAAAGATACATTAGGAAGTTATTTTTAAACTTTTTTTAGCTAGAGTACCTTATATTGTTATAGACTTCAAGAAACATCAAAAAAAGACTGTCATATGCATCACACTTTTTTATAATAAGAAATGTTGTGTATGTTAAAAAAGGTCTTTAATACAATTTTATATATCAAAAAAGGTATATTAATTCACTTTGTATATAAAACAAAAATAACACATACAGTTAATGCATCCGTTACTTCAAATATATATTTTTATAAACAAAAGTTATCTTTTTTTTTATGTTTTCCGATATAAACTGAAGCCCCGAAAGTTAAAAAGCCTTTAAACTGTTCTAAGAAAGATATTTAAACATGTAAATAAGTCTTTAACAAAGGTATAAAGACAAAAATAACACTAAATGGTATGCAAAGTCAAAAATAACATTTAATGGCTTCGCAAGTTAATTCGAAGCCATAATACTTGCCGAAAGTGGTGTGTTTAAAGCAGTGTAACCATACAAAACTATAATTTGGGCCCGACTCTAATAGATGTGTGAAACTGGCCGGCTAAAAATAAACGAAAAGCGGGCTGGAATATCGAAAGTGTAAATGACAAAACATATGTTGTTGTCAAAACACTACTTTACCCTACCTTAACCTACCCTACCGTACTGTACCCTACCCTAGCGCCTACACTACGTTAAAGCCTACTTTACCCTGCTTTGGGTTATCCTTAAAAATATTCATTACAATGTTAATAGCTTCATAACATTGTAATGAACCTAAACGACCTGCCCAGTATGTTTTTGAAAAAGTTGCGTTTGTTGCCTAGAGAATTGCCAAGGTTTCTGAAAAAGTTGCCAGATCTGTCTACAAACTTGCCCTACCTTTCCGAATAGACCTGTAAAGGAGTCGAGCCAAGTCTAATAGAACTGTAAATGGGTCGCGCCAGACCTGGTGAGCCTACAAAGGAGCCGCGATGAACCTAGTGGACCTCTAAAGGGTTCGGGCCATGCCTACCGGACCTATAAGAGAGCCAAAACGAATCTTATAGGAAACCTGGTGGGCCATATTTTAGGGTATTTTTCCTCCCCCTACGTTTCAAATTTAATACCCCAGCCACCCGCAATTGCAACCGAACCCTAACGTTCCACAAGCACGTTGATAAACAATTTTCTTTCGCTAAAAGAACATCTCCGAAAGTTTCTTGCCACAAAAAAAACGCCCGCCCTCTATTTATACTCAAAAACAATTCCGCTAGTCATGTGGTTCCTTTTCTTTACTTCCCGGAGGGTGGGGCTTCTTTCGGAATAAATAAAAAAATACAACAGCGGGTGTGAAACGAGAAGCCGTGAGGGGAACAGAGAGTGGCACATTGAGTGTTAAGGATTATACAATAGAGTACGTATGGATGCAAAAAATAGGTGTTGAAAGAAAATATTTAAAAGTGCAAACATAAAAAAGTGCAAATAAAGTTGGCTGTTGATATAAAAATGTCGTTATAAGTAAACTGTCATCTGGGTAAGAAAGTTATTGCCATTTCATATTCTGTAAAGAAAATTTTTGCCATTTTTTGCTTTGTAAAGAAAGTTATTGTCGTTTTTTATTCATTAAAGAAAGTTCTTGACATTTTATTTATAAAAAACCGTAATACAGAGGTACTGCAGCCTGCGGGTGACATGTTGTATGATGAGAGCTGTCTTTATGTCTGTAAAGAAAGTTCTTGCCGGTTTTTGTTTTGAAAAGAAAGTTTTTACTATTTTGTGTTTTGTAAAAAAATTTCTTATCATTTTATGTTTTGTAAAGAAAGTTTTTGCAATTTTTTGTTTTGTAAAGAAAGTTTTTGCCATTTTATCTTTTGTAAAGAAAATTCTTTCCATTTTAAATTCCAAACAAGGCCATACGAACCGGTGTTTTACCATATTACTCACACTTTAACTATAAATAACTCCACTATTTATAACATTTTAATTAAAGATACTTACACGCATACGCAAGATACGACAATGTGAACCCGAAAAAACCAAAACAAGTTACATGTTAACATTGGAAACGCCAAAAAACTGTTTATGAAGTCGGCTTCATACATAAACAAAATTTAATTCGGAAAACAAACCAAGTTGAAAATGTCATGTTTTTAAATAGCCCGCTGGTATAAAGCTCAATAAACATGTTTATCACGGTTTGGTTGGCGGATATTTGAACTTTATTCTTTTGTATATATACACCATATTATATTTACCATGACATATGTTGAAAAGCTAGGGCTAAGACCAGGGCTAAGGTTGTGGCTAGGGTTAGGGATCTCAGCTAGAGCTTTGGGCTAGGAAACTGGGCTAGGGCTAACGGTAAGGGTAAGGGTAAGGGAAAGGGTAAGGGAAAGGGAAAGGGAAAGGGTAAGGGAAAGGGAAAGGGAAAGGGTAAGGGAAAGGGAAAGGGAAAGGGTAAGGGAAAGGGAAAGAGAAAGGGAAAGGGAAAGGGAAAGGGTAAGGGTAAGGGTAAGGGTAAGGGTAAGGGTAAGGGTAAGGGTAAGGGTAAGGGTAAGGGTAAGGGTAAGGGTAAGGGTAAGGGTAAGGGTAAGGGTAAGGGTAAGGGTAAGGGTAAGGGTAAGGGTAAGGGTAAGGGTAAGGGTAAGGGTAAGGGTAAGGGTAAGGGTAAGGGTAAGGGTAAGGGTAAGGGTAAGGGTAAGGGTAAGGGTAAGGGTAAGGGTAAGGGTAAGGGTAAGGGTAAGGGTAAGGGTAAGGGTAAGGGTAAGGGTAAGGGTAAGGGTAAGGGTAAGGGTAAGGGTAAGGGTAAGGGTAAGGGTAAGGGTAAGGGTAAGGGTAAGGGTAAGGGTAAGGGTAAGGGTAAGGGTAAGGGTAAGGGTAAGGGTAAGGGTAAGGGTAAGTTAAGTTAGGGTAAGTTAAGTTAGGGTAAGTTAAGTTAGGGTAAGTTAAGTTAGGGTAAGTTAAGTTAGGGTAAGTTAAGTTAGGGTAAGTTAAGTTAGGGTAAGTTAAGTTAGGGTAAGTTAAGTTAGGGTAAGGGTAAGGGTAAGGGTAAGGGTAAGGGTAAGGGTAAGGGTAAGGGTAAGGGTAAGGGTAAGTTAAGTTAGGGTAAGTTAAGTTAGGGTAGGTAAAGGTAGGCTTATCTTTTTACTACCTCACTTTTCCCCATTTTTCATGTTGTTTTTGTTGCTCGAATATTTGTTTTAGATAATCTTTGAGTAACAAAGTTTGAAGAATTGCTTCGCTGTCAAATTGGAACAGCTGTAATCTTAATAAAACAATGAATTGAGTCGAAGGTCATAAGGCCGTGTTATACTTTTTTCTGAGTGCTTTTTCAGTAGTGTTTGGATAGCTGAGGCTGTTGTTTTTAGCATTTTCGTTTTGGACAGCAACGTTTTACAAAACGTGAAAAAAGGCAGGTGTTGGTGCATTTTTTTAAAAATAGCAAAAGCTGGTACTGTTTTATAATTTTGGAGTAATAAATTGAAAAATGGTACTAAATTATCATGGAAAATGAAAAAAGAATACCAATTTAGCTTCAAAAATGAAATGAAGTTTAAACACTTTTGTAGGTAGCTTAACAGAATGTAAATTCACACTTCCTTTCAATCAGGTAGGTAGTATCAAATCAACGTTCTCAAATTCCATGAGTGTACCTTATCCTTCACAGTTTTAAAAATAAAAGATTATGCAACAAAACCAATGTAAACAGTAATATATATACACATTCGTTACAACAAAAGTAAAACGCTCTTAAAAGGTCATCTGTTATGTTACTCCAAGTTGACTGTACCAAAGACCGCTTACTTTTTCTACTTTGTTTTTTACAACTTATCAAACCAAAAAAAGGCAATTCCTACACCTTATCATCACCGTTATAATATAAAAACCCCGTTGCTTTACACCTTATCACCACTTTTTCAATTAAAAAACAGTTTTTTAACTTATCATCAAATAAAACACTACTGATAACCCTAAAAAGCCTTTAATTAACTAATAAACAGATGTTACAGTAGCGTTTGAGTCACTCTTCGATTTGTCTTCGATTCTTCGCGTCGCCGATATCATACGTTTGTAATAAATCAGCCACAGTAAGAGTACGGTAGAAATGGTGGCAATGTTGAACATCCACAAGTATACCACACCGGTCGCTTCGTATATGGCACTATAAGATCAAATATAATCTCTTTTATGTTTTAGTAGAGCACAAAAAGCAAAATTTCAAATTTTGAAAAATGTAACGAAATGTCACAAAATTTATCGAATTTTTAAAAGTTAAAAAATATCTTTTTAGGTATAGTTTAGGCTTATGAATGCCCAAAAAACGATGTTCAAGACTGCATATTACGTAAAACTGGTTTTGGACGAAATGTCACAACATTTATCGAATTTTTGGAAATTAAAAAATGAGTTTGTAGCTGTATTTTACTGTCATAAATAACCGACAAAGTCGCTTTTTATCTAAATAAGTGACATAAATTTAATGCGACGAAATGTCACAAAAATCATCGAATTTTTTAAAACTAAATTTTTGTCAAATTTCAATAAATTTTAAATTTATTTAAAAAAAAGTTATTTGCATTAATCGTATTTTACATATGACTAATTCAATCATAAAACACCTACGTCAAAGTAATAGGACCAACAATATTGATAAGCTCGCCACCGCCAACAAAAATGCCTTGCATTGTGCCTTGTTTAATATTGCCGAGCACCTTACTGTACAGTATGTCCAAGTTGATCATCATTAAAGGAATCCCAATACTCACACATAAAGCCATGGTAACGAAATATAACCATGGGTTTATCATTGGAGTCGTTGAGCACCATTCGAAGCGTTTAGGACAGCCATACTTTAAAATGGTGCCATTTTGGATGACTTCATACTGTATAGTATTTGAGTAGAATGGGTATGGGTAGGTTATTAGGTAGAAGAATAGCACTATTATTAGAGATATTACGATTCCACGACGGTCGGAAAGGTAGTTTTGGGTTATGTGCTTCATATAGGAGAGGCTGGAATAAACTTTGTTTATAATAAATTTGGAAACGCCCGGTCGTATTTTACATTTTTAAAACTTACTTTACAATACCTAGCAGCTTAAAATTGATTGTTGACAATAAAAAAGTTTTTGCATCCAAGCGGATTCGAACCCGGCCATTTTTTCGCAAAAACTAAGAATACCTAAACTAAAATGACCTAAAAAACTATAAAAGCTCCAACATAAAATATCATGCTACACCTGATTAGATGCTGAATTTTGTGCCAGTTCAAAATATAAAAAACAAAAATTAAAAAAAAATTTTTTTAAATTTTTAAAAATTCAAAAAACCGGGTGGCAATAGAGAATAATAGATAATTTTGAAAAAGAATTAAAAATACGGCGTTTTTTTTTTGTAAAATACGTCTTCTGTAAAATTGTCACACTAGCAGTCTACATACATTTATTTATTTGATTTAGTTTTCTTTTTCTATTTTTCAAAAAGTACATTTCTCAACTTTCCCAACTAGCGCCCTATCTTCGCAGGCTGCATAAGTTACGCCACTTTTTATAGATTTTTAAACACCCTGATTTGCCCTAACCTACCCAACCCTAAGCTATCCTACTCTACCATATCCTTCCCTACTTTACTCTACTCTACCTTACCCTCTCCTGCTCTATCTTACTACCCTGACCTGTTCACAATTTGTTGAAAAAAGTTTAAACATTTTAAAAGGTAAGCCTAAAACACTAAAAACGAAAACCTACCCAATAATAACACCGAAAAAACCAAACGCAGTAAAAAGAACAATATTAGCTTTGACCAAATCCTCACTAGTCCAGCCAAAAGCTGTCATCATATACGGGCCACCGACGCTGATCATAAACAATATACTACTAGTCTTAATCATCCTGGTAATACAACATAGTACCACTGCAAACATGTCATATCTTTCTTCTTTTGCTACCAAAAACTTGGGATTCATAACGTAGCTCAACTTCTTCGTGTACTGAAATGACTTTTTGTGCCAATTGGGGGTAGTGTCATTCGAAATTGATCGTTTTGGTGACATTGGTCGGCGTGGGTATACCACAGAATGGGTTATGGCTGGTAGGATCATGGAAGTCTTTTTGGATGGAACTCTGCTTGGACGTCGGCTTATGAGTTCTGGTACGGTATCGTCTGGGTCATCGTGGCTTGATTGAGATACGACAGATCGTTTTTTTACTGGTGGGGTGGAGGTGGTACTAGTTGAAGTGGGGTATGTAGTAATTCTTGGTCTAAACGGTTCAGTGTCTCTTCTATTGTAGGATTCATTGTTTTTAGTATCGTATGGTTGACTATGTTTAGTACTGTATTTTTCATCATTTTTAGTGCCGTACTGATTAGTACTATGACTACCGTAGCCTATATTGTCTTTCCTACCATAATTGTCATCATTTTTTCTTCCGTCTTCACTACCGTTTTTGCTACGGTATACGATACCACGTTCATCACCATAATTCTCACCACCTTCATCTTTACTATCTTTGCTATGCAAAATACCAACACCATCATAAGCATACTCATCAATACTGTATGCATCACTTCTTCTATGTTTTTGGCCATCAAATTGATCAACAATACTATCGATTGATGCTTGCCTACTATCAAGATGATTACTATCAATGTGACCCAGCGAATCGTAGATGCTGGAAGTGCGTCTACTGCCACTTGGAGTTGAACGAAAACTATTGTTCGACAGTTTATGGCCAGAACAATTTTTACAAGACTTGGTATCAGCACTGTGCGTGGAACATACGATAGAGATTGAGCTGGTACGGCGAAATTTTAACCGACCGTGAGGTTCTCTTGAATCTTCAAAGTCTTCTGGGTTGTACAAGTGATAGGGGGTGCCTTCTTCTTGGTTTAGGTCTGTAATGTTGGCAGTGTCTTTTTTAGAGTTTACAGGACTGTAAGTGTATTCTTTAGAGTCTGTAGGCTGGTCAGAGGTTGCCTTGAAATCTTCTTGGTCCTTTCGATCGTTTTTAGCCTTATCACCTTTATCATGATGACCTTTTTTGAATTGACCTTCACTTTGTCCATCTTTTTCAAATTGAACTTCATCATTACCTTCATTTCCAATTTTAGCCAAACCGTTGTCCTTAGACTGATCAGAACTCTCCTTCTGACCTCTAAAATCATGTATACTAGCCCTTTGTTTTATAGCATCATTCTTCTGACCATTTCTATCTTTACCATCATCTACACTACCTCTTTGCCTTCTAACTTCGTACGCACTGTCTCTCTGACTTTTGGAACGTTCAATCCTGGACTTTTGCCTTAAGAATTCTTCAAGATATGACTTCCTTAAATCTTCTAGGTATGACTTCTTTAAATCTTCTAGACTAGTCTTCTTCGTATCTTCCAAGGTGGCCTTTTTAATATTCTCCAAACTAGCCCTTTGCCTTATAATATCCTCCAAGCTCTTCCTTTGCTTATTGATGTTCTCCAAGCTTGACCTCTGCCTTCTAATCTCCTCAAGACTAGACTTTTTACCCCAGCCACTCTTCTGACCTCTAAATGCCTCAACGTTCGCCAGTTCTTCCCTCAACTTCCCCAGACTAATCTTCTGAACTCCACTTCGTTTCGGCCGTCTCCCAACAAAACTACCTCTTCTTCCGGCATCTTCTGGACTAATCTTCCGGCCATAAGGTAGGTAACGTAAATCATGTTGAAAACCCATATTACTTCCATCGTCACGGTTCAGAAGCCCAAACTGCCTCAGATCATCGTCATCGTTCAACTGAATTTCAATGAAAAAATTCTCGGAACCACGCCGTCTCGGGTCACTGAAGGTACTGTATTTCGGAGGGTTGAGGATGATTAAAGTGCCATCATAGGAGAAGACGAGTAAAATGAAGGATATTATCACGGTGATAAGGAAGACAAAGGATGGTCCTGTGTAGATGTTGAAGTGGAGATCGAAAAGGTAGTTGTAGCCGGGGTATGGTAGTAGAGTGCAGGCTAGGCTGAGAACTAAAATTTTTTTTAAATTGGCACTGTTGAGTAAGTCATTTTTTTACAGTTTCAGTGCCAAGAAAGTCAAATAGGTATCGATGAAAAATGTTAAATAAAAATTTAAAAATTTAGAAAAAAGTTACAAGGTCCAACACCCAGCCCGACAGAATAAAAAAGTTGGTAGATGGACATAGCTTTGGGCCGATCTTGTTCTGTAGATGCCATGGCTATGTGGGTACGAGCTACACTCATCAAACCTTAAAATAGTAACAAATACTAAATTGGCCCTCAAAGATAGTATCAAGTACAGAAATAGTACATACAGTACCAAAATAGTACCAAGAATAGCACCTTGTACAAAAAACACGTATCAAACACTAAAAACAGCACTAATTACAAAAGAAATAGTATCAAACAATAAAATATTCACTTACCAATGCCAAAACCAAAGCACATTTGCATAAAAATGAACAAAACTTTATCAAAACGGACCAGTTTTTCAACCGCCAAAAACGTCAAGGTTCCTAATAAATAGGACAATGCACCTACGATCAGACATGGCCTGAAACAACAAGTACCAGCAGCTTTTTTTAAAAAGGAAGGGTACTTTCGAAAAAAGTTGAACGTGGTCCCCCCCCTTGGATTTTTTCGACCCCACACCAAAAGTCCCCGCCCGGCACTGGGGAGTAGGGTTAATTGTAAGCGTAGGGGTAGGTGGTAAAAGTAGGGTTAGGGGTGAAGATAAGAGCAGATTTAAACTTCCACTTACTTTGTAGTTTTCAGTTTATTGCACAAAACTCCGCCGATAAGCGACGTTGACAAGGTTCCTAGGTTTTCTAAAGACACAATCATGCCAAAAAATGATTCACGAATGTGAGGATCTATCTAAAAGCAACATATTTTACTATAACACTAATATAACGCAGCATCTTTTACATTTTTCCAAATTATAAAAAGCAATAAAGTCTTGTCGTTAATTTACATTGGCTTACACGTTCAAAAGCGACAGAACTTTAAAATGTAAAAAACAAATTTTAAAATATTTTCAAAATTTTAAATTTAAAAAAATTTCCTACCAATTTCATATAAGGCCATAGATTGGCAGCAACAGTTGAAACCCTAAAAGTCAGTAGAAAATGACCAATCGTAGCCAGATAAATCGACCTCCAGTCGGTTTTCATCTTGATAACATCAATATTTCCAACACTAGTACATACAATAACATGTCACTCTTCTAACACTCTGTACAGTTTTACAGCCACTGATATACGACAACGTAATCACTAAAAATTACAGTGTAATCACTTGTAAGGCATCTTGTGGTAAGTTACAGTTATAAAACGAGTAAACACAGCAAGAAAATAGTCATCTTAATCTTAAAAATAGTATCAAAACATCGAAAAAATGTCTTGTCGTCAACTAACATTGTTTTATACGGTCAAAAACGACAAAACTTTGTTGTCACTTTAAAATCGACGAATGTACCAAAATCAGTTTTATCATAATATAGCAGTTAAAAATAGGACAACTCATCAATTTTCTCCAAGGTAAAATGATATGATATAACAACATATGTTGTACTTGCAAATATTCTCTATCAGACTTATGATAATATAAAGATTAAAAGTTCCAAGGCAATTAAGTCAATATAATCATAAGTTTGTTGTATATTAATGTATTCAAGGCTGTTTGTTATTTGTTGTGCACATATTTTTTCTTTTTTTGTAGATTTTGTTTAGGTGGGTGTTGGTAATCTTATAAATAATATTGTCATTCAAATAACTTTTGTCCTATAGAGTAACTATGGAAAGGTGATGTGATCAGCACTTTTAGGATTTGATTATTCTTAATAAAGCAATATAAAAAAGATTGAGCACAATCTAACCGGTTTTTCATAGCAAAAACCCAAAATTACCAAAAAGAAACAAACACAACTTAATCACATAAGGCCTAGTTTTTATAATCTTCCTATATTATCCATGACACATCTCAAGATAATATTTTAATCATTTAAACAGCAAACCCGAAAACGTTAGTTTTAAAGCATGCATAATATCTCACAGAATGTATTTGCATCATTTTGGTTTGAATAACAATCACTTAATACAGATGATGTTAAGCATGCCATAAAAGCATCATGGATAACATCAAGTAATTGTCCAAAATTGTGACTTTTGTTCTTTCAATATCTTTGAACGTAAGTTAAAAACTCTTACAACTTATTTCAAACAATTTATCCATGTACTTTTCTAAAAAGTCAAAATTTTTTTAAAAATCATCTTATCCATGAAGCTGATGCCAAAAGCAGGCAAAAGTTGTCCAATATTGCCTAAAAACCAAAGAAACAATAGAAAAACACAAACTTACAAATACAGCAACTTTTAAGCTTCCTAAAAAACTCTATTAAATCGTATTTGAGCTAAGGTGCTCCTTCTTCTGTCCTAATTCTCCAATCCTCACCAATTTTTCATGGTGAAGATGTTTGTCAGTCCACAAACCCCCACATTTCCGTTCTTCAACCATTTTTGCTACTCTAAAACATTTGAAAAACATAATAACATCATTATAAACCTTATTTAACCATTCAACTAATCCATTTCGCGCAATATAAGTTCATAAACATGTTTTGACCATCGAAAAGGACAATAAAATATCAAAAACTCAGTGGTTTTCAAGAGATAAAAAGTCCAAACTCAATGATTTTTTACAATAACATAATCAATGAGATGTTATTGTTGCAAATTAATCTATATTTATCTATATTTGGACAAGAACAGGGCCCCTTAAGGTAATTGAAACAACTTTTTGAGACAAAAATAAGTTTGGAGTGCAAAACATTGCGCCCGGAAGTTCGGTTGACAAGTTATACGATGAAACATGTCCACGCAGTTAAAATTGTATAAAAATTAGCTATTTTGATACAGCTTTGTTTAAATACGTTGTTTATAAGTTAATATAGACAATTAGTATTTTCAAATTCAAAAAATTTGAATAACCGCCAAATTTCAAAAAAATCTAACAAAATTTATTATACTCGTATACCGGTTGTGACAAAAATATCTTGCAATACACGTCCTTATTAGTGAAATACTATTTAAAAAAACAATATATCATTCGACAAACAATAATAATTTACAGAGTTATTTCGTTTTGTTATTGCTACTACTACTGCTTTGATCGCCGGCCTTGAAGTGCACATCGTCCTGAAGTTTATCGTGACTTTCGTCTGAAGTCGGTAGCGATGCCACTGATACAGTATCATCATCGTGTATTTCACTGTTTTCTGTACATTCGTATGTTGGTGTGAGGGTTTTACTGCGTAGTATTTCTGGGTTGTCGATATCTGGTATGTAAGTGGTCGTATCTTCGTCGAATTCTTCGTTTAACGTTACTCCTTTGACGTAGATGTCGGCTAAGGCAATGCGAAGCTGAAACAAAAGTAAAAATATTTTTTTTTATAAAACGTTTCATAAAAAAATCTTTTCGTTTTTTAACACTGTGTTCCCCATTAAAAAGCGACAAGACTTTGCAAAAACTCTTGTATATGTCTATATCAACCTAAATAAAAGTAAATATAAATATGTAAGCTAAAACACTACTGTATATAATTAGGATTAACGATTACCTCTCTAAGCGCCACAACTCCAGCCAATCGACCACGATGCGTAACATAAGCATGATTAAGTCCTAATAGAGAGAAAAGCTGGTGCACTTTATACAAGCTGGTACCCAGAACAAGCTGGAAAGGTGCTGAATCAATGGCCAGTTCATCAATATCTATTGGAGTCTCCAACATTGAGGCTTTTAAGGCCAAAGACTTGTCACTCTAAAACAAAAAATTTTAAATTTGAAAGTTCGGCTTACCCGACCCTACATTACCTTGCCCTATCCCACCCTATTCAACTCTACCCTGCCTTGCACTACTCTACTCTACCCTACCCTGCCCTACTCTAAGTCTACCTTACTCTACTTTACGTTGCCTTAACTTACCCTACCTTATTTTACCCTACCTTACTCTGCTCAACCATACTTTGCCTCACTCTACGTTACTTTAAGTTATCTTGCCCTCATTTTCCTTGTCCTACCTACCCAACTATACCCAGCCATTATCCTTCTTTCTGCTACGTTGCTTTCCTACTGATGTATCCTAAACTACCATGCCCTACTTCAATCCTGCTAAATCTTGAATTATACCCTTACCCAAGCCCTGCACTTGCTAACCTCTAACCCAAGCCCACCCAGTATTCAAAGGTACGTAACAATTATAATACTTACCAAAACATTAAAATTAGGATCAGATTTCGTTGAGCGTCGCATATTATTGCCATTTATGTGATGTTCTGAAAAATCCAATTTAAAATTATCGTAGTATCTTCAAGGCCTTAATAGCAGGTAGCCATTACCACAATAATAACATAAAAAATTGCAAAAGCTACCCAAAATATTTAAAATTTCTACCAGTTATTCAATTTCTCTATCAATTTTTTAAATTTCCAATCAATAAACCTACCTTTGCCCTCATGAAGTGGACTACTAGACAGTAATGTGTGTCCAAGTAAGTTAGTACCAAAACTATTTCTAATGTGCATTGGAATTTGGTTTAAACTTCTTTTCTTTTGTAACGCTGGATCAAAGCCAAGTTTTATCGATACCAAGAGGTTCAGGTATCGACGTGATACTGAGCCAAGTAGAATTCGTTCTTCTGAAGAAAAATTTTATTAATATCATTTGGTTAGAAAAAAAATTTAAAATAAAGTTAAAAAATCAATATTGACATTCCGCAACATTATAAAAAGTCGATACTGACACTTCGCAAAAAAAAACCGAAAAATCAATATTGACATTCAGTAACGAAACGGAAAACCAAATAATCAATATTCACACTTCGCAAAAAAACAAAAAATCAATATTTACACTTCGCAACAAAACAAAAAGTCCTAATATCTATAAGTTTTGACAATATTTATCATTTTTTCAACCTACCATCATTAGTAACCAACGGATAAGCTCTCAATTGTGGTGTAGATATCAACAGCTCTCTCAGCTCTTTGTAAGTAGTGTTTCTACTGATGTATACAACGTCTTTCACCATTATTTGTTGTACTTTCACTGTGTAGACACTAAAGTAAAATACGATTATTATTGAACAAAGAAGTTAAGTTTAGGCTAGGGTACGGAAAGATAGGGATAGGAGTAGGGATGAGTGTTGGGGTAGGGCATGAGGAGTAAGAAATAAGGGCAAAGGTATAGGTAGAGATAATAATAGGGGGAATTGGTAAGGATAGGTTGAAGCAAATTAGAGTATTGTTCTAACCTACCTTTTTCTTGAAGGCGGTAAATCAACCAAATGAGGATACTTCTTCAACATGATGATTACTTCGTATATACTTGGTTGTAGAAAGCTGGAAATAGCATTTCCAATCATCAGTGCTATCTAAAACATGGCGTTTTAATACATTCTTTATAGGTAAAATACGTCACATTCTTGCGGTATTGTCAAAAAAGTTTTGTCGCTTTAAACTGTTATAACAAACACATACCGGCGACAAAACTTTTTGATACCTTTATATACCATTTAAAAATCCTGAAATTTCAAAAATTATCTTCATTATCACAACAAAACCTTACCAAAACAGGCAACAAAGCACTCAACTGTCCAGTAGTTTCACATACAATAACAGCGATAGACAATGAATGAGTAACAGCTCCAGTATAGGCAGCAGCACCAACTACAGCATACAAACCAGGGTATATTTGAGGTCCATCAGCTCCTCTAATACCATCAGGGAAGAGTAATGCCATCACTTCACCAATCATTCGACCACCAACAGCTCCAGAGACAAAAGCTGGAATGAAGATTCCGGAAGGCACGCTGAGTGTTAGGCACGTTGGTACGAAAACAAACTGTAAAATTTTGGTTTTTTATTTGTTACAGTATACTTGAAGCTAATACAGTGTATCTTAAATGTATTTAGGCTTTATTACCACTAAAATTCACCGAAAAAACTGTTTAAATTTCAAAAATTTCGAAAAAGATCGATTTTCGTAGATGTTAAAAAGATTTTTCGAGTGTTAAAGTAAACACACAAAAAAATAATCAATTACAAAATTGTTCGCCAGACCATTTTACATTACTACTGAAAAAATTGTGTCATTACATATTACAGTTCTTTCAAAATGACACTTTTTAACAAAAGACACGCTTCGTCTCTTCAACTCCTCAAGAAAGTTGAAATATAGTGTGTTACAGTAATCCAATTGAAAAATTTCAATTTACAAAAACCTTCCCCATTCTACACTACATTATTATACAAAATTTCAGCTCATAGTATTACCATATAAACTCACCATGATCAAAAAATATCTCATCATTCCAGCAAAAACATCGATCGGGGCAGTACTTTTGTCCAACGTCCATCTGTGTAGCACTTCATCACTACATGATGTTGATGAGTTCCTCAAAGCCATGCTACAATTGTTCAGCAGATCATGTAAGGTCTCTTGAAATGTGTATCGACCATGGAAATAGCGACCAAGTCCATCTGGGAATGTCATAACAGCAATGAAGAAGGCGGCCAGCACGGTGTAGCCGATTCCACTGAAATTTACTGGTTTAAAAATCGAAAATATAAATATTTGAAAGCTTATTGATGTATAAATGTCATTTTTCAAAATTAGGTATTCAAAGCGACATTTTATACGAAAGAATATGTCCAGAGCATAAGGTGTTGCTTCTGCCAATATTAACCTATTACGGCGTTATATTGATATAGAAAAATTGACTTTATGATGTTAAACATCATAATATGTTATAGAATAAATTGCTTTTGTGATATAAACTTACTTCTTACCAAAAAGTAGCAAGAAATGCTTGTTGATCTTCACCATGGTGTGGAAACGCTTGTATACAATCAAGAATAGTGCTCCCATTAGGCCACTTAGGACTCTAAAAGATAACACATACTAGTTACCGCTATATGTCCTAACTTTTTTTGTGAAAACTTCAGACTCTGATCAAAGAACATCAAGTTATTACCCAAAAACATCTAAAAAGAGCAGTTTCACCTCATTTTAGGCCGTTTTTGAGGCCAAATGCCATTATTTAATCGTCCAACTAGTTCCAATTACCTAAAATTATAAAAAAAAGAAAATGTACTAACTTACCCCATGAACACAAAAACCGGCACTTCTTCGGCCACGAACAGTTCAGTCGGGAAGTTTGTCTGATAATAGGCGGTAATGGCGGCGGCGATGTTCCTTGGAATAATTAGTCGTGTAGCAAAGCAAAATAACAATGAAGCACATGTTGTGGCAAAGAAAGATGGCCAGTACGACTTTACAGAGAAATATTTATGAGTCGACTCGAGTCCATACAATACAGCGCCAGCTGGAGAGCTGAAGGTGCAGGCAATACCCTAAAGTAATATTTTTTAAATTAATCATGGTTTATCACGGCTAAATGATAAGTAAAAGTGTTAAAAGGTCTGTAATAATCGTTTCGGGACGTTAGTTTTAGATATAACATCAATTCCAAACTTTTGAAAAAAGCCTTGACCATCTAAAACAATATCGAAAGCTTTTCATCAACAAGTGCACGAATTTTATAAAAAAATGTAAAAATATACTTAAAATGTAATGAACTATCTTTCTTACCCATTTAGAAACATTATATTTAGGTATAAACATAAACTTCGAATTTTCAAAAAACCCTTGATCACCTACATCAATATTGATTGCAATATAAGGAAACCCTAAACTGTAGCTGAAAAACTAGCGAACCTATTTATATGAACTGTATATCAAATTAATCCTTATTATATGCTTAATCTAGCCAAAGTAAAATAAATAATCCAAAAGCGAATTTTTTGAGAGATATACAGGGTGTTCCGAGAAATTTGGTCGCTAGAAATAATTCATAACTTTGCAACTATGCATCCTAAAAATGCCAAATTTGGCACAGTTGTAGAACAGGCTAGTACATTTTTTTATGGAAAATTTTGTTTTTTTAAAAAGTGCAAATTACGGTCATTGTGAACTTTTAAAAATCAGCATTTCACACCGAAATTACACATATTTTGGTTGTAAATGAACAGTTTTCGTCGACTCTTGACATTTTTTGCTTTCTTTTTTTGGAAAACTGCGTTTTTGTGTCTGCGAAGCCTCGGCGGAAGATCGGCGGACGTAGCCGAGTATCGGCGAAGACTATAACTTGGTTCAAATTTGTCGTACCGACATGAAACAAAAAACTAATAACTTCCAAATTTAAAGAACACTGTTTTCAAATCATAATTTAATTTCAGAAAAATTTACTTTTGTTCTAAAAATATGTTAAACCCATGCCATACCCGTACCCATACCCATGCCAAACCCTTGCCATACCAATGTCATACTCATGCCAAACCCATACCCGTACCCATTCCATACCCACATTGATGTCATACCCCTACCCGTACCCACTCGTACCCGTATCCAGGGACGTCGCTACGGATTTTCTCTGGGGGAGGGGGAGACCGAAATAAATTTTTTCTGTGGACCGATTTCCCAAAACTTTTTTTTTGTTTTTTTGCGTACAGGACCTGTGGAATTTTTTTCCGGATTGGTTTTGGGGGAAAAGGGTACCCCCTACCCCCTCCCCCAAACGACGTCCCTGCCCGTATCCATGCCAATATCCATATCCACCCTCGTACCCATACCCATGCCATACCCATGCCATACCCGTACCCATACCGAACCCATGCCCATACCCATATTTATACCCATACCTTTATCCATACCCATGCCGTACCCAAATATTTCATATCACAATATATAGTACCGTACTCAAAATAGTGTAGTTTTTTGTTTCATGTCGGTACGACAAATTTGAACCAAGTTATAGTCTTCGCCGATACTCGGCTACGTCCGCCGATCTTCCGCCGAGGCTTCGCAGACACAAAAAACGCGGTTTTCCAAAAAAGAAAGCAAAAAATGTCAAAAGTCGACGAAAACTGTTCATTTACAACCAAAATATGTGTAATTTCGGTGTGAAATGCTGATTTTTAAAAATTCACAATGACCGTAATTTGCACTTTTAAAAAACAAAATTTTCCATAAAAAAATGTACTAGCCTGTTCTACCACTGTGCCAAATTTGGCATTTTTAGGATGCATAGTTGCAAAGTTATGAATTATTTCCAGCGACCAAATTTCTCGGAACACCCTGTACCTTACTTTAGATAACGACCACCCGCGTTTCTTCTTGTCGGAACTAAACTCTCTTCAACGCTTTATTGCTCAACGGATAAGTAAAAACTAGTCATAAAATTGTTTTTAAATTAAAATTCAAGTATTATTGACCATTTTCCATTCAATTTGGCTACAATAAACAAGCAGTAATATCAGTAAAAAAGAGTCAAAGATAAAAAGTTTTATTTTTGCTCTTGATGCTAAATGCCAAGGATTTTTTCTGCAAAGCTGTTTCTATTTTTTTTTAAATCATTTTCTTGACGTGCCGTGCTGTAAAACGTCTATTTTAATATTATTTTTCTGTTATATTGTAGTAGGTATCGAAACAAAAATTATATTATAGTAGGTACCGAAGAGATTTATAGTATAGTTTTGTAAAGTTTTAAACTTTTTTAGGTATCATCACTCACCACAGCACATCCCCTGCTTAAAAGTTCATTATGCCTTCCTTCATTTGCATAAAACGCGTTATGTCGAAACGAACGGGTTGCTTTACTCAATAAATTCGCAATGATCGCTCCCATATGTACGAAGGGCCCTTCCTTGCCCATTGGCATGCCACAACCCAAAATGGCAATCAAACTCAACATCTTGGCAACCAACGTCCTCAATGTTAAGTAATTGTGGAGTACGAAGCCATTCATGATGACCTTGAGCTCGGGAATGCCACTACCCATAGCTTGTTTGGAGATGTACTTACAGCATAGAGCGCCAGCACCAACGAAAAGTACCATGTACATGACCCAGCAGGTGAAGCCGACAACGTAGTCGACTTTTATTGCTGCGTCGTATAGTACTATCTTGTCTAAAATGGTAGTTTATAGTACTAAATAGTAAGTCGTAGTACCATAATCTTCAAATGGTATTTTATAGTGCTAAATTTTATGTCATAGTACTAAATGCTCAAATTCAAAGTTTACTACCAAATACTCACAATGTTTAAGATACTCATATAGTACGTCAACCAATATCGACAAAGCTGCCGTGCTAAAGCCCAAGAATGCTGATATAAACCAATCTTCGACCAGGAAATGACAAAAATTCTTCCAATGACGACAGAAAAATTGACCGGTATTTTCTCGTAAGCGCTTTTTACCATCTCTGCCAGCTATGAATCGACTAAAAATTTTATAAATTGGCTGTGTCTAGTATTAAAGCTAGGAATAAGGCTAAGACCAAAGCTAGCTAGCGCCAGCGCTCTGGGATAAGGCTCTAGTATAGGGCTGAGGCTAGGGCTCTGGGCTAGCACTGAGGTTAAGAGTTCGGCAAAAGCTAGGGCTTGGACTGGATCTAAGGCTACGGCTAAGACTACAGCTATAGCTCGGGACAGGGAAAAATCTAAAGCTAAAGGCGAAGCTACGGTTAGAGTTAAGGCTAGGGTTCTGGGCTAGGACTCTTGGCTAGAGCTCTGAGCTAGGGCTCTGGGCTAGGGCTCTGGGATAGGGCTCTGGCCTAGGACTCTTGACTAGGGCTCTGGGCTAGGGCTCTGGACTAGGGCTCTGAGCTAGGGCTCTGGGCTAGGGCTTTGGCTAACTTACTTTGACTCGCTCAACTCATAATGACCAGCAGCATCTGCCAGTAACCCACTAGTTTGGTGCTGCCGTTCTAAACAATCATGTTCCATGCTGAAAAGGAAAGTAATACCAATTATTACTAAACTCAAAGAACAGTCATGTTATAAATGTCATGAAAACACGATATTTTACATTTGTTATTGCTACATACAGTGGAACTCCTGTATAACGAATCGCTCGGGGATTTGGAATTCGTTCGTTATAAAGGAGTTTGGTTATAGAGGAGTTTTAAATGCACTGTGTAGTGATAGACGGGGATTCAAAAGTTGTTCATTATACAGGAGTTTCGTTATAGAGGCGTTCGTTATACAGGAGTTCCACTGTAAAACAATATTACAAAAGTTATGTCGTTATTTAACATATATTACCACAGTAAAAAGCGACAAGAATTTTTTTGCCACTTTAAAACATATATGCAAAAAAGTTCTCCAAATGTGTTAAAAATACGTTCCTAGACTCCATTCTTATCAGAACTTATCTATTATAAATCGTCTCAAACTACTAACAATAACTGAACAAAGAAAAGACAGTTCCAATGTAATACGCTTAAATTTAAGTTGATCAAAGCAAAGAATAAAACTTTTCGAATTTTTCAATTTCAAATTACTGAAAAAATTGATCAATTACTGAAAAAGAGATATTGTCAATGAAAATGACTTTAAAGGATTTGTAACACCCTAATCTACCCTACTCTGGTTACTAAGACTAAGAACAAAGCTGGCTAGCGGCAGTTCTCTTGGCCCTACCCTTGACCTATCCTGTTCTTACTTTGACCTTACTTTTGGCCGACCCTACCTTAGATTTAATTTACTCTACCTTACTTTGTCTTACTTTAGATTTAACCTAACTTACCCTACTTTAAACTACCCTTGTCTAGCCATACCTTCGCTCTTCTCTATCCAGCTTTCCTCTCGTCTATAATATTAATTTAAAAATTGTAGTAATAAACCATTTTTTAATTCAAACATCTCTGTTTTTAAATCAAAATTTCAATTTAGCCAAAAAATGACCACTTTGTTGCTTGTTTTTTGGCCATTAAAATCTCTCTGAAATTTAGAAAAAAACATAATTTATGCACGTTTCAATGTTTTTTGTATAAGTGACCACTTCTTTGTCTTATAAAATCTGTTTAAAAAAAATGGTAAAAGGCAAATAATATAACTTTTAATCAAAAAATTTGCAAAATTCGGTTTTAAGCCTAAAGCTATCACCAACCACACGCTGTGCCAAGAAAGCAATTTTAGTCTTAAGAGGAGGAAGTAAAAAATTAGGGTAGAGTAGTGTAGGGTAGGGTAGGGTAGGGTAGGGTAGGGTAGGGTAGGGTAGGGTAGGGTAGGGTAGGGTAGGGTAGGGTAGGGTAGGGTAGGGCTAGGGTAGGGTAGGGTGGGGGTAGGGTAAGGTAGGGTAGGGTAGGGTAGGGTAGGGTAGGGTAGGGTAGGGTGGGGTAGGGTAGGGTAGGGTAGGGTAGGGTAGGGTAGGGTAGGGTAGGGTAGGGTAGGGTAGACCCCGCAAACTTTTATAAAACAAAAAGAATTCCTAACAGCCTGCCCAAAAATGCTCTTTACATACTTCAAATCAATTTTAAAGAGTAGCAGTTACAACATTGAACGAGTAAGTAAAAGAAAGATTATTTTTGTGGGTAACGATAATTTATCACAAAAAACCAAAAAATCACTTGGTTCGGGTTAACAGTCGATTTTCACCATGTTTTATATTTGATATAACCTCGGGAACAATGTGAAGGTCGATTAATGTGTTTACAACTGGTGTTATGGGTAGTAGTTTCGTAAAATACGCTGCGGCTATGTACGACCCTGTCACAAAATTAAAAAAAATTTTTTTAAAATTTGGGTCAAACGTCATTAAAAAAATTGAATTTTTGGTCTAAAATTTTTTTTTCAGCTAAAAAAAGAAAAAAATTCTTAAGCTTACAGAATAATTACAAAAATTTTAAAAATGCCTTTTTACACCAAAAAATGCCATTTTATAAACTATACTAACCTTACTACAATTCCTTTTTCAACCTTTTTTTAACAACTTCCGGTTATCAACCCCTGACTAATGTCATTCTCACGTAAATAACCCCAAACCTATTAAAATGTCTGTTTAAAACACAAGTCAATTACTAACTGCGTCAACCCCAATTAACCTACAAATTGAAGGTAACAGACAAATCGTTAACCATCATCAATAAAAGTCCTAGCCCCAGCCCACAGCCAAGATCCCAAAGCCCTAGCCTTATCTTTAGCTCTAGCTCTAGCTCTAGCTCTGGCTCTAGCTCTAGCTCTAGCTCTAGCTCTAGCTCTGGCTCTAGCTCTAGCTCTAGCTCTGGCTCTGGCTCTAGCTCTGGCTCTGGCTCTGGCTCTAGCTCTGGCCTTGGCTCTAGCTCCAGCTTCGACTTATAGCTCATCTTACCCTATAAAATGAGAGCAGTTACTTATTGTAATAGACCAAAAGTTTTCTCAAAAAATGACAAATTGGCTAGCGGAAGAAATGCGTGATCATGTCGTAATATCACATTTTTATTTAATGAACAATCAATCAAGTTTAAAAAAATAAAGGTTCCGTGAAGCTGTAAAAACGTTTCAAAATAAAAAAGTTTTCTAGTTTTTCGTAACAAAAAAAGTCAAAATAAAAAAATGCAATAGTTAAGTTTAATTGTATTTTAACTTAGCAAAACTAATGCTATAACCTACTAAGCTTAAGCGTACTACATCTAGCAAGCTAATAAGCCTGCTAACGCTAATAAGCATAAGCCTATAAAGCTTAGTAACCATATGTCTACCAAGCTTAGAAACCACAAACCTCCTAAGCAAGCATAAAATTACTAAGCCTAATAAATATAAGCCTACTACGCCTAGCAAGCAAAAGCAGACTAAGCTTTAGCCTACTAATTCTAGTAATAGTAAAGGTAAAATAACTAAGCCTAAACATATACATACCTAAAGCAGGAACGTCGTTTGGCTAGGGGTAGTTTGCGGTGACCCCCCCCATCCCGTAGAAAAAAATCCGTAGCGACGTCTCTGACCTACAGGTTTATGCCTAAGCTTACGAAATCTAGTAAACATAAGCCTACTAATCCTAAAAATATTTAGCTTAAGGCAAAAATTTCAAAGCTAAACCTCTAACTTGCCATACCTATGCCTTTGCTTGAGGTTGAAGCTTTTTCACTTTTTCAAAACTTTAAACTTTCAAAACCCTCTCTAAAAATGAAACTCCAAGAGTTCAGCAAAACATGTCAGGTTACATTTTACTGCTACAGATTAATTTTACAATCAAAAGGAAGTAATACAATATGCATTGGAGTTGCAAACCACAGTTGTCAATCTAATTTATATCACTCTTTCGTTCTTGTCGTCGTCAAGACCACAACTGATCAATGTTATGTTCGAAGCCATTCCGACGGTAGGAGAGGAGGGCTGTAGGTTCTCCGGTTCTACTGTAACATTGTTGTTGAAAAAATTTTACATTTTGAAAAAAATTTAAATACGTCTCTTAATTTTAAAAAATACAGTAATATTAAGGTTTTCGAAAAGTTTCGTCGTTTTTTAACCCGTAAAACAATTTAAATTAACGACAAGACTTTTTTTGGCAAATATGAAACTAAAAAAATAATTTTTGACGTACTTCAAACTAGACATGAGAAACGGGTCGGGCCGGCCTTGAGCAAAATTTCGATCGGGCCGGGCTTGTTTCTCATGTCTAATTCAAACCAAAAAATTAAAATTTTAAAAAATTTAAATTAAAACTAAACTGACATGTAATAGGCACACTGCCACTGACGTTAGTAATTTGAGTACTCTGTGTGTTACTGTCGTATCGTTTTGATCCTGTTGGCTTTACTGTTCTCTTCTTTTTGTTACAGATACTTTTAAATCGATTCCTTAGGCCAAACATATTCTTCATGTTTCTAACCGTGTTTCCAGAATAAGTTGAACTTGTATCGTCATCATTCTTGGGCACCATCTAAAATATCGTCATCAAAATGGTGCACTGTAAGAACAATATAAAATTGATAGGGCTTTGGACTAGACTTACCCTTGTATTAGATACAAGATCAGGCATAATAGTAGCTGCAGATCCGATTAATGGGTGTATTGTCTGATTAGAGGCTTCTTCTGAGTATAATGGAGTGAAGCCGAATGAGAAACAATCAGCTTTTTGTTCAGGCACAACACCGTTGCACGGTCCGGCTAGGTACATTGCTATCTGAAATTATTATTATAACTTGAAAAAAAAATTTTTTTATTTAAATTTAAAAATTAATTAACAAAAAAAAATTTTTAATTTTCGAAAAATGCTTCAAAATATAACTTACTGTAGCATTACGGTCGATTATGTAGTTGCATTCCAAGTCGTCATCATCTTCTCTAAAAAAGAATCATAGTTAAAGCGTCAAAAAAAGACTTGTCGCCAATTTACATTACTTTTCAATGCCAAAAACGACAAGACTTTTTTTAGCGCTTTAATACTACAAAAATAAAGATGCCATTCCTTTTTAAAGTCATACTATAAAAATTTTTCTAAATTGGCAAAACTACAGTTCTTACCCCAATGGATTCAACAACGCCTCAGCCACCTTCAACCAACCCATGTAGAAGATAAACTGAAGGATTGTCATCACCGGTATCTTCAAATCAATCATGGTGTAAACCGTCCGTGTTACCGTATCCCCAGGATACAAGAATTGTCGACAAATCAAGCACAACATAAAGTACATTCGTACTGCCATGAACACGACTTGAGGGTAGGCCAATGGCACTGGTACCCAATCATAATTACATAGTACTTGTAAGCACGACCTAAATTCAATGATCTCACGTAGCACGTTGGAAGTCTGAGCATCTCCAGCTATATACCCCGCCACTTTGGCTTGTTGTGCCAACGAGCACGCCCAATGAATAGGTAACCAGTACCGATTGTACTTGTCAGTTACGACGTCCATCAACTGACGTTCGTGCGGCATCATGAAGCCAGCGTTCACGATGGAGTCGAGGCTGGGGAAGCGTTTACGGACTTGGAGCGAAATGTCACGTAGGACCAGTACTTGAGTCAGTACCATGTAGCGAAGTACGTTCCGACGCATTTGTAAAGGTTTTTCTTCTTGGCCTAGGAAGACAGCACTGATATATATGGCTGCACTAAAAATGAATTTAAAATTAGTATGGTTCAATGTAAAAATTAAAAAAAAAAAACGTTTTTTGTACCTACTAGTTAGAGTAAAAATTTAAATAACAATAGGAATATTAAAGTTAATATAATTCTTTGAAAAAATTTATTAAAAAAATGCTAAAGAACATTTTCTAGTACAATATAAAACGTTTGGAACATACTCATCGATAAAGCCAATATTAGCAAAAATGTTTTTCCATCGATCGACCACAATTGACACGAAGAAACTAAAAATAAATTACAAATTACGCCCTACGAAATCAACCCTGTCTTTAAAACTACCCTACCCTATCCTACCGTACCGTATTAAAATCTACTTTGACTTACCCCTAGGGGTGAGAAAAGGGCCGGGCCCACTTTTTAGGCCCGGCTCAAGTCCGGGGCCCAATGTTTAGGCCCGACCCGTTTTCATTTTCCTCTCAGGCCGACCCGGCCCGTTTTAAAAAATTTTTTAAATTTTAAAACTCAAAAAATAAACGGAAATTGGCTTCACATTGTTCTTTCAGATCATTTATGGATCAGAGTACCCAATAAAATCAAAAAACATCAACGGGGATTTAAAAAATTTTTTTTGGCCCGGGCCCACTTTTTAGGCCCGGCACAGGCCCGGGGCCCAATGTTTGTGCCGGGCCTAGACGGCCCGTTTCTCACTCCTACGTACCCCGCCCGAACTTACAGTTTCCTACCCTGCATTATCTTTCTACGGCCGTACCCTCAGTCTACCGTATACTTAACCCACATCTGTTGATGCCATACCATACCCTACCCTTTTTTTACTTCAGCCGTTTTATTGTGAACCTGGTCTACCCGAACAGACCACACTCTATTGTACCGCAAACTTATCTTATATTTGTTATTGAGTTATCATACCCTACCTAAAAATTAACCTACCCTACTTAAAAATAAGCTATTTCTACCACTTCACGTGACTTTTATTATATTAATCTGGCCATCAAAGTAAGTAACCTTTTCCATACCTTAAATTTATTTGACCTTACCCTCGTGTTACAGTATTTATGTATTATTTATTGTATTTTTACCCTCAGCTCTTTAGTTCACTACTCTACCCTATCAATCTACTACCCTACCCAACCACACACCAAGCCCAACCTGCGCCCTGTCCTGTTCTACTCAACCTCAGCACAACCTAGCCCACACCCTATCTCAACCTCAGCCTTACCCTACTCTTGCCCTAACATTTTAAAGCCCTCTTCTAATTAACCGTCTCTTAAGCAACCCTAAACATAAGTCAACTTACCCCAACATAAAAGTTAATGGTAAGTAATCGATAGTTGCATTAGAATACTGTGCAAATTTCGCGAACAACCTTCTTTGATATTCGCTCATAAAGTAGCGATATGATGCCATTATGACATAGTACATGATGACCCATGACAAAAGCTCCACGAAGACAGACTTCCAAATAGAGCCCTTCCAACGGCAAATGATTCGAAGGAAGGAAAAGGTCCTACTGGAGGAGATGTCACCATTATAACTGATCGTCATCTTTTATCGTTTAGTACTGTATTTTGAAATTATATAAAGTATAGTATTCTTAGTAGTACAATTGGTACTGTACAGTAAATTTTGATATCTGATTAATATAATACTAGGTACACCCACAGCTGAACAGTTAGAACTTCTTATTGGTACAACTAGTACACCTTAGCTAATAAAAAGTTCCGTAGCACACAAGCATTAGCTTTTTCCTCGCGTGGTACTATAATTAGCTTTTTAGTACTCTTCTTAGTATGATACTGATAACGAATTTAAAATTTTGTAGGTATTAAAATTGACAATACTAAGTAAATAGTCCTGTTTTAGCACTATACACACTATTTTCGTCTTAGTAGTAGAGGGTAGCAATATAAACTTAATAATAGTAGTATTAGTACTAAAAGTAAAATTTTAAGTACTATTTTGGGCACGAAAGAATAACTATTAGATTGAAGTACGCTTTGAGCACTATGAGTACTGCTTTTTTAAACAAAGTTTGTACTTGGTACTATATAGTACTATATTATATAACACTTGGTACTATACAGTAATAAAATAGTAAGTTTTTACAACAAGTAGTACTAGTTACTAAATGTGCACAGATGGCCTTCAGTAAAACAAATACAAAAAAATTTAAAAAATTACAGTAACTTTTTAAGAAATAGCACCTACAGTAATATACAGCAATATAAGGCCGAAAAATAGTAGTCTTTAGCCAACTTCAACAAAAACAACAAGCCAAATAGCTTGTAGGATAACGTAAAATAATATAAAAGCTAATGTGAAGTATGACAAAAATCCGCGGCTTTGATAAGCGAACGTTTGTTCAGCCGATATTATTCATAATAAGGCCAAAGGTTGCGGCCGCTACTTCACTCGTCGCGCAAACATCGCTTTGATTAATCCCGAAACTTGATACCCATTTGTATAAAATTATTAGTGATTTTTAATTCGGCCGCAAGCGCAGAGACACGTGTTGTAGCAAAAAGCAGGTTTTAACAAGACGGAGGAAGGGGGGTTACGGTATAGTTGAGAAAAGGCTTCAACTTTCCCTTATTATACCGTACCTTACCATACCCTAGCTCATCCTACCCTACCCTAGCTCGCCCTACCCTACCCTACTCTAACCTATCCTCCTTAATCTATAGTACCTTAATTTAGCTATATCCTCGACTCGATACCTAGCCTACACTACCCTACCCTGTCTTGCCTTGTCCTATGGTACTCTACACTGCCTTCCCGTATTCTATTCTACACACCCTGCCTTACCTTGTTGTGCTCTATTCTACCCTAACCTACGCATGTTTTACCATATATCTGGCCAACACTATCCCATGTCAAACTCAACCCTAATTTACCTTAAGCTGGTTTTAAAAAAAATCAAATATAGGTAAAAAAATTTAATTTAAACGTTTTAACCTCCTCCCTCCAAAACCAAGATCACTTCCCCAGCATTGAATAGTACAATAACAAAACAATCAAAAAGAGGTCAATACAAGCTTTGAAACTCCGTCAAAATTTAAAAAATCAGCCTTAAAATATTACTCAAAACCAGAAAACAAACTGTTTTGAGGTATGAAACTAAAACAATGACAAACATCCGCTAAAAAAATAAAAATAAGTGAAAACAGAAAAAAAACTATCTGTACAATATCGAACTCACCTTGGAACTTACCGCTGCCATCTTTTGACAATGAACTTCACCACCTCGAGCTCACGGATCTGATCCTTTCTTAGTTTCATGTTTCCGTATCCAATTTAAATTGATAATCCTTCTAGACAAACATGAGGGACGGGTAGAACTTTCAAAACGTCTAAGACCTAAAAATAATTTTATATTTTTATTCAAACTTGCCCGGGAAAATTTCCGTTTGAATTTCTATTTTTCTTTTTTTCAAAATTTAGCGAAAATCTTGAAATCTCTCAAGAAAATAGCGAGTATGTTAAGGTTTTTAATAATAAAAACAATATAATTTCCTCTTTCAGATAGTAATGGAACTACTCTATTGTTTATAAGCCATGGCTCTTCATAATTTATTGAGATTTGGACAAATGAATCAAGATTCATCAGTTTCTCGGTCAATTCTTCTCAAAACTCAACACCTACGGAAGATGTTAGATAATATACATGGTAGATGCGTCTAAATACGAAGATCTGAAGAACCTTGGGTAAGCTAAGGTGCTTTTGTTATTTTTGTTTTGATTTTAAGGTATTCAAGGCGATTTGTAGAAGGTTTTTTTGGAGAAACTTGACCTTTGGGTAGTATAATATCGGATTTTCAATTGATAGCAGTTGAAATCGAGGTTTTAGTTCTTAATTTTATCCTAAAGCGTTTAACCAGTGTTTTGAGAACGTTTTGAGTTCAAATTTGAGTGATTTGAAAGCCATTTTCTGGCAAAAATGATTTTTTGGCTGTTTAATATCGGACTTTTGTTGATTACAGTTGAAATCAATATTTTGGTCCGATTTTTAAATTAGGATTGAGACTTTTTTATGCCCGTTTTGAGTACAAATTTATATAATTTCAAGGCTAATGATCACTTGACGCTTAATTTCCTTGTTTTATCTACTGCAGTATTACTTTTTTGACGAATTGCTTTTGATGCCTAATTTTTTGCGCATAACTTAACAAGGGAAGTGTCTCACCTCATTCCGGAGATAAGAATCGAGACTAGGCTCGTTGGAAAGCCTATTTAAATACAAATTTAACAAAAAAAAATTTAGCTGCCGAATAAGCCCCTGAGGCAAGTTACGACGGTTTAAAAATTTGCAGTGCTTTCCTTGGTTTGAGTTTGATAACGATTGGGAGCGAGAAAGAAAACAAGGGGAACCGATGATTCGGTGGTTCAATGGTTAGGTGTCGGGTTTAGGGGTGAAAGGATAAGGGTTCGATCCCTGCCAACTCGTTTTGCTTTAACAACTTCCAAAGAAAAATTTTTTTGTTTTTTGTACTATATAGCATTGAATAGAGTAGTTTTAATCAGTTAAATACAAAAATTAAGCAATTTGACAAATTATTAAACTTTAAAATTTTTTTGTTAAATTTGTATTTAAATAGGCTTTCCGACGAGCCTAGTCTCGATTCATATCTCCGGAATGAGGTGAGACACTTCCCTGTAAGATTATCTTCTCTGAAACAACACAACAAAGGTGAAACAACATTATTGGTTAAAAATTTTTAAAATTCGCGCAGTTAACATGGATACGTGGATAATATGGTTTAAGTGTTTGTCTTTTTATTGTAAAATACGGTCGCGCGTCTACTAGTTCTCTTAACTCATGTTAAGCAAAAAATCGCATAAATTTTTTTTACAAAACAAAAGAAGTGCCATGTCCTGTGTCCTGCGCCTTGCCTTGTGCCATGCCTTGTATCATTCCCTGTGATCTGTCCCGTATTGTACAATGCCCTGCTATGTGTTCTGCCTTCTAAAATGCCTTGTCCTGTGTCAAACCCCGCTTACGTCCAACCAGGATGTAAAATCTCAAAGAACCCACAATATGAAAATCAGAGACCCGTAGGCAGTCTCATATGTGACCTCCTACAACTAAGCAAACATTTTCGACATTAATTGTTTTCAAAATATCAATTAACAACGTTTGTGTAAATTGAAATAAAACGTTTACAAATGGTATATAAAGGAAGCTGGTTAGCTTTGTATCATCATTACTCATTATGAGATTGGTTTTGGTGTTCTGTACCATTGTAGTTTTTGTGGTTGGTAAGTCATTTTTAAAATTTTTTATTATTCGGGTATATATCTAACTGGTTCAGAGCTAAATTTTTCATTGGTAAAGGATGAAAAAGGTTAATTCTAAAGGCCTATTGGAGCTACATGTGTAATTTTAAAATGATTTTTTTTTGACAAATTTAATTTTTATAGCCTTCCGGCCATCCGGATCACCACCACCAGGCTTCACCGGACCTCCACCACACAAGCGTGGAGCTAGACAAGCTGGGTTCACCCCACCAGCCGGCTTTTCTGGGCCACCGCCACATAAACGTGAGGCTAGAGCAGCTGGATTCAGTGCTCCACCAGGCTTCTCTGGGCCACCACCAGCCTTCTCTGGACCTCCACCACACAAACGTGAAGCCAGAGCAGCTGGATTCAGTGCTCCACCAGGCTTCAGTGGCCCGCCACCACATAAACGTGAGGCTAGGGCAGCTGGATTCAGTGGACCACCAAAGGGCTTCAGCCCACCCCCAGGCTTCTCTGGACCTCCACCACACAAGCGTGAGGTTAGGGCGGCTGGATTCAGTGCTCCACCAGGCTTCTCTGGCCCACCACCACCAGGCTTTAGCGGTCCACCAAAACATAAACGTGAGGCTAGGGCAGCTGGATTCAGTGGACCACCAAAGGGCTTCAGTCCACCCCCAGGCTTCTCCGGACCTCCACCACACAAGAGAGCTGCTAGAAAGGCTGGATTCAGTGGACCACCACATTTCCCATTCAGTGGCCCACCAAAGGGTTTCAGTGCCCAACCAGTTTTTTAAAAACTCATTTGAAATGTTTTAGTTTGACTTGAATAAATCTGCATATTGTTTATTGAATTGAACTGGAGGGGTTTACTAGAAGGTTTGGAACAAATTAGAAAGGCCGGGCCAGATCGTGCGGGTCCGGGAGCCAAGCTTAAATAAAGACTTTATTACTAGTTACGTCCTGCAACAAAAGCTTTGTCTTGCGAAACGTGTAAAACGAAAAGGCCGGGCTGGGACATGTGGGTCAGACCACGAAATTGGGCTGGACCCAACTTCTTTATAGGTCTAGGGGGCACAATTCAACTTTTCTAGATTTTTTCGGTTAGTCTACTTTATCCCCATCTCTACCTTCACGCATACCCAGCTATTTTAAAATCATCTTACTTGGACTAAAAATGACTATAAAAAAATTTTTAGACGCTGTTAACAACAACACTTAGATTTTGAAGCTAATATTCGTTTCAATTTTTAAAAATTGAAAAAAGTCTACGACAGATTAGTAGGCTAGAAAGATGTGCAAACACTACAAAAAGTTCAAACTCAATATTTTTTGAATGTTTTTTGTTAGTCCAAAGTCAACATTGCATCAGGTTCAAAATTATCACAATAAGATATCTAAAAGTTTTATCATGAAGTGACGTATCTTACAAATAAAATACTGTAAAATTCGAATAGGACGTACTGTAATGGCTCAACTACTATATAGTACTCGCAAAATAAAATTCTTATACTATAAGTTACTATAATTGCTTAAATACTATATAGTACGCACATGTAATCACAATATACTATAAAGTACTGCAGTGGCTTAAGTTACACATAATATTTGCGAAATAAGAAAAAACCTACGATAACGTACTACAATGACTTGAGTACCATGCAATGCTCAAAAAATATTTCATAACGTACTATAATGGCTGACATACTACGCTGCACCTAAAAAAAATATGGTATTGATCTGTTTTGATCAACTTCAGACTAGATTGTAACCTATGCGACAGCTGGTTAAACACTTTTACATTGAAAAAAGTATAAACGTTCAAATAAATAGTCTGTTCAAACTGTCAATGTTTGTTTCTACAGAGTATAAATACACTGTATGTTGGCCAAGTATCATCACAGCTCACAATGAGATTGGTTTTGGTAATTGGTGTATTTGTTGTTGGTTTGGTGGCTGGTAAGCTATGTTTTAGTAGATTTTTTGGCTTTTTAACAAATTTTTTAAAAATTTTTAGTACTATTTTGGTAATAAAAGCTGCCTTTTTTGATACAGTTTAGTATCATTATGATACTTTTTAGCCTTCCGGCCATCCGGACATCCACCACATGGATTCAGTGGACCACCGAGAGGATCTCCACCACACAAACGTGGTGCAAGACAAGCTGGATTCAGCCTACCAGCCGGCTTTTCTGGCCCACCACCATTCCCATTCAGTGGACCACCCCCACCAGGCTTCAGCCCACCACCAGGATTCAGCGGACCTCCACCACCACATAAGCGTGCCAAGCGTAGCGTTCCTGAAGGAGTTTCTGGACCATTAAGACCATCTGGATCCCCACCACCAGGTTTACCAAGACCTTCTGGATCTCCACCACACAGACGTGGTGCTAGACAAGCTGGATTCAGTGCTCCACCAGGTGTTTCTGGACTTCCACCTCATCATCATTTTAGTGGACCACCAAGAGGATCTCCACCACCAGGCTTCTCTGGACCTCCACCACACAAGCGTGGGGCTAGACAAGCTGGATTCAGTGTTCCACCAGGCTTTTCTGGCCCACCACACCACCGATTCAGTGGACCACCACGCTTTACCAAAAGCCATTAGAAACCATACTAGACGCATGTTGCGTTGAATATTACACTAGATGCAGAATTTAATAAATCTTGAAGCATATTTTTGTCATCCTATCATTAAAAAATGGCATTGGCATGGCACGGGCTGTTGTCATGACTAAAAAAATTTAAAAATTCATAGGTTTTTGACATGTTTTTATCAAAAAATCAATATTTATCGATTTTTCACAATATGCTTTTTTAAAAATCAATATTTGTTGATTTTGGCATTTCGTCATTTTAAAAATCAATAGTTATCGATTTTTGACACTTCGCTACTTTAAAAAATTAAAAAGAAAAAAATATTAGTTATTTTTTCTCACAAAAATTTTGAATTTTTGAAAATTTTCACTTTTCCGTCATTCGCTTTGTCAGTGCATTTTGTGTGCGGCGGAGTACTGACTTGACTGACATGGAGATGGTAACCGGGTTCGCATTCGGACTAGTCCACGTTCTGACCCTCTTCTTCGTTCTGGCACAATGTGGAGCTAAGAAAAAGCCGTAGGTTTTTGGTTTTTATGATCTCTATTACAGTATGTCATAAGAATTGGCAGGAAATTTAAAAAATTTGAAAAAGTTTTTTGTTTACAGTACTGGGACCATTTTTGAGAGTCTAAGCACTATCAGTTAGTTGAATAGTTAAAATTCTAGTATGTTAGGCCTATCGTTGCAAACTTGAGTACTATTAAGAGGTTAAAAAAGTCTTGTCGTCATTTTGTTAAGATTTCACCTTGAAAAAACGACAAGACTTTATTGCCAAACCAATGTACCTAAAATTCGCCAAAATTACGAAAACTGAGCTTTTAACTGTCCTTAAATTCAAAATGTGTGTTTCAGTAAGGAGACTGCTCCAAAATCCGTGGTTAAATCAGCACCAGCCGCCGTTCCTCCTCCAGCACCATCGACCGTCGAAATAGCCGAAAAGAAAGACGAAGCCAAGGCTGATGGTAAACCGGTAAGATTATTTTTTGTATTTTAAAATGGTTTTTTATTTAGAAAATGAATTTTTTAGTTTTTTTTATTTTAAAACGGCTTTAAATGGTTTAAAATTGAAAAAATATTGAAAAATTTAATTTTTTTTTGAAAAACTAAACATACAGTTTTAAAAAGCATCAAAACTTATATGTTATTCTCAATTTTTAGGTTTGTATTGTACTGTAGGACAAAGTTATGACGGTTGAAAAAAGTCAGAAATCAAAAAAAGTTCGATTCTGCTTGGAAACATTAAGATTTTTCGAACTTTAACCCACTTTATTACCTTTTCAATTGTAATATCTTTAATTATATTACAATTTTACTGCTTTGTAAATTTTAAAAATTTAAATTTTAGGAAGAAAAGAAGGACGGAGAAAAGAAAGATGAAGAAAAGAAGGAAGAAAAGAAAGAAGAAAAGAAGGAAAAGAAAGAAGAAAAGAAGGAGGAAGAGAAGAAAGAGGAAAAGAAGGAAGGTTCTAAGAAGGAAGAAAAGAAGGAGGAGGAAAAGAAGGTATTATTTTGAAGTTTTTTCATATTTTAAAATTTTTTGAAAATGACTTTTTGGGCTGGCAGTTTTTTAAAAACGTTGTAGTGCCAAAAATAGGTATAGGTAAGACTTGAAACTTTCTACAATTAGATTGTAGCCCACAAGGAAAGTTTTTGTTTTTACAAATTTTTGGGTAGGATTACTGTAACATGGGGAATTTGAAAATTCTATTTGAAAAACCGGTTTTTTACTAAAAAATTGAAATTTTTGACCTAGTTTCAATTTTTTAAATTTTTTTTTGTATATTCAGAAACTACATGAAATTTTACATCTAGTAAGGTTCATAGTAAACAGGTACGGCACGCTGTTTGAGTTTTTTTTTGAGTTTTTGTTTTGCGACACCATTTTGAAAATCCACGCGGGTTCGAATCCGCTTGGATGCAAATGGCTTTTTAGGCCTGAAATTGGTGTTTTAAGGGGTGAAAAGAAGAGAAATTGTTTATATATGATAATTAGGGGCTTTGTTGGTTTAATGTAGTATTTGAAAAATATTTTTTTGAAGAAAATTTTGACTTTTTTTTACTAAAATGTCACTTTTTTGACCCAAATTCGACGTTTTTCTGGCTAAAATTTTATTTTTTTTGTAAAATACGACTATTTCTTTTTAACTTTTTTGACTTTCAGGAAGAAGAAAAGAAGGAATCTAAGAAGGAGACCTCGAAGAAGTCGAAGAAAGAAACTTCAAAGAAGGAAGGCTCGAAGACGGAGGGATCCAAGAAGGAGGGTTCTAAGAAGGAAGGGTCAAAGAAGGAATCCAAGGCTGATGCTCCAGACGAAAAGAAGGAGGAGTCTAAGGAGGTAGGTTCTTTCGGAGTTTTTTAGAGGCCAAAAAGGAAATGGCAAGAAATTTCTTTACAAAACAAAAAATGGCAAGAACTTTCATTACAAAACAAAAAACGGCAAGAAATTTCTTTACAAAACAAAAAACGGCGAGAACTTTCTTTACAATACAATAAATGTCAAGAACTTTCTTTATGAAACAAAAAATAGCAAGAATTTTGTTTACAACACAAAAAATGCCAAAAATTTTCTTCACCCGCAGACTGCAAAACTTTTTTTTTGCTATTTGGCTTTACGTGGCAATAACTTTCTTTACAAAACAAAAAATGTTAGTGTTTAACTATAAGTAAATTTTTTTTTTAATTTTTAAAATTTAATTTTTTAAATTCCAGGAGGATAAGAAAGAGTGACCAACCCGACCAGATCCATCAACTGACTTTGTACCCATTTACTGATGTTTTGTCACATAAACAGTTTATTTACAATGGTTGGAATGTGGAAAAGTACACGCTTTGTTGTGATGTATATAGTTTTACATCGTATCACCGTCGGTAAAGTAGGGTAGAAAGGGCAGATTTATAGGTAGGGTCGCTGATATTATGTTATCCATGGAATTTTTTGTTGGTACTGAGTGTAGCATGGTACTATATAGTATCACCATTAGTAGTACGGTACTATACAGTATCATTATTGGTAGTAGGTTACTTTAATCTTGTAGACTACCTTATCAGTGATGAAGTACCATGCTTGTTGACCATGTTAATATAAGTTACAATGTTATTGTTTCCTATGTTTTGACGACACCATTCATGCCTGACTCTCCATGTTCAAGGTCGCGTGGTTCGCCGATGGCCGATGAAGCCCTGAAAAGTTCAAATTTTAAAAATTTTTGTGAATTCATATTGTCCAAATACATTGTCCAAATAATACTGAGCTGCCTTTCAAAATAAAGTTTTGGGTTTAGGTGGTTCAGAATTATTTGGACAATTTTATATTACTTCGTTCACTTAATTCTGGCCCCATTATTAAAAAAAAATTTCAAAAAACTATCTACATCTACAACGTTGTGATTAATATAATTTAAAAAGCTTTTGTTTATTTTTAAACACCATTTTAGTACAAAAGCGTCTGTCAAGCATACAGTTTTTTTTCAAGCCAAAAAGACCAAAACTAATGTTTAAGTATAATATTTAAACAGATGACAGCTTTGTTCAAACTTTTTTAAAAATGTATAATGACTAAACCCTTCGGACTTAGTGGCCAAATTTTTAATTTTTAAAAAAGACTTGTCAGAAAGAGTCACACACACCAAAAATGTAAAAGGGTAGGATAAGGTAGAGTAGATCCTATAGAGTAGAATTAAGATAAGTTGAAGTAGGGCAGGGCAAGTTGGAGTAGAGCACAGCAAGGTTACGCAGGACAAGGTAGGGTAAGTTAGATTAAAGTACGGGAGCGTAATTTAGAGTAGAGTAAGACAAGGTAAGATAAAGTAGGGCTCGAGTATTGCTTGCTGTAGGGCTTGGATAGGGCCCGGTTAAGGGCCGAGTTGGGCTGGGGTATGACTAGTGATATGGTAGGGTAAGAGTAGGGTAGGGTAGTGTAGGGTAGGGTCGGGTAGGGTAGGGTAGGGTAGGGTAGGGTAAGGTAGGGTAGGGTAGGGTAGGGTAGGGTAGGGTAGGGTAGGGTACGGTAGGGTAGGGTAGGGTAGGGTAGGGTAGAATAGGGTTGGGTAGGGTAGAATAGGGTGGGTTAATTACACATTCTTTTCACACAAACCCATAACAAGCCTAAACATCACACACGAGCTGAGCTCAGCAACCCTCACCAGAAACTTCACAGCACTCCACCCCTTCTCCCACTTACCACCACTCATCGACCACGCCCGCGACCTGCCGTTCATTTCGGTGTTCGTGGGCAGGCTGCGTGCCGAGGCGGGTACATTCAAAAAATTGGATGTGTTTTGTTCAAAAAGATCCAAAACTCTACAAAAATTCCGAATTTTTTAAAATAAATTTAAATTTAAAATATTTTTGATTTTTCCAATAATATTTGTGGCATTTCGTTTGATATGCCAACAAAACTTAAATTTCATTAACAGCCCCAATGTAAATTATATAAAATAAGTTTTTAAGCTTTTTTTGAATTTTATTTTTCCAATAAATTTTGTGACATTTTGTTCATTACGTTAAACTTTGTTATACAATGTAAATTGTATCATTGTTGGCATCCACCAGCTACAACAAAAATTTTTTCTTCTTTTAAGACAAAGTATTTTAAAATTTTCCACATTTCATTTTTCCAATAATTTTTGTGACATTTCGTGACGTTTTTTAAATTTCTTATTATAACGCAAAAAAATCAAAAATAGAATACTTTAAGCCTTTAACAAGTTTCAAAAAGCGTTTTTTTTTCATTACTGAAGCAGTTTTTCCAATAATTTATGTGACATTTCGTCAAATTTTTTAAATTCAAGTTAAAAAGCAAAAAAACTGAAAACAATTATATTTTTAGAATCTATTAGTCACAAAAACTTTCTTTTACATTTTAAAACATTTAATTTTTCCAATAGTTTTTGTGACATTTCGTCAATTCTTTAAAAAATTTAATTTTACGACTTTTAAATAGTCTTTTAAGAAAAAAGCCTTAAAAAACGTATTTTACAAGAAAATTAAACAAAATCCACGTCCAACTCAACTAATAATCATCGTTCCTTACCGTGACCTCCGTCGCATTTGAGCCAGGGCATCATCAGGATCAGCGTCCTTCCTTCGCTGTTCCTTCTGCTTATGTTGTTGATTGTGCTCCTCGACACTAACTACTTTAATATGTTTTTGTCGTGTTGTTTCATCCATTTGACTCAACCTGCTTTTGTGTGGTATCATAGTAATGTTCTGAACATCCTTGACTAGATTGACATTAGCGGCCGATCCAGTCAAGGGGTGGACACTTCGTTTGGCGGCCGAAAGTGAATAAAGTGGGTCAATTCTCTCATGCGACCAGTACTTATCCTTGACCAGGGGCGGGGCAAAGCGTTGGCCTTTATCGACCAGTGCCATTCCGGTTATGAGGTTCTTGTCCAACATGGAGTTCACTTCTAGATCGTCGTCGTCTTCACCGAGAGGATTCAGAAGGGCTTCGGCTACCTTCATCCATCCCATGTAGACAAAGAATTCGATCATTGTCTTTAGAGGTATGTATATGTCTATCTGAAAAAACTTTGTTTACAAGGCAAGAAATGGCAACAACTTTCTTTACAGTAAAAGTGACTTACAGTTTCTTTTCCTTTGATATATTGTCGGCTGATCAAGCAAATGGCAAAGTAAATTCGAACAGCCAGAAAGACAACTTGTGGGTAGACCAGCGGAATTGGAATCCAGTCAAACTTCAATAATTTACTTAGACCTTCCCTGAAGTGTTGAATGTCCTAAAATAAGATTTTTTTGATTAAAGATTATTTTCACATACCCTTCCCTACCCTACTCTACCCTACCCTACACTACCCTACCCTACCCTACCCTACCCTACCCTACCCTACCCTACCCTACCCTACCCTACCCTACCCTACCCTACCCTACCCTACATTTGGCTTACCCATGCTTATGCCCTACCTTTTTCTTACCCTTGCCTACCCTTGACCATACCCTACCTTTTCCCTGCCCTCGCCCTTCTCCTATACCTTACTTTACCCTATCCCAAGCTCTACCTTCTGGAACTACAGTAATATTATTAGTATGACCTACCAAAGCCGTGCGCAAGAGGGGGGCACAAGGGGGGGGGGTGTACTCAGAGACTAAAAGAGCCCGCCCTTTCACCTACCTTATCGTACCTTCAATCTCTACTCCTTACAGTATCTCAAAAGTATGCCCTACCCTTCCCTGCCCTATGTCTACCTCCTGTCTCTACTACTTACGGTATCACTAACCCATACCCTACCATAAATTGTAAAATAAATTCTTTGGCCATTTTATAACTCACCTCAACAATAAAAACCAGTAAATGATCACTCTCAATTTTCTTCTCATTCCTCGCCTTTTGTAGAATACAGTAGCACCAGTGTAACGGAATCCAGTATCGTGTGTAGATATCTTCTTCATTTTCCAACTCTTCTTTCTCTGCTGTTGTTAAAAGCCCTGCGGCAATTAACGATTCTAAAGTTGGAAATCGTTTTCGTACTTGCATACTTATGTCACGCAGTACTAGTGCTTGATTCAGTACCATGTACCGTACGAGAGAACGACGTTGTAGCCTCGTATCTTCGTCTTTGCCGTGAATGAAGTTGGCAAAGTTTATTGCTGAACTGAAATTACGTATTAAGTAAAACTTGTTGTCTTTTTTCGTATTTTACATTAAAAATTTGTGAATCGGTCCTATATTTCAAAATGGTGTTGCTTACTTATATCTTGTTAGAAATGGTCTCATATTCTTAAAAATAGACCCATTATCTTAGAATAGGCTTTTTCCTCTGTGAAATCGGTCCGTCTCACATTCTTAGAAATGGTCCCAGGTTCTTAGAAATAGTGCCTACTTTTTAAAAAACCCCACCTTGTTTGTACAGCCCTTACTTTATTATAATAATATTGGTTCCATATTTTCGTATGTACCAAAAAACGGTAATTTTTTTCAAAATTTAAAAAATTTTTAAAAAATTTAAAAATTTAAAAATTTAATTTATTTTAATTTTTTGTTGTTCCAATGTCAAAGAATCATGTCAAAACATACTTGTCAATCCACCCGATGCCTTCGGTAATGTGATTCCATCGGCCGACCACCTGTGAAACGAAAAACCCGAGTAGAAAGCTGAGCGGTAGATATTTGGACAAATCATGATCAAAGTACCGGACTAGGGCTTCAAATGTCCTGTAAAATACGTCATAGTGACATTCTAGGATAAACTTTTATATCAAAAAAAATTGCAAGCACTTTCTTTATAAAACAAAATATGGCAAGAACTTTCTTTACAAAACAAAAACTGACAAAAACTTTCTTTAAAAAATGGCAAGAACTTTGTTTCCAGTCCAAAATTAAAAAAAAAAATCTTACTGTTGCTGTTCCTCATTCAAAGCATGCACGTATACCATCTTTATAGCCATATATAGTGCCGTCCACAAAAATAATTGAGGTAGGATCGCCTTCCACACACTGCCACGCCATCGGAATAAAACTTTGAAAAAACTCTCAAAATTGGCATGTGATACTTGTAATGTGTAGGCTACTGTCATAATCTGAAAATAATTTTTTTTGCTAAAAAGAGACAAACCGTAATGTAAAATACGGAACCAAGACCTCGCTGAAGCAGGCTTCTTAACTACAACTATATTAAGTTAACAAAGCGAATGGTAGAGAAGCTGGAAAGTTAGAATAAAACTAAAACAGTGCTCAGATTTTAGCTTGGTTCAGGCTAGGGTAGAACCAAAGGTAGATGTAGAGCTAGAGCTAGGATTGAGACTATAGCTAGGGCTATCTAAGCCTAAAGCTAAGGCTGGGTTGAGGCTAAAACTGAAACTAGAGCTAGGAATAAGCCTAAACTAACCTCAGACTAAGGTCATAAGTACAGCTAAAGCGTGGCTAATGCCTAGACTAAGTAGCTCAGGCTCAAGCTAAGACTAAGCGTAAGGCTGAGGCTGAGGTTGAGGCTGAGGCTAAGGCTAAGGCTGAGGCTGAGGCTGAGGCTGAGGCTGAGACTGAGGCTAAAGTTAAAGCTAAAGCTAAAGCTAAGGCTAAAGTTAAAATTAAAGCTAAGGCTGTGGCTAACCTATATCTATTTTCATATGCCAAAAGCGTGGCAAGAAAACATTGAAATTCATAAAAAAAATTAAAAATTCTATAGAAAACAACCTTGTATTATTGTTAGGTTAAACTGAAATATGATCCACCTTCTCACGTCGTACCACGGTACATTAAAAACATCATAAAATATGAAAAAATAGACACGTAAATACAAAAGTATGACAAATTCAAAAACGTGAAAAAAGCAAAAATAAAAATTTAAAAAATCTTCAAAAATCTTTTTGTTTTGCGGCTTGCGGTGACAAGTTATACAATAAATTTCAAATTTATATAAATTTAACTGCCTGTTTTAGTTTTGTAAAGAAAGTTCTTGCCATTTTTTGTTTTTTAAAGAAAGTTCTTGCCATTTTTACTTTTGTAAAGAAAGTTCTTGCCATTTTTTAGTTTGTAAAGAAAGTTCTTGCTATTTTTTGTTTTGTAAAGAACAGTTCTTCCCTTTTTTTCTTTAGTAAAGAAAGTTCTTGCCATTTTTACTTTTGTAAAGAAAGTTCTTGCCATTTTTTGTTTTGTAAAGAAAGTTCTTGCCAAAAAAATATTAAATTTTGTTTTAATAAACCTATTTTTAGCAAAACCCCTACTAATAAACAAGAACACTGTGTCAATCCTATCTGTTAATCCATTTACTTTTCATTTCCTTATGTTTGTTTTTTCATAACCTGGCTAATTTGGGGCTTTATCAAAAGGAAGACTGTTTTTAAAAACGCTTTTTATGAAACTCAAAAATTTACAAAACAATATAGAAACCTGAGCTCAAATTATACTAGCCCTATCATAGCCCTTCTTTATACTAGCCTTGCTCTAAACTAGCCTTGTCATAGCCATTCTTCATACTAGTCCTACCTTGGCGCTGATTTGTAGTACCCTTAACATAGCCCTGCTCAGTACTAGTCCTGTCGAAGCCAGGCCCTAGATTTACCACCCCGTAGGTTAGCCTTTCCACTCTCAAGTCTAGCCCTATCATAGCCATGCTCTATGCTAGAACTGCTCTAAAAGCACATTAGCTTTACCCCTCCCATTTCTAGTCCTACCCTTCCTTGCCCATGCGTTACTATAGCCCAGGCCTAGTTTTCGCCCTTCTTTTTGACCATTCTTGAAGAAGGAAAGTTTAATTCCACCACCCCCTCTTACTAAAATGAAAATATGATCCTACCACGCCCCTTTCCTAAAAAAAGTTTATACCACACTTGTAAAAAAAAATGTTTTCACCATCCAAAGTTCTCAAAAAGAAAAATTTAATTCCGTCACCTCCATCTTCTAAAATTACCTACCCCACTTATATCATGTACATTCTATTATACGCTATATATAATTCCCCATGCCACTTCACGTGCGTAAGAAACACGCGTATTTGTACGCATTCATAAGTTTTAACATTCTTAACCCACACCCTCAAGACCCAACTTCCTGAACAAAACACGAAAATTCGAGTTCAATGCCTAGTCGACCATAAGCGTATGGTTAAATATACGCACACGCCACATAAATACATGATATTTTCATAAGCAGAGCAAAGTACTGTTTAGGGTATGGGTACAAGAAGGCAAGACAACTATATTGCTAAGGTGAGCTTTGGGCTAGGGTTCTGGACTAGGGCTCTGGGCTAGGGCTCTCGGCTAGGGGTCTGAGCTAGGGCTCTGGGCTAGGGCTCTGGGCTAGGGCTCTGGGCTAGGGCTCTGGGCTAGGGCTCTGGGCTAGGGCTCTTGGCTAGAGTTAGACCTGGAGCTAAAGTTAAGATTAGAACTAAAGCTAGAGCTAGGACTAGGGTTAGGAAGAAGACCATGACCATTACTAAGATTAGTACTAATAGCATATCTACAACCAGGCACAAGGCCAAGAACAAGGCAAAAATCATATCAAAGTAAAAAATTTACAAAAAGATCTTTTATACTCAAAGAGTTCAGCTCATACGTCAATGGGTCTTAACTTGTAGTAGAAATGAGTCAACAGTAAATAGTAGGGTTTTAAACTTAAAAGAAGATTATAACGCCCTTTTTGGTGATTAATTTTAAAGAAGGGTTAACTCATCTACAAGACTACAAAACTTGAAAAATTATTTTTCACCCTAACAAACTTTGGCACAAAACCCTAATTCTTTAAAAATTCAAAAAAAAATAATAATTTAACCCTAAACCCTCCATAAATTACTTATTTACAAGGTTAAAACGTTAAAAACACTGAAAAAATGCCTTTTGGCAAATTTTTGAGACGAAGCTGACCTTAAGTGATAAACGACAGCTGAGCCTCAAAACCGCTTTCGAACTTCATTCATGACGAGACAATTTGAAAAAATAATTCAAAGCCGTTAAAATTTAATGGAAATAAAAAATTTGCAGTTCTTTCAAGTGCACAGGTAATTTTTAGGATTTTTTTGTGGTTTTTACCCTATCCTACCATACTTTACTCTTCCGTACCGTGCCATATACTACCCTACCCTATTCTAGGAATGAAAAACAGACCGGGCCAATTTCTAAAGCCCTGCTAGGCCCGAGTCTGAAACTTTAGGCCAAGAGGATCATTTTCATTCTTTTTGGGCTCGGGCCCACTTTTTAACCTGTCTCAAGAGCTGGTCCGAACTTTTAAAACCGGCCCTTTCAAGTTTAGCCTCAAGGTCGGTCCGATCGCAAGGCCGAGCTGGACCAAAGCCTACACGGCCCGTTTCTCACCCCTCACCCTAGTCTATTTTCAGCCCTAGTCCTAGCCAAACGTACTTTTCTCTACGCTCTACCCCATCTAAAGCCATAACATACCCTCACCCTACCTTTTGTGAGCCATACGTTACCCTACCCTACACGATTCTACCCTACCCAGCCACAAGCCATAACATATCCTCACTCCTCACCCTACCCTTGTACTGCCCTTCCTTACTCTAGCCCACTCTACCTTAATTCTTATACTCTACCTTTCAAAAATAACTACAGTAAACTCTTTTACCAACCCCCCCCCCCCCCACTTTTTGCAAAGTCCAGACATTTTCAGACCAAAAATTGCACAAATACTGACCAGGTGTTCGTACAATTGTGACTTCGTACTAACAATAAACATTCATGACAATTAAAACTTTGGCTGAAACTTTGAAAAGGCGTTTGGCGGGTGAAGAACAACGACTTCAAGGTGATTTCTGAAGCCAAAGTCACCATGGTTACAATGTTGTTCAATTGTTTTTTTTTCGGAAAATAACAGCAATAAACCTAAGCCAATTTGCATTTTATTTATTGTGGCCTATAAAACTTGGCAATGCGACTTTGGCATGGGTTAACATAATTTTCTGGCATATTTGCGCAGAAAACATTTGTTACCTAAAAAAATTTAAAAAGCCATAAGTCAAGGTTAAAGAAAGCTAAAAACACAAAACTTGGTACAATAACAGTAAAGATCAATCATATTTGGACCTAAAATTCTGAAGTCTCAACAGTGCATTTTAAAATTTTTATAAATTTTTAAAAATTAAGAATTTATGAAAACTTGAAAATTAACAATTTTTTATAAAAAAGACAGATTTTTATCAAAGAACATTAAAAACAAAAATCCCCAATAGCAAAAACAAAATTAAAGTGTACCAAAACTTTTGGCCAAAAAAAACCAATCAATTTTGATGTGAATCCCTCTGCAGCCTGCACAAACGCCTGAAAACGACAGGCCGCGGCCGCAGTATGCGAAAGAAGAATTTCATTTTGAAGTAGCAGAAAGAAATGAGGACAAATAAGGTAAAAGGAAGATCCCAAGACGAAATAAAAACTAGATACGATAGAAATATGATGAATAAGCATTGGAAAACATTATCAGCAATTGTATATGGTTAAATATAAGTTATTTTTGTGTTTTCTTCTGATTTTAGGCTTGAACTGAAAGGGTAAGATGGATAAGATAATTAAAAAGGTTTGGATGTATATTTTCTTTTTAAATTTACTTTTGAAATGATGATCAAGCTTTATTTATGGATATTTCGAACTATTGTTTTATGTCTTACTTAGTTCAGGCACATGATATTGTTGTAGAAGGTTAGCTGCTTTAAAACAGAGTCAGTAATGTTATTTCGCTTGTTTAGAGTTTTTCAATCTTTTGAATAATGTAGAATGAAATGCTGAGTTTAGAAGAATGATTTGAAGGAAGCATGGTGAACTATCGAGTTTGGGCGGGAAGATCTTCACCTTGGTTCAATAACTCTGGGTTGGAGGAAAGCTGTCGATGGCGGAAAATTGTTTCAAGCGGTTCAATATCAAGTTAAAATTGAACAAGTTGGAAGGTTTTAAAAGTAAGTTGATTTATTTTTTGTTGTTTCTTGATGTAGGCAAAGTTTCGACTATTTTCAAACTTTGCAGGTCAAAGGCATGGATAATATAAGTTTTAATCGAGTTTTTGTATTTGTATTATTTATCCGTACATAAGTCTAGTTAGTAGCTTTGTAGACCTTGTTTTGAGATTCTGTTTAAGTTTTTTGTTGTATTAAGCATTTTACAGCATACTTGTTAAAATTTTAAATTCAAAGCTTAAACTTTTAAAAACAGCTGTAAAATCAGTCATTGTCCTCATAGCAATGTATATTTATTGCAAAAAGATCAACTTTTAGTGTCTTACATTAAAAATTATGCGAAACATGGAACAATTCTTGAGATACATAGATACCTTACCATTATTTATATTGTGTTAGAGAAGAGACAAGGTATAGCCACCGGATATAGCTGGTAAAAGGTTTATATTACTTTGTACAAAGAGTTATGTTAAAATCAAGTTATGACAATCAGTTAAAAACTTCGAAAACATTAAAAATCTAAATATTTACAATCGAAGTCTACAAAATAAAAAAAAATCTATTCAACCGGGAATTCAGTAAGATACCACAAGTAATACCACCAGTAAACAATGTTGAACAGTAAGAATGCGACCGGGAAAGCAATCCGCGAATATTTGTCGACTGTGAGGCCTTTTCTAGAATATTCGAATCCAGTCCGGATGAATTCATTTTGCTGGATTGGATTGCGGACTGGCTCGCGCTTCTGACTGGTCGGACGGTTGCGTTTGACCATTTGGGAGTAGTCTGGAAAAGGTCGAGAGTTAGAGTAAGGTAGGGTGTTTTTTATAAAAAATTCGATTTTTTTTGAATGGCAAGAACTTTCTTTACAAAATAAAAAATGGCAAGAACTTTCTTTACAAAACAAAAAATACCAATAAATTGGTCACTTACTAGATCCAGGAAACCCTCTTCGACTGCCAAACCCATTTTCACCAAAATCGTCTTCGCTGACAAAGGTTGTCCTAGTTGTGGGTGAACTCTCATCCAGTGGTACGAAAATGCTGTCCGATTTTGGTGTTCGATTGAAACGAGATGTCATTTCCATATCGAAACTGTTTTGTTGAGAGTAGTAAGGTTTGGGGAATGGTGGACAGCCATGGTTACTGCCACCACCGTTCTGATAGGCAAAAGGCGGGTAGAACTGGCCTGGGGATCGACTGCCGTTTCGGTAGACTGAAAAGAAGTTTTATAGTTTGTTAGAGAGTAAGGTAGGGTATGATATAGTAAGGTAGGGCATCATATAGTGAGGCAGGGTGTGGAGATAAGCTAAGTTATTGTATACTAAAGTAAAGCGCGGTGTTCTAAGATATTACGGAGTAAAGGGTAGGGTAGGGGTAAAGTAGATGTACAGAGTAAAGTTTTTTTTCAAAAACATACAAGAATCAGGAGCCCTAGCTCTCATAGTACCATTCGCACGGTTGTTAAACACCATAGGTTCTTTAACTGACGGCATATTATCTTCCTCATCCGTAGGAATGTTGCCACTTGAGGAACGTTTACGTTTCGACACTGTTCTCACCATCTTTTCGTACTTTTCAGCTTGTCTCATATAACTATTGACCAGCGCGAATTCCAGGAGATTTAGGAAGATGAAGAACATGCATACTGTAATATAGAAGTTAGTGATAAGGAGCATGCATACTACAATATTATAAGGGCTTGGAATGGGTTTGTTACACACGATTTTGTTATACAGTAGTTCTACCGTATACAATATTTAAAAAATTGAGTTTTTAATCTCAAAACGATTAAAAATAGGTAAAATACAAAATGCCTTGCTAAAATTTTACCTCCAAACCAAAGATCTAAAGCCTTGGCATATGATACTTGAGGCAGACCAATCCTAAGACCGTTACCCAATGTTGACAACGATAAAAGTGTCGTGAATGATAGAGTCACCCTAGCCGGAACGGCACGTCGATCTGAAAAGAAATAAAAATTATTATCTTTTTTCATTTTGTACTAAAATTTATATTAGGGTATATATTAAAAAGAAGTCTTGTCGTTAGTTTACACTGTTTTGTATGGCGATAAACGACAAGACTTTTTTTGATACTTTTTTTAAAAAAATGGTTTAAATTGAGTTATTTCGAAGTTTTTTAAATTTTTTTTCGGAAAAAAAAATTATAAAATAAACTTACCAATCCAAAAAAGAAACCCAAGAAATGATGACAATTAGGGCGGTTGGAGTGAAAGATTGTACCAAGTGATAGCCAATGGCTCGGCGAAGGTGAATATTCACTTCCAAACAGCTGAATCTGTCTAAAATGAATAAAAATTATTAATTTATTAATTTCACTTTAAAAATGATGACAGAAAAGTCTTGACGCTATTTTACATTACAAATAATAGTAAAAAACGACAAATTTTTTTTGAGTTTTAATATTATAATTAGGCTACAGATTAATCCTAAAACATATTTTTTGCTAAAGATTAAGCTTACTGCTCTTTTTAGCTAAATATTAAGCCTACAACATAGTTTGGCTATAAAAGGTTACCTTCTTTATAGGAATGATCCATAAAAGCGTATCGATAAGTCCCATCACAATATGATGGACTAATTTCGTCGATTTGAAATTCAGGCAGTCCGATGGCACTGTTTTTTCGAATTGGCTCTTTTGAAAACCAAGTGATATTTACTTTGTTTGCAATATATGCATCTGAAAGAAAATTTTGATCATTTGCCATTGATTTTTGACAAAATGAAATTTTTTGAAAAGAGTATGGCATGGTAATCAGGGCCGGGCGGGGACTTTTGGTCTGAGGGCGGGGGTCCAAAAAAATCCACAGGGGGATCACGTTTAACTTTTTTTCGAAAGTTTTTTTTTGGGGGGGGGGAGTACCCCCCCCTCCCCCCCCGTCCCTCCCCCTCGCGCTGATGGTAAGGTAGGGAAGGATAGTATAGGTAGGGTAGGATATGAAAAGGTCGGTTAAGACAGGGTATTGTTAGAAATGTCAGAGTAGGGTTGGTTAAAGCAAGATAAGATAGGACAGGGTAAAGTAAGGCTAGAGGAGGATGAGCTAGGGCTGGGATAAGGCTAGAATACTGCTACGACTAAGATATGGCTAGGGTACGATCCAAATTATGTTCCCAGCTCTGGCCTAACCTTCTATCTTTGTTGGGGCTTTATTATATTTTTCAGGTCTATACCGATCTAAACTTACAACTCAAAGTACGAATTTGGCATTTCTGTCGATCCATGGGGTAATTTACCAAATTTAAGTTACATGCTACAGTAATAGTCAGCCTGAAAAAGTGAAAAACGGTAACTTATGGCTAATATTTGCACTTTTTACTGTCTTTTGGGCTAGTATGGTAAAGTATTTTAATTTTTTAAATTTTAAGGTTTTAAAATAAAAAAAATCCCAATTTATCTAAGACCGTATTTTACATTAAAATCTTTTTATTAAAATTTTTATATACTTACCTTCCTGAGTATGCGATGCTGCCATCTTCGGCTACAAACAAACTAAAATTCGGCACCATGACGTCATGAAACTTGGCTGAGCGTGAATTGGAAAAGTACAAGTCGGGCATCCTAAACAAACAAAATCTTTTCAAAAAGGATTTTTAGTGCTAAAAATAGATGAACATTGTACTAAGGGCTTCAGGATGGGTCTTTTGTACTGTTTCAGTACGTGGTGCTATATTTTTTGCGCTAAGGGCTTCAAGCTGGGTATTAGTACTATATTTGGGTACTTGATTTTATAACTTTGTACTATGGGCTTTTAAGAATGGGGTACTATATTTTGGTACTTGATGCTATATTTTTATCAGTTGGCCATAACAATTTAGTACTATAATAACTTATATTAATAATAAAATAGTACTACAACAATATAGTACTATTTTTTACGGAGAAGTGACCAATTTTTGCACATTACTAACTTTTAGTAATTTAATACTATGATACAAAGTATGGGTATGATAGAGCATGGCTAGATTAAGACTGGGTTAGGGTGAGGCTATGGCCAGAATTTAATACTATATGAGTATTATAAGTATTAGTATTTAATACTGTATCAGTATGGTAAATATCAGTATGCTATACTATGCTTCAGTACTAGCTTAAAATGACTTTTCGTACCAAATGTGTTCCCTGAGTTTTGGATCATTAATAAGTATATGTTCGCCTTCATTGTGAGCTAGTTGAGGGTCTTTCCAGTTCATGTAGAGGTATAAATCAGCATCGAACGACTAAAAAAATGACATTAATCTTAGTTTTTTAACCATACATATCCTCTACTCTTACCCCTGATTTTACCTCTATTCCCTACTCCTATAGCAGACTATTTTGTTCTATATTCACTCTTATCACTACTTCTGTCTTACTACGAAGCAGTAATAAAAGTTCAGATATATATACCGCATCATATACTCCAACTACAGTACCTACCATTTCCGTGGACTGAAACTTTCCAATGCTTTCGACATAAATGCCAATCATAACCCTTAGGGGTTGACCCGGTTCCACTGGCGGCGTATGCGAGTTCTTCTGTAGCCGTTGATGAAGCGAGTTGGCCTTGGCCCAACTCAGCCTTAACAAGGCACAGCCGCTTATCAACAAGAGTAGAGCCGGCCACGGCGCCCGGCGTTGGCGAACCGTGGCCATTCTTCTGTAGGGCTTAGAAGCAGTTGACTTAGAAAAATGTTGTAAGTGAGCTGAAAAATTTCAATAATAGTGTTATGATAATAGTATTAATAATATAGTTTAAAATGGCATAAATCGCGTTAAAACGTTTTAAAATTTTCAAAGATCATCAGATACGTTTTTGCGTATAATAAGGGAGAGTAAGGTCAAGTAGGGTGGGGTAAGATAAAGTAAGGTACAGTAAGGTCAGGTAGAGTACGTTACTAGAAAACTGACCTAAAAATTTTTCTTCAAAATGTCAAAATTTGGGTAAAAAACAGTCAAATTTCGCCGTTCCGCTTTAATAACGGGCAATTATCTACAAGTGTAGCCTTTGACCAGACAATTTTCAAAATGACTTTTGAGTAAAGAAACGTCGTATGAAAAGGGAACACTTCTGTATATTGAACAACTTTTAGTGTACCTTAGCTTTACAGTACTCTGTTTCCCATCATGTTCTTACTCTAGCTTTATTCCTACCTAATCTAGATCTATTGCTAATCCTAACAATACAAAATCATTAATTTATACTTTACCTTGTACTTCCAAGTCTATCCTGGGCCCTATACTAGCTAAATTCTTGCTTTAACTTTGCTTTACCATGGTTGCTGCCGAGTTGTACTTAAGCTTTGATAGAGTAGGTGTATCTGTTGTAGGCCTGCCCTAACCTATTCTACCCTACTCTCTCCTACCATCTCTTACCCTCCTTTACAATATTTTATTCTACTCAACTTGATAGGTCGCTCTACGATAGCCATATCTTGCCCCAACCCTACTTCCTTATACTTGACATGAAAACAAAAAAAAATTTTTAAGTTATCTTCAAAAGTAATCAGCATTTGTAATTAACACTACTGATAATAATCATATGGCAAGTCAAAGGTAAATACAATAATTACTTGACTTTCTAACTCAAAACATCTAAATTAATCATTGTTTAGGTAAGGTAACTTTACTCCGCTCCATCCTCTGAAAACAGGGAACCGTATAACTTATCATCTCGTTTACTTTTACTTCCTTAAAGCAAGGAACCCAATTTAACTCCTCCCAAAAATTTCTCTATTCCTCCCCCCCCTCCCCCCCTTCTGAAACTAAGCTTTACCTTACCTCCAAAACTCGAAAAACACAAACTTTTAAAATTGCAAATATTTCCCGAGCCCAGCGAGATTGTTGACCAAGAGTGTACTAAAAACAATATTTGCGCATTGCCAAATCACTTTTTTTTTTTTACTTTTTAACTAAAAAGGGACGAGTTTAAGCGATGAGGCATTGTACGGTAGTTAAAAACCACTTAACGACAATAACAATGTGATAATTACCGTGAAGATACGTATCATGAAAAAGCTGTTAATTTTTAAAATGATGGCGAATTGGAACATAATTTGAGATAGTCGTACTAGTATTACTATATTTTTTACTGTAGTGTAAGCATCTATGTTATAAAGATTAAGTACCTTTATATATAGCTATGACAACCCTTTGTACCTTTAAGTACTATTAATAGCGCTCTAAGTACCTATAGGTACTATTGGTACTATCCTTGCTATCTACAGACACTAATGTTACTATACGTTGTAGTTAATAGTACTATTCTCACTACTTTCTTATCTTTATGTACTGCTAATACTACTCTTAATATCCTTAACTAGTACTAGTAGAAAGCACTCAAAGTAATTATAAGTACTAATGGTACTGCTCTCGGTATATATACGTACCATTAGTAATAAAATAGACCTCGAAAGACGTAAATTTACCACAATACCTATATATAGCCATTTCGACAAAAATTGAACCCTCTTCCAACCCAAGCCCTATCTCACATGTTTAAACAAAAAAATGTAATGAAAAGCCGTTCCCTTCTTTCCTGAGGCTATATCACTTTGTTTTTTAAGTTGTGTACACAAAGAGTACAAAGACTGGGCTGGAATTGACAAAATTACATTTTTGTCTTTTTGGGCCGCTCTAAATTCCAAAGTGAGGTGAAAAGTATACTAACGCCATTTGGGGAAGAGCTTAAAAGTAGGTCAACATGAGCACTTAAAATGGGGAAAAAATTTTGAAAGACGGTTTTGAATTTTTAAAATAATTAGGGATACCTTATACTACCCTACCCTACCCTACCCTACCCTACCCTACACTACCTTACCCTACCCTACCCTACCCTACCCTACCCTACCCTACTCTACTCTACCTTACCCTACCCTACACTAACTTACCTTATTCTGTCCTACCCGGTCCTACTTTACTTTACCCTACCTTACCTTTCTTTACTCTTCCAGCGCTCTACCCTACTCTACCTAGATCTAAAAGACGGCCACTAGGTTTGGGTTAAGCTCGGCCGGCCGAAGCAAAGTTGGAAAAAGGCCGAACCAGTACGAAAAAAATGAGAGGCCAGTCTAAGCTAAGGCCTACAAGCTCGGCTTAGGTTGCCCAACGTATGCCGTGCTGAAAGATTAGGCCCTCTCCGCCCCTTTTACACGTCTAACTCTACCCCAAACATATTTTACCCTACCCTACATGCCTATCCAACCCTGCCCTACATGCCCAGCCTAAAATCCAAGACAGCTCCCACAATACCCAATAAGATGTTTGAAACTTCAAATTCTCAATATTTTTCATAAAAAATTTCCAATATGTTGTCTATTCGATCGTGCTGTAAAGCCATTACTCGTACTATAAAACATTTAAAGTTTCGCAAAGAATGTTTCGGTAATGTAATTTGGAACGGAGGAACGATCGTAGTTGGCTAAAGTGGATTAAAATGTAAAAAATGTCAGGGAAATCTTTGGAAATTAATTGAACTTTATAAAAAAGTGCAGGCGATTTTTTTTCTCATCAGAAAGTATGTGGGGGGAACGTTTTTAATTGAAATTTGTTTCCAGATTAAATTGGTCAAAGAACTATTGGGAAAAGTATAAATTTTGAAAAACTTTATTCACTTTCGTAACCTTTGTGTAATGAATAAATCGACTGATATCTGTAAGAAGATTTTCTCGACTACTGACCATAACTGTGTTTAGGTGTAGAAAGACAGAAAAGAACAAAAATAGTTCAAGCCTATGGAAAGGGATAAGAGTATGTAAAACGAAGGCTAGGACTTATTTAAAGATAGATCTAAAGCCATTTCAAATGCTCAAGCTAAGACAAGAGTAAAGCTCAAAACTAGGACTATAGCTAAAGCAAATGCTAGGACTAGAGCCAGATCAAAGGCTAAGGATTAGCCAAAAACCGAGTTTAGAATCTAAAGTTCAAGCTTGGCCAAGGTCTAGAGCTACCTCTCGGGCTAATGCAAAGATTAGGGCTATGTCTAGAGCCAAACTAGGACTAAAGCCAAGGCCACGGCTAGGGCTACGGCCAAAGCTAAGCCTAAAGCTACGGCTAAGGCTACGGCTAAGGCTAAGACTAGTGCTAAGACTAAGGCTATGACTGAACTCAAGACCGGGCTTAGAACTAGGACTAGTGCTAGAGCTAAGACTAAAGCTATTGCTAGAGTTAGGACTAGGGCTATACTAGGCTAGACTAGGCTGAGGCTACAACAAGGACTGAAGCTAGGGCTAGAGCTACGTTATGAGTTTACGTCACAATTTGATGGCATATCTGGCCAAAAAAACTTATAAGCAGCTATAAAAACACGTGTTTTCATATCTTACACATAAAAAGAAACCTAAAAATAAAAAAACGTGGTTTTTAAAAGATGTTTTTGTGAAAAGTAACCACTAATTGCAAGAGTAAAGGTTGCAATTTAGAGCTTACGTAGCAATGCTCAAAATACCTTATTTAACTTACTATTAGCACGCAACTAATGGATAAAAATGGCATTAAAAACAAAAAATAAAAAAATTTTAATTTTAAAAAATTTAAAAAAAAAATTTTTTTTTTTAATTTACAAACTCAAATTATCCCCTACCCCAGCCAAAAATACAAACACTAGTTCAGAAACTCTCCTCAATTAATCTTGGACACATAATTGAGTTAACTATAGTCATAATAAGCTAAAATATAATTGGATTGACTTTTGGAATGTCATGTGTTCTTGAAACTATTTATAAAAAAGCTAAAGTTCAAAGCAATATCGGTAGGTCAGAAGAGATTGTGTGTGCAAAATTAATTGGCAGACTTTTGAAAAGTGCAGTGGTACTTTTTTAAATGTGTTTTTGAGGTTTTTGAAAAAATGTAAGTAAGGTTTATACTATATTACTGTAACCCCTATGAACTAAGAATATCATATTTAGCCCTAAAACTAGCCCAGAGCCCTAACCCTGAGCTCTAACCCAGAGCCCTAGTCCAGAGCCCTAGCCCACAGCCCTAGCCCAGAGCTCTATCGTTATCACTAACACTAGTCTTTTTATTAGGTTGTTCAATCATTCAGTGCCCCCGTTTAAAAAAAGGTTTTTGGAACTTCAGAGCTCATAATTATTTGAACAACCTAATATACCTTTCTCAAAGTGATTTTACTAGTAATGCAGTTTTACCCGAGCCGAAAATTTCCTACCACAAAATCTACCCTACAGTGATCATGCATCAACAACTAAACCTGTCTAACTGCCGTGGTAAAAAAAAGCTAGGTTTAGGGCCTTCCTACTATTCCACCTTACTCCGTTATTCTTTTCTTATCTTTTGCCATGTCACACTTTTTTATTTCATCCTAATACCCTACCAATAAAGAATAAACCCAACCACTAAAAAGACAAAGAAATATAATGCCAATCGACGTTGATGAATGATAAAAACCATCCACTTCCTTATTTTCATAAGATCTTTCAACTAGCTGATATTATTTTTAAAAAAATAGAAACTTTTTGAACAGTCAACCAACTGTTCCATCTTAAATCCTCATATCATTTTGACTAATTGAACGGGCCTTATGCATCACGATCATTTGAACGTTCCCCTTTTTTTTCATCCCCTCCTCTTAACCCCAGTCCCCCTCCCCCCCCTCCTTCTTCCACGATTACCCCTCCCCCAATCACTCTTACTCTTTC